CGTGCTCGTTGAACCGTGAAAAAATGTGTGAAAAATTGCGTCGATTACATCTAATGACTGAGCGACGTTCATGTAAGGTTTCGGCAGTGGCCATTACATAGATTGGCATTAGCGACCTTTGTGTCTCAGACAATATGGGGCTTTCTCTACATACGTAGGGTATGTGGCGTTTTTGCACAAATATGTGCCTTTTTGGCTATTGAAAAGAAAGTACGGGACAAACAAGTGAAATTATTTTATTTTACCTATGTTAGCTCAAAATATGGAGTTTTTGATGTCGAGAAGTTTCCATGAAATAAAACAGTCAAGTAGTATAAAATTAGTGCCATCATCTAAGGAGCCAAGTTCTCTATTTATAAAATTTTAGGATAAAAGCTGCAAGGAAATCAAAAGTAATAGATACTAAGTTAGTTGTACATCTTAGCACTGATACAAATATAATCAGCTAAAAATAATTTTCTTTTTACTTTTGCAACCCGATCGAAACATCAGACGGATAGAGGTAATTAATTCTTAATTAACCTAATTTAAAATCTTATCATGTTCAATTCCTATTATTTATTCCTAATATTAAGCTATTTAAATTGCCCATTCCAGCTGACCTCCTATAACAAATAAGTAAACATTCACATCCACAAATGGAGTATTAATCTCACGTAGACATTATACCGTGCGCAGACGCCGTGTGTGGCTGCGATTATCCAGTCCAGACCAGTTACACCTGTCCGAACTGATTGACGGCGCTCCAATTACCGATCAGACTGTAGGTTTTGTTTCAATCTAGCTTAAGTGGCCTATAGTCTTAATTGAGAGTTCATAAAAGGATCGCTGTCTTGCTTAAATACGGATACTTAAGTGTTTAAAAATAAAGTGAAGGCTTTAATAGGCGGCTTTTGTTAAACTTTTTTCGCAAATAAAAAACTACCTTCACAAACGTAACTTTTGTGTTTTCATGCCTAACGTGTTTCAAAAGTTAAGGTAGATTAAATAGTTCTCTTGGAATACTCACACTTGAAAATTGGCTAGGTCCGGACAAGGCCTGGTAGTCGCTTGATTAGTAAAGTGAAGGTCAAGTATTAGTCCAGTCAATAAAGCATTATAGATGGAAATCCATGGAACACAATTTCTGACTTCGGGACTTTATTTAGACTAGTTAGGAGGTCAAGGACTAAGGGCGGGGACTTTTGCTATGTTCACCTCCTAACTAGTCTAAATAAAGTCCCGAGGTCAGAAATTGTGTTCCACGGATTTCTCTCTACACCGTCGTTAAAGCATTCATTGACTGGACTATATTCGTTTTGGGACTTTATTATCCTTGAAATGGTATCTACAGGACTACAGGTGTACTGAAAACTATTGAAAAGAAAATAATAATATGTCTCAAACTCTTAGATCTGACACTGACCGGCATCCTTTCCTGGCATGCCTTCTATCAAAGTCAAAGTCAAAATTCCTTTATTTCCTAAATCGTCAAATATTATCTTTATTCTAGTATTTCATTCAGCCAGTTCTACACATCGCTTCACGTAAAAGATAATCTTGCTTTTCCCATATCATGACATAAGAACGCCAGGTGTTAATAAATTCTAATAATACAGAAAGAATAATGTTAAGTGTCACCAACTAATGCCTTTACAGCTTCAACTGGCTTAGTCCCATTACGGTTCCGTACTGTATTCGCAACTAGGTACTGAATTGATTCATGCAAATTTATTGCAAAACGCGAGCGGCTGCTTCAAACAAGTTTATTTAGAGCAAACTATATATTTACTTATTTTATGGTAATAGTAGAGAATTTAGTAATGATGTTTGGTCGATTCAATGCATTGACTTCCTTTGTCGAACTTCAGTTAACTAACTAGGTCAATACTAATATAATTATAAATGTAAAAGTAATTTTCTTAGTCAATTAAGTTTTCACGGTTAGTTTCTGAACCCATTTTAGGGCGACGTTGATGAAAAATTAATTGGCTTTGAAAGAAGAATATCATATCTTTGACTTTTCGTGAATCGTTACACTAAACATCCTCTAAGTACCTAATATTAAAGGCCGGTCGATCTATTCTCATAAATAAAACACTGGATACTCATTTTTCACATTATATTGCCTCGTCCCGCTATTCTAACGTTTGATTCTCGTGTGACATTGACGTATTGTCAATGTCACTATGACAGCATCTCATTGGCCACAACGATACCGTTATTTTAACGTTTTAGATTTTTCATAATTAACACTAAGGATTAAAATTTAATTTGTCTAAGTAAATGTTATTTGTTAGGCATTCTCATTTAGTTTCAATTACAAAAAATATTCATCAAATCATTAAACTGAATATTAGAGAATGTGAAAATGAACAGAGGCTCATAAACGATCCAACGCTAATTACTATTGCTTCCTTCCTTATTATGATTATGAATTGAGCGTTTATTAAATCAATATTAGGATATTGAATACTGAAAAGGAACGCACGAATATTAACGACTCTATGGTTATATTCTTACAGACTCTACAATTTGGTGACTGAAGCCCGTTTTCACCATCATTACCTACCTAATTATTATTTTTAAGTGACCCCCATGGAAACAAAATTCCTGTTATGTGTTACCATAGGGGTCACTTAAAAATTAAGGATTGGTGGTGAAAACGGGAATGAGTTTCTTCCGCCACTTCTTCTCAGCACCAGCCCATATGTTGTCCCGAAGTGGTGGTAGGGCAAGCTATATTTGGGACGTGTACAAGCGGCCTAAAATGGGCTTAAGTACTGAATAAATGCTTGTTTCCTAAAATGTTTTTCTGAAGTTCATCCTAAAATGTCATCAGTTTATTGAGCTTTACAACCTGCGTGGTTTTCATTTCTGCTCACATTTTTCGGTCACTTTCCACATTATAACAACCATGTCTAATCCTTCAAGGCCCGCGAATCTAGACACAATAGATAATCAATTGTTATGACTTAATGAATGCCGTCTGGGACTCAAGCGGTAAATAGAAAATCTTTTTAAACGATAGAATTAATATTATCGTGCGATATCTTTATTGCTTCATGTGGTACAAACAAGGTATTAAAAATAAAATAGTCCCAGAACATGAGCCCTGTGAGGGCATTGCAACATTATACATAATATTAATTAAGCTTAATCTAAATTATTTTAATAAATGTAAGTACAAATTCTAATTAATTTTTGAGATCATACAATTCTTTCAAAGAGTAAAAATATTTCTTTAACCCATTAACGCCCGCCGTACAATAAATAGTACACAACTTTAAGTTACGATAAATCTGGTTTAATGAGTATTTTTACCCTGGAAATAATTACAATCGGTAAACAAAGGTCTATGCATTATATCCTGAGATGAAACAGACCATAATTATTATACAATCTTAAGGGGGTATTTTGCGATTCCGTTTCAGTGATTTTTTCATGTCTTCTAGTGGGTACTTGATAATTTTTTATGCTAGGTTTAAGTTACACAAAATACCAAATAAGTTGTTTGTGTATTAGCTAACAACATATCCTAATAAAAAATACATAGAAAAGTTCATTTCATGGAAAGTTTTTCATGCTATAACTCCCAAAGTGATGCTGTACAAACTTTAGTACAATGGGCGCTTGACACGTTACGTAAAATAGTACAGTAACGACATTATTATTAGAGTGTTTACTTATTTCTGCCTAGTTTTTATATATAATCTTTGTTTTCTTTTTCCAATAACATGGCTCTTTATTTATGGAGTTACAGACAACAAAAAGAAACATTTTGTTTTCCCAATTACGACCTATTTGTCGACCTAAAGAGACTTAGTTACATAGTTTTTGGAACCACACGTGAAAACAGAACCAAAAGGTATCTTTTGATTACTTATAAAGATTTTCACAAAAAGCCTAGAGACAGATTCGACAAGGCAAACGTCATTTTATTAGCATTGATTGAAAGATAATAATGTGGGTACCATTAAAACAAATGTTGACGCTTTAGAACCATTGGGAAAGGTCATTATATGGGGTCTCTTGATAAAAAAAAGTAGAGTTAGGCACCACAGGGTGTCCAGGTCTAGTATAATAAGAAAATCAGTGGGTTAGATTAGATGACTAGTCTATAGAACTTTACCAAATTGAGGAAAAAGGAAAAAAAGCGGTGGATGGGTCTTGTTAGCTTATATGGTGGACATGACAATTTCAAATGCATGCAGACTGCACTGCATAGTAAACCCATATAGTCGCTTAGATCAGCTAGCATTCCGCAAATATATAATACGCACATATTTGACCTATAAAAGATAAATAAAAGTAGGTATTCTTGCTCTAGTTGATGGAGAAGAAATATGAAATAATGGTTATAATCAAAATAAACCAGCAAACAAGCTGATTTGATAGCTTAAAATTACTGTGTGTTTCAATAGAGTCAAATCAGCTTATGGCAAGTGCCTGAAAACACTGTGCCAGGATGAAGAAGGCTTTGCTCAATATGACTCATAAGCGCCCATTGTACTAAACTTAGTACACCCCTGAAAACCTAACTTCTGATTTTGATTTTGGTTTTCTTTGTGTTTAGTATTATTTCTGAAGTATTTTTATAAAGAAAATAAACATTGGCTATGGGAAATTGACCGTAGTTTTCATTTGGGCGTTAATGGGTTAATAACCATTCCTTCAATTCTTTACCAAACAAATTATCATTTTCAATATTCTTTATATTCGTAGGTATCTTATTATATAATTTTATTGACATATGGTAAGTGCCTGAGCTAACTAGATGCAATTTAGTAAAAGGTTGTACTAGTCTATTTCTATGTCTTAAGTTTCTTTCTTGTGAATAAAGATCTTTTGCTTGGGCATATTCATGGAGATTTTTCCTGACTTTACAAATTTCTAATATGTACATTGAGACAAGTGTAAGAATATTTAGCTTTATGAAGTGAGGTCTGCAACTTTCCCTATCTGTGATGTTAACAAGAATTCTAAGGCATCTCTTTTGCAAAATAAAATAAATAACTGACTTACTTCCGTACTGTTACCCCAAAGAATGATCCCGTAATTCAACCAAGCATTAGCGTAGGCATAATAGGCAATGGTAGCAGTTTTTAAGTCCGTGCATTTTTTCAACTCGTACAGTGCATAAGTAAATTTTGAGAGTTTAGCGGCAATTTTTTCTATATGTGGTTTCCAGTTAATATTTGAATCTAATTCTATTCCTAATAGGGTACATGAGGTCACGAATTTTATGCTATTATTATTTAATGTAATATTTGTTTGGAGGGGTTGTTTTTGCCTTGGTTTAAATTGTATCAATGATGTCTTAGCTATATTAATTTCTAAATTGTGGTCTTGTAACCATTCTAATATTTTGTCTATTGTACTATATAGTTGGTGTTGCAGGTCTTGGCTGTTGTTACATGGAAAAACTATAGATATATCATCAGCGTATATTATGCATTTCTTATCAATACAAGTTACCACGTCGTTGATATAAATTATAAATAAAATGCACCCTAATACACTACCTTGGGGTATTGAACGTACTACTTGCAGTTTTTGAGATCTAGTACAATTTAATATGCCAGAACTACAGTCATAATAATCAATTTCGCTTAACAGCAAAGTAATATAAATACTGGATATTTTAATGCAAAATGCAACTTTATACTGTAAGTAACAACAATGGGGTAAGTATTTGTTGTGGCTTGCGCCATAAAGTTGCCCGCAGATGTGTGAACTTTCTCGAACGTTCCAACGACTGACAAAGGTTCGTGAGTAAGTGTGATTGAAAACACCTTGAAGTGGTCTCAGTGGTTTTAAGTTGTGGTGAAAATAAAGGTTTGTGGTCTTACAGTCTTAAAATGAAGGTGGTTTCAAGCAAGAATGATGCTGACGTAAATAAAAAAATATTTATGGGTAACATGTAAAATGGAGTTAAAATAGCTTAAAGAAATTGTTGAGATAACTAAAATTCTTAGCAATCAATAACAGAACTCCGTTCGTTCGTTCGTTTCAGCCAAATGACGTCCACTGCTGGATAAAGGATTTCCATAACCACTGATCCTGCACTGCCCGCATCCAGGTACAACCCGAGACCTTCACCAGATCGTCAGTCCACCTAGTGCGGGGCTTGCCCACACTACGTGGCCCATAGTTGCCACTTGCCACTCGAGAACAGAACAGAACTTATGATAATTCATTGAATACAAAAAAATATAAATTATGCCGACCACTGATACTTATTAACTAGCTCTGAACTCCCAAATTACTCCTACAATCACATCAATATTTGCCTCTAGTAGGATTCGATCCAGCAACCATAACGCGTCGTGGTCCTCTACGCTAACCATCTTGCAAAAGAAAGCCGTCCTCTTTTTTATGCATCACAGCCAAGTTACGAATGGGCGTCATTAAGTTGAAATATAATATTTTTAACGCCTAAAAAGTGCTCGCCGCTTTAAATGGATATTCTTGTAAGCAGAACTAATTGCGGTAATTGAGGTTGCTGTGCTGCTTTTTAGCATTGACCCACATAATTTTCTCAAGTGCTTTTGAGGCACAGTTACCTTATATTACAATCAGGACACGCTACGTCTTCCAGCCCGTGGTCACCACTCGAGAACTTTCCTGCCCCAACGGCCATCGTCTCTACGAGCTATGTGCCCCGCCCACTGCCACTTGATTTTAGCAATTCTGCGAGCTATGTCGGTTACTTTGGTTCTCCTGCGGATCTCCTCATTTCTGAATCGATCACGCAGGGCGGATCACGGATCACGTAGCGTGGGCAGGCCTCCTACTAGGTGGACCGACGATCTGGTAAAGGTCGCGGGAAGGGCCTGGATGCGGGCAGCGCAGGACCGTTCACTATGGAAAACCTTGGGGGAGGCCTTTGTCCAGCAGTGGACGTCATTTGGCTGAAACGAACGAACAATCAGGACATGAATATTCACATCTATCTTAAGAGGTATATTTTTTAAAATGAGTTGGTTTGCACGATCACTGAAACTATTAATCCGATATTTTGTGACAGACTAAAATTATGAATTGAGTTTATTAAGTTGCATAAAATATACATGAAAGTCGTTTCTGAGCTAAATCACTTTATGGCGATTCTAAGTAAATAAACTTTTATAAAGCTCTATTTTATTATTTTACCTAATTATTTGAAGTTTAATTGCCAATTTAGCCATAATGCGTTGGCAATTTAGCCATAATAAAATCCATACCCATTCGCAATAAATATGCGCCATAATTTATCTATTATGGATGTTCCCGTCACGCCAGAGCCAATAAACACGGTGTACCACCGTCATGGTGTACCACCGAATCGCAGTAGTAGAACAAAGGTGGACATAAAACTAGTTTATTATTTGCACACGAGTCTACGCCAAGGATTTATAGATCGAACCTGAATTTGTTTATATTTGTAATGTCATCGGCAGAAAATGCTGTTGAATTTGGGCAAGTTCGTAAAGAATTTAAATTTAATGCTATTGAATAGAGTGCAAACATGCTTGTTATTACTTCGGTTTTTCTGAATATTTTAATATTTTTTGTTACACGTAAATTTTGGCGTTATCTATCTTGATCTTCGAATACGAATATACATTTATGTAAAAAAATAGTTGACTACTATCATAAAACAGATAAATCAGATACATATCTATTTTATGGTACAGTCAGTGTCAAGTAGTTCATGATATTATGGCTGGGTTGCACCGTCTTACTTTAACTTCGACAAACGTCAAAAATCTGTCAAACTCCATACAAAAAGCACCGGTTATCGTCATAGTTGCCTTTAAAGTTAGGTAGTGCAACTCAGCCTAAAAGTGTGCAAAAATATGACAACACAATCGTTTTTCAATTGTAACAAAGACGTGTTGCGAATTTTTTGGCTACTTTGGGTGTAATGAACTATTTGACGTTGACTTTAAAGTGACCATGAAGATTAAACAATAGACGAACGCATCAAAAAGCGAAAAAAACTAAACCAACCTGCGTCATGTTCCCAACTGTACTCCTTCAGGAAGTGCACGGGAAGCACCGTATATCCCGATGATGCACGCGGCTCCCGCGGATCTATTGTTATCGGAGGCAGGCTTTTTATTTATCTTATTGCTGCTCCCATCGAATTATTGACAGCTCAGATAGGGAGGTGAAACATTCGGAATATGGGAGATATTTCTTTTACGATCGCGGGTGGAACAGTGTGGTACAGTTTCAGATATGAACTCTAGCGGTAGGGCAAGCTATATTTGGGAATTGTGTAAGTGCCCTGGAAAGGGCGTATGTACTGAATAAACTACTCATTTTATTTTATTTATCTACATCATTTGTTTTGAAAGTAGACGATACGTATCGTGAAAGTGTTGAAAATCAAAAGGATAGAGCAAATTATTTGACCTTTGAATGCGCCTTGTGTGAGAGTTTTCCAAAGTTTTAGGCGGAGCCCACATTAAATGCAGCCGAGCTTATTTGTAACATGGCATTTTCTTATTATTTTTGGTAGAAAGCTAAGTGTACCTACCTAAGTACTTCCTATTTAAATCGTGCATTTTAAAAGTTTAGTGACATTAAAACTATTTTAGCAGTAACTGACAAAAAAAAAAGGTTTTTATCCAAAGGAATGCTATCAGATATGGAAAATACTACCATTGAGGATCGAATAGTTCAATTTAAATGCATTCAATGATTTAAACGTTCACAGTAGACTAAAGTCCTTAATAGCCGCTATTCCGCCACAATCTATTGTTCCCAGTATATAAATCACTGTGGTCTAAAATTACAGAGCATGCGACTCGTATATGCCAAAGTACTGAGACAACCCTTAATAATAGTAGGTCAGGGCGTAATGTCAGTAGGGCTGCCGCTACTTGATAGTTAGTGTTCACTATCATGGTGATCTAGACTTCTTTATCCCTATAAAAACCTAGAATTCTATGAACATAGCTGACAGCAAAACATCGCAGCATATTGTGGACTCATATTTCAAACACGATTTAAAACTTGAAAAAGTCAACTTCTGTTTCACACGTTTGAGATATTATTATATTACTTAGCATTTTAAATTTGGAAAAATCCCTATAAAGTAATGGTCCTATAAGTTGGTATCTAATCGATCCATTATGGTCCTTCTACATTCGTTTTTCCGCTAGCCAAAATAGCAATATTAATAACTGCGCATAGATTCTATCAACGATAGCAATAACAAGGAGATAGCACAGCATGGGATAGTCACGTGCCACTCGCCTTGGCCGTTTTTAAACAAATTTTAAAATTAACCTTTACAAAAAATGTCACCTCCATTGCTGACAGGCACCGCGTGATGGCAAGAAAAACTCATTCCTTCGTAAGAGTAGGCGCACACCGTTGATTTTTCGTCGGCCGATAGTTTAGTCGGGCAGTTGATCAGTATGGGCATGTATGGGAGTGCACACACTACGCTGATTCGATTTGGCCGATTCTTCATACAATTTAAAATCGGGCACAACTATCGGCCAACTAAAAATTAACGGTGTGCGCCTACTCTAAGTGTCAACCCTGGATCTAGCTCCAGGCACTTTGCGGGCTACGGAGCCCTCCTAACTCGCAGGGTCATCGCACCGATCCGGGCGGGTGCGGTCAAAACAAATTAAACTTTTTGCAACGCCGGAACGCCGGAAAATTAGGCCGGTTTGTTTCATAATGATATCGTCCGCCGGCTAATTTTGCGACTCCATTTCTTTCTTTGGACTGATTTTTTGAGTTTTTGTCGCTGAGCTTAAAAGTTAGTGGGTTTTTAGATCGGTTAGTGTCAGATTTTCTCGTTTGATTAAACATTCGACATACAGCGACAGCAATAAATTGGCAGGTCTTTGCAATAAAACTGAATTAATAATAAAATAGCACATTCTAATCTGATATAATTTTATGTGAAAGCAGACACATTACAAAACTCATTGTCTTACACCATTGGCCATGTGAATAATGGAATTCCGCAATTTAGGGAAGAAGATAATTCACTTGTTCGCAATATTATTGTCAAATTTTATGAGCTGTCCGCTCGCCTCATTGAACTCACTCAATCGGACTGTTTAATGTGATCTCCGATTCAAGAAAACAAGCTTTTTTGTACAAGCTATGTATTTATTAAATCTTATAATTATAATTTACTTATCTNTCGTTGATATAGATTATAAATAAAATGCACCCCAATACACTACCTTGGGGTATTGAACGTACTACTTGCAGTTTTTGAGATCTAGTACAATTTAATAGGCCAGAACTACAGTCATAATAATCAATTTCTACAAATTGTGCTCTATCATTTAAATACGACGCAAACCATTGATGTGCTATTCCTCGAATACCTATATCGTATAGCTTTTTTAATAAAATTTTATGGGAGACCCGATCATATGCTTTACTCATATCCAACATTATTCCTATGGCATATTTATTTGTGTTTATTATATTTAAAATATCATTTACGTATTTATAAACGGCTGTAATAGTAGATCTTTCTTTTCGAAAGCCATGCTGACTATCATTGAAAACATTGTATTTTTTACAAAAAGATTGAAGGCGGATGGCCATTGCGGTTTCAAAAATTTTAGAAAAGGTCGACAAAAGGGCTANTGTTATGACGTAGGTATCCGCTAAGAAAGGATTTTACGAAACTCCACCCCTAAGGGGGTAAAACGGGATCCACGCGTACGAAGTCGCGGAATTAAACGTTACTGATTAAATACGCAAAAATCATATTGTATAACAAAATATATTCCTGACTATAGTTTAAAGCTATAAGTTAATTCGTACATAATTTTATTTCAGTTACATACAACCATCTAATTGAGTGAAACGTTAAAGATGACTATGTATTTTAATGTATGCTAAATACGTAAGTAGGTAGTTACGAGGAAACGATCACTCGTTTTCCAGTAATGTTCACAGTATCACGTTTTGTGAAAGGTTTACCTGTCTAATTTTCATAAAGAAACGACCAAGTTAATTAGACTTTGGAAAAAAAATGTGATTGTTAATTTTCGATCGCGGCTCTCTGCCGTAATTGGCGATGGTCGGTACCTTGAACCTGGCGAGGGCACGCGGCGTCATGTGACCAGCGGTCGACGGCGACCGTCAATCCTCTACTATTGCCAACTGGTTTTCTTCATTCATACAGCAATCCAATAACACTTACATTCTTCACATGATATGACGCTATTTGCATTTAAATCATCGCGTCGTAATAATAATAAGGACTATATTACTTGAGCAGTCATACTGTATCCACCTGCTACCGTACTCAAAGATACTACAATCATATCGTTGTTGCACAAAAGAGAGAACTGATGTACTTACTTAAGTAAGCCGTGTAAAATAAATGCTTGGTTAAGTGATTCTCTAGACAAACAAATAGTTGCCGTATGTCTTAGATAAAGGGCATAATATGTAATGCACAGCTTGTTTTATGTAAATTACATGAAATTGCTTGCAACGAAAGGTTAAAATAGTGTCATGTAATGGGCCTTCTCGTTAAATTGCTTAGGTTGTGTAAGGTTAGGCATTGTAATAGCGTTTAATCATACGTGTTGTACAAGAGTCAGAGCTAAAACGCATATGCTCTGATTTATTATGATGATTTATTACACATGGCCATATTGAAATTCCTACCTTTTGAACAAATTCTATTGACTCACATAGGGAAATTATTAAATAATTGAGACCGACTCAACGATGACTAAGGCACAGGTCAGGTCCTTCCTATCTAGGCTTTTTTGTAAATATTATAGATAGAAAACTGAACCAATACAAAAAATATGTTCACGCACACAATTATTTATACTGTGCGGGAAATGAACCCTCGACCTCTGGCATTGTAACTCAGTCTGGTACGCGACCACTTACAACAAATGGCCGATCTGCCAGCTTATTAGGATGCGCGCCACGATATAATCTTACCGACGATTTATAACGATGAAATACCCGGATAAGATTACCTAGTAGTTATATCGTTACGCGCATCCTAGGCTACCTCTATAAAAACTGGAGAAGGGGTTTGGGGGTTCTCTCGAAGCCGGAAAGGCTCGCCCGTGAACGATAGCTTCTAGCCTGAGGCGGAGCTGTGGACGAATGTCCAAGCTAGGACAATAGCTCCGATTCATTGGGCTCCTGTGGACACCGTCAGGTTAGTGGGCAGGCACCGCCTTTAGGGCGCAGGCGGGGAGAGTCCTACATAACCCACTGACCGTCCTCATCTATTTATTACTAGCTTTCCTCCCGCGGCTTCCCCCGCGTGGAATTTTGCGATTTTTTTATATAATCTATGACACTCACTAGCTTTCTATTGGTGAAATAATTTTTAAAATCGGTTCAGTAGATCCCGAGATTACCCCTTACAATTTAACAAATATACAAACACACAAACTTTACCTCTTTATGTTAGTATAGATAGATTTATTTAAAACTTTAATGCCAAATAAATTTGAACATAAGGCGAACTTAATGCATTAAGCATTCTCAACCAGTAATGCGCAAAGCAAAAAAAAAAAGGATTTAAAGTATATTTATACAAAGTCGTATCGCAAGACGAATTAATAAAAGATTCCTTTGAAGCATGCCGTCGTTAACGTAATAGTTATTAAATAATTGTACCTATCAGGCATTTTGGCCAATTACCTGTTCAAAAACAAAAAAACCACAGTTGGCAGATGTAGGTATATATATCAGTTCCGAATATCAAATGGCCAAAGTTCAAAAAATTTACTAAGTACAAAAAGGAGTCACAGTCAAAATAACAAAATTACAAAGGTCAACATAGGCAGGTATAAACCAAAGAACACACAGATCATAAGATCATTAAAATCTGTTAGCTGTGGAACTTAATATCCCTAATAAAAAAAAAAAAACAAAAAAAAACGTGTAGGTTTTTCTTAAACTCTTCTAATAAGACCTATCTAAGATAAAATATTAAAGGATTTGTCCACTAGATGCAGTCTGCGGTCAGGTCAAGTAAGTAAATGTATAATGTCTTTGACCTGACCGCATACTGCATCCCGTGTGGCAAATTCTAAAGATTTAAATTCTTTAAAATATGATGTAAAAAGAAATTTAAGTAGGCCTACCTAATTGTCAAATGTCCTTTTGAATACCAAAAAATACTGAAAAGTTACGATCGTGCATTCTTACAAATCAAGCGTTCACTTGCCGTCGTACAAGCGACGCGCCCACGTTTTGGCGGTAAAAAATGTTGAGGAAAGGTCGGAATGCTTCCTCGCCATGCGCCGTTGGTCATGTGAAACAGGATCAACACGAGTCACTGATAGTAATTTAGTTTAGTATAGGTACAGTACCTACTTAGAAGAATTTTGTCGCCAATCGAATCCACCAATTTGGAAAGTTCATATTTGTTATTAACTTTGGACTTAAGCATACACACATAATTGTGAAAAATAAATACTTCTTCTTAAGCTATTTCTCATAGAATAAATTACAATAGAGATAATAGAACTGCAGAGCATTTAGTCTTATTAATTTGATGTATTTAATGGATGATAGAAAGTAATTAAGAACTTTAATATTATAATTATTATTTCAATCAGCTCGTAGTCATACGAGTAGGTAACCAAAGGGTTACGTACTTACTAAAGTACAAATCAGAAAAATATAATTACCAATAATGAAGTATTAATCATCGTAAAACCACTTGTTTACAATAATGAAACATGTTGTAGACGCATCGTCTATCGAATTTATACCTCTAACTATTGTTTGTTGACCATATTGCAGGTTCTAAAGTTTTTCTTTATGGGCTGTGTTAAACACGGAGGCAATGAAGTGGTATTTTGGTGGTTCTAATCATACTCTAATAAGTTTTATATGTCATCTAGCTGTAGGCGATAGAGACGTCACTCAGGACTCTGGTGCTGGACTGTGTGCATCAGCAACAGTGCACACACATAGTAACTACACAATAAATATAATATAATATACCGATGTATTCAATTTGTGGATAGAAACATTATTTTTTATTAACTTGTGTTTTTAGTTTAGAAATTATTTACTTATTGCGACAAGAGATGATAAAAAAGTCAGTAAGTAGTTTATCGTATATTATAAAAATGTTATTCATACCGTGACCACATTATTAGAAATAGGTAGGTACATACCTACTTACAGTCCTATCTTTGAAATGGCATGTCCGATTTTAAAGGTAGGATCTACGTCATGAAAAAATGACGTCAAAATAATCTTACCATCGTTATCTGCCTCCCTACTTAAAACTTATTTTTAGGTAGCATTTTTATATGAGAGAGATTAATATTATCTCTGTACCAAAATAGACTAAGTGGGATTAATTTAACATGAATAAAATATTCGCATTCTTTCTACAATTCTATAAATTAATCTACTTTATTATCCCATACCTACTTACTTATAAAAGCTGATCGGTCAATGTATAACTATAGAGAAGTTAATAGTAAGTATTATGGACACTCTACCAAAAAGCTATATGTATGTATAGTATCTTGAAATGAATTAAAAACAAAGGTAAAAAATTTAATCACTACGAATTTAACAAAAAGCATGGCAATGGAAATTAACCTTTTGTTACAGGATTGTAAAAAGTATATAAAAGACATACAAAAGTTAAATGTTGTTTAGTTTTACTTCTTTTTTGTTAAGTTATTCGCTCCAGTTTTTAGAAATAATATTACCGGTTAAGAGTTATGTAACACTAGTAATACACGGAAACGACAAACACGATCTTAAACAAACTATGTAGATACGCTATAACTCAAAGCACATGCTTAAGGATGCACATAATAGTATAATATATTATGTAGGTTTAATTTAGTACATTTAATTACATTAATAAATTGTAAATGTACTAAACAAGCAATACAATTTTCTATAGACAATTTTTTAATAAGTTGAAAATATCGAATGTGGGAAAACGTGTAAGTGGAAGAACTGGAAAAGACTAAATTGAGTAAGTAATTAAACGTATTATACGTAAACGCACATGGTCCCTGAAATAAGAATTAGAAGCTTTTATTTGTAGTGTGAGATTACAATTGAATTTCCCTAATTTTAAAAATAAATACACAATTAATGATTGAACTCGATATGAGTTTTCAACTAATCATTATTGAATGTATTGTAATTTAAGAGTTAAAAACATTGTTATTTAATTTTTAGCGTTAAGAGTCGCATCTCAAACTAATTTGAAAATTATAAATAACTTGAAAAAATCGTGGGTTCAATTCCCGCCTTAGGCAGTTCGATTTTTTCAAGTTATTTATAATTTTCAAGTTAAAAACATTGTCTAATTAATTATATTCTGAAAAAAAATTGTTTGTAATAGTCTTTCAGCGCCATATTAATCGACGAACTTTCACATCAAGTAATTTTAATATGGGCTGGTTAGCTTTTAGAAAGCCTATGGTATTTTGGCGCTTCATATCTACTGAATACTAACTAATGTACCTAAATAAACTAGAACTTTTGATATACCCAAGTCTGTACACCTTGTATGTTACATCAGTTACAATGCAATGCTGCGAATGCGTAATCCAATAGAAACTTAGTTTTTATAGGTCTTATTACCCTTACTAACTTATACATATCTAGGCAGCCTCTACATTTTACACACGAAGATGTCGAACTGATAGCAGAAATTAACAAATACTTAATTATTGCAGAAATTAGTTCCAGATAAAGTGGGTAATAATTTCTGAACATGAAAGACTGATTGTCGAGAGAGTTGCTAGTTTGGTTATTGTGTACAAGATAATACGTCATGCTCATGACTTTAAGGACAAAAAATGGTTTGGTACTTAACAATTTATCATTTCTTTTGTCCACGAGGAAAAATTGTGTTCTACCATGCACTTATTTCTTTATTTTTATATAAAAACTTTATTGCACACAAAAATGGAGTACAAAAGTCGAACTTAATCTTAAGTCAATTTTGATGAACTATAAACGTGAATTTTAACTACGAGCAACTGACCTACACAAGGACCTATCTAATAGAGTTATGAAAAAAAAAATATAGGTAGCTAGGTAGGTACAGTTAGTTACTCTAACATTGCGAACTTAGGTACCTGTACCTAAGTATCTAGTAAAGCGGACATTGATCGGATAACGAAATACTTAGAGCTACAGTTCCTGCAGATATCTAATATAGAAAGTATTTATGTGACATATAGGTAATAGGTAGCTCAATTTCATATGTAAGTAGAACAGTAAGTAAAACTTTTAATTATTGCACTTGGTTCAGAATCGTTCTGTGATTTTTGTGCGGTTTTGCTACGCTCTAAGTAGATACCTGGGTAGAAGTCTGTCAATTTAGTTTTGCTAAGTAAACACAAAGACTAAGGTGCACTAGGTAGAGGCCCTGATATTAGACAATATTATGTACCTACTATGATGGAGCTACTTTTAAAATATAGCGATCCGATCAAATAACCGCCGAACCACAATCGTCCTATCAAAATTCCAGTAGTAAGGGTATAGGAGGTAGTTACCTAATGTAGGTACACACCTACATAGAGATGCTCTCTTTCAGGCATAGTTCTGATACGGTAGTACCAGTAAGTAGGTATACTTAAGTATTTAAGAAAAGAAGTTATATGTACCTTGGTTTGGTGACAAGGCTCAATTTACGAATTAAAATGATAATGACATTATCAAACATTGCGCATTGACTGGTGCTATATCGCAAGCACATAGGCACGTCTTACTGCCTATTGTTTGACATTGTGGAGCATTAGGATCGTGTAAGCAAGCACACACATCATTAATAGGTTCCTATTTCCTACTGGATCTACGATGCAACCTATTTCAGATTTTGTGGTTTACTTATTAAATACCTAAGTTTAAGAATAACGGTTTTAAAAATTAGATTATTAAAGTTACTTACATTGTAGTGTTTATTAGAGTAAAATGCTAGTAATATTAAAATTCTACGTTCTACCTAGTTTGGAACTTCTATGTAGACATCTAATAAAATAGTGCACGTTTAACGTGTTACTATAATAGTTATTTACTACTACAAAAACAGCGATAGAAGTTAATTTACATTTAAATTGATAGCGCAAACGTATTGTAATTTATAAATACTTACGGTTGTGTCTTTTGTCCTTCCACATTCTTGCAGATTATAACAATAAAATGAGTAATTAAAAATGTTCTTAAATTCATGATGAACTATATAACATCGAGTGCAGATGTCACTTGCACGGGATGAGACCGGTCCGCTGCGCGAGATCGTTCCACTACAACTGCGTGCGCAAGAGCGTCTATGGCTGCTCCGAGGAAAACGGATAAGGCTGCGCGGGCGCTGGATTTACCTACGGCTGGGAGCTTTTGCATACACCTAAAGCAAATCTGCACGCGATAAATTTTACTTTACGTAGAATGTGCGTCACGACAAACACAGTAAGTTGGTGACTCCAGAAAAAGGATAGGGTTTTAGATTTAGATACAATCCTGCCTCTCGCTGAATATCACACCGTTTACTAAGGAACTACATTCGTTTAGTAAACATTATTCGCATAATATTTTTGCTATGTGATAGTGAAAATGGTTTGATTATTTTTATTTAAAAGTTTATGTAACAGAGCACAAAAGGTGAACACAATGCCATAATTGTGGTATTCTCTTCCAGTCAACCTTTGGACCAATAAGAATGTACGGGACTATTCCCACCTCTCGTTCCCACCACTGCAACTCCTGTGTAGCCAGGATCTACAGCTTGACCGCCACAAAAACCCAACCAATAAGAATGTAGAGACGATTCGATTTTTTCAAGTTACTTATAATTTTTTTAAATGTAGACGGTGCCTAAATATGTATCTTGCAGTGAAATTAACTACTAACTGCCTTTACATTATTTAATATACTTAGCAGTAACCTGAGCACGAATATACAGGATGATTTTGTTATCAGTGTCCAAATTTTTAGGAGCGACTCAGAATCAGTAACTTAATTGATTTACGTAATTAAAGAAAATAAATATTTTTAAAGTTTTAAATTTGGCACACGTGGATAATTTGCTTCGTTCATAGAAAAATAGTACACACAGTGAACTGCAAATCTTAACAGACATAATGGTGCGCGAAAATAAGCCTTAACCTTTAAAAAATAAGATATGGAATTAGATTTAAGTACAATATTTTTTTTGCGAAAAATACCACGATTATAAATAATTAAGATTAAGTTGTATTGTTAAATTATTCTATAAGTTTATTTATTTTGGATACTGATAGCAGTCACCCTGTATATATCATTGTCATTAATTCCTAATTCTTTTTTTTGTACGAAAAACAATTAGGGTACTGGTATATGTCTAAGCCTAGCGCAGACCACCGATTTTTAGTTAGGTCGGGCTGTTAATCAGTATGGACGTGTATGAAAGTGCGCACATTACACCGATTTGGTATCGGCCGATCCTTCATACAAATTATAATCGGGCCCAACTATCGGCCAACTAAAACTGATGAACCAAGATGGTGGGATGTCTTATATTAATTACTAAAAGTAGGTAAATAATTAAAAAGCCTTTGAACGTATTTAATTATTTTTTATTGAATGTGGTTGCATACAGTTCACTGTATAAGAAATGAAATTCAAATCTTGTAATAAACTAGTAAGTCGCTCAAAGTGGCGTTCTGTATATGGCAATGAGCCTTCAATAAAACTCGCAAGTGAAGGCACTTTAAGATTACCAGCAATTATTTCTGGTGCTAATATATTGAATACAAGTTGAGCTGCATGACAATTTTTATTATTAGTGTTCCATTCAGCAGCAAACTTAAGTAAAGTTTCTTTTTGAGTGTTATTAATTTCCTTAAGTGTTTCAAAAAGTTTATCATTCCCCTGTTTCAGTACTTCATTAACAATTTTTAAGACATTCAGAGGTCTTTCCATTCGCAATGCGAGCTTCAAAGCCTTTACCATTTTTTTGTCATGCAATAGATTCAAAAGCTCTTGCTCTTGTATAACTAGTTGTTCTCTCTCTTTAGCTGTTTTTTCGCGACGTTCTGCTGTTACATCTTTTAGAGTGACTAGTTTGGAATCAGACCCTCCAGTGATCACAAGGGACTCATTTTTATTAAGAGCCAAAGACCATACTTTTCCATCATGATTATCCAAAGACATTTTACATTCTGATGTTTTAATATTCCAAAGCTTTAAGAGACCATCTGCACCACATGACAGAATTTGCTGACCTCTGGTGAGAAATTCAATCTTCAAAACTGAGCTCTCATGACCTTCAAAAGTTTTCAAACAACTTAAGTCTTGTATAGACCACAGTTTGAGTGAGCAATCTGCTGAGGAAGTTAAAATAACCTGATCAACAGGTGAAAACCGAACACACCACACTCCCCGCCTGTGTCCCTTTAATACTCCAAGTAATGTCAAATCTTCTGTCCATAATTTTGTTGTTTTATCTTGAGAACCTGTTGCTATCATTTTGTCATTGGGTGAAACTGTGACACAATTAATATCCATTTGGTGGGCTATTTCTGTATGAGTTGATTTAATTTTTTGATTTAAATTATCAGTTTCTTTAGGAACTGACCAAACTTTTAAACAATTGTCTTGACTGACAGAAGCAAAGAATTCTGCAGATGACTGGGAAGTAAAAACAGATCCAACAGAAGCTGTATGTCTTGCTCCAACACCAATGCATTGTATGCTTTTGTTTTCCATTTGTAGCCAAATTCTTACACTATTATCTTTGGCTGAAGAAATGAATAATTCTGGTCTGGTTGGAAAACATGCCAATGACAAAACTATGTCTGTATGACCTTTTATTATTTCACAGTTCATACTTTCCAACTCATAATACTTCAAATCCTTACTGTTTGTAGCAACTACTATGTGTGTTTCAGATTTTCCCACAAATATGATGTCTAAGACTTCATCAGTAAATCCAACCATTTGTTTCATGCAAGCAAATGACTCTAAATCATGAATAATGATGTTATGATCAGCAGTTACAACTGAAAGCATATTGCGGGCGTCATTAAATAGGAGATGGGTAGCAGCTAGCCCACCCTCCTCTGAGGCCGGGGACACAAGGCTGTTGGACTGCTCATACATCAGACGACTCATTTGCATATTCCAAACTTTAATTATTCCCTTTTCTCCCACGCAAGCCACATAAATTCCTTCAGTTTCCAACTTTTTCTTGAAGTTAGGTATTTTGAATGAGAGAGGCAAAATCACACAGGCCTCGATGCTCTCATAGACTGGGATAACTTTGACAGCTTTACTTTCACTGAGCTTCCAAAGGATTAATACTCGATCTCTTCCTGAACTAACCATATATTCTCCATCGTTAGTAAAATTTATGGAAGTAATTTTACTAAAATGACCTGCATATGTTACAAGTTCTTTACCTGATTTGCAATCCCAAGATCTTATTTTGGTATCATCAGCTGCTCCGAAAATAAGTTGTTTTGAATGGTCCGGATGATATTTCAGGACAGAAAACACCCCCATTGCTCCTCTTAAACTGCTTGTGCAAGTATTATGGGCAAGATTCCAGAGTCTTATATTGCCATCAGAACCACCTGATGCAACATTTTCATCCGTACAGTCAAATGCGATTCGAGCAACAGGACCCTTATGACTAGATCTCCACATTTTCAGTTGACTTCCAGTACATTTATCCCATAACTTCATTAAACCGCTCTTATGTGCTGTGATAATTGTATCATTACTATGTGACATTTTGAATGTGTATATTTGATCACTCTCAACATTTTCTTCGACATTTCCTATTACAAGTACCACAGACAGGGTATTGACATCGATAATTTTGATAACATCATCACACAGGCAAAGTAGGTGCGCGCCATCGGTAGTCCACTCTATTTCTCCTCCTGTGTAGAAGGCTGTATACTCGGCAGTTTTCTCATACCTGAAAGAAAGGCCGGTCAAGTTTAGAGGTTGTTACAGTTTCGTATATCAAAATGGTGTCCAAAATATTAGTCTAATAAATTAAGCATATTACATGAGATACTTACTCTTCCTTTAATAAGCTTCCCATGTTGTCTTCACAGCGTCATTAAATTGAACAAATTACAAAAAATAACACGGCTTTAAAATAATGCAACACGTGTATTTGACGCAAAGAGCATATTTGACGTTTCTTTTCTTCTTCTTCTTCTTTTTTTATGGCAACGGCTTGGTTTTGAGAACCATGATTTCGCCAATGTCACGTAAACAGTTTTGACAAAGTAACAGGGTTTACAAAAAAACAAAAATATTTAACGTTTCTAATAATAAGCAAAATTATTATTTGTGTACCTATAACAAAAAAGACAACACAAATTGAGACACCACAAATAGATACATAACATAGAAATTAAAATGTAAGGAAGGGGGTAGGTGGGACTAAAGATTGGGAGGAAAGAAAAAAATTCGGTTACCTACAAACGAATTTTGCGGGATTGAATAAAGGACAATGTTCGTTCTCCATACATTGTTCGCCTAAGAACCAACAATTTTGACATATTACTACCCGAAAGCGAAATAATACGATTCTGTGTGTAAGAACAATGATTCCTGATGGACACTTGCCATAAAATTAATGATTATGAATATTAAATCACAGCGATTTTATAATATGTCGTTTATGACAACATGGCGTCTAAATCACATTGATTGTATTGTGTGAATGTATGAACACCGATTCGCGAAAAATGTTTTGTATTGTCGTCACGCCGAGTCGCAGCCAAATAGTATAAAATAATAGAACAAGTTTTAGAAATACAACTCGGCATTCCACTTNATTGGGCGAAAGTTTTCGGGTTCTTTGGCATTAATTTTTTTAGGAACAGGTTTTACTACGGTTATTTTTAATAAATCAGGAAACGTGGCTTGTTCAAAAGATTGGTTAATTAAATATGTAAGTGGTTCAACTAGCTCCTCTCTACAGTACTTAATTAATGTAGGTGGAAGTTCATCAATACCATAACTTGACTTGTTTTTTAATTTTTTAATAATGTTTGTTACCTCAAGTGTAGTGACTGGTCTGAGATACATGGTGTTATTAATTGGTTGTACTACAGGGCGGCCTTCGGGAATCCTAACCTCATTATCACGCGATCCCACTGAAACGAAATATTTGTTGAAAGTATTTGCGACCAAATAGGGGTCTTTTAAGTTATCTCCGTTGTATTTTAACTGTATGTTTTTATGTATTTTTTTATTTCTTTTATTAGTTCGCTCTTTTATAATTTGCCACATGGCTTTAGTTATGTTTTTTGATGTTTTTATTCTACTAATATACTGATTTTTCTTCGATGTATTTACTGCAACTTTTAAGAGTTTTACATATTTTTTATAATAATTATTTAATGTATTGCTATTTATTTGTGATATTAATACTTTAAGAAGACGCTTATTTTTACACGATACTTTTATACCCTTAGTTAACCAAGGTTTTATTTTATTTTTAACTAATGTATTTTTCTTAGGAATTACAGAATCAAGTAGAGTAGTTAATTGATCAAGAAACATTTTATAGTTTTCATTTATATTTTTGTCAGCAGTAATAATATTAATCCAATTTATTGCCAATAGTTTTTCTTTAAATAACGCTAAGCTTTNTAAATTTTTTTAGGAACAGGTTTTACTACGGTTATTTTTAATAAATCAGGAAACGTGGCTTGTTCAAAAGATTGGTTAATTAAATATGTAAGTGGTTCAACTAGCTCCTCTCTACAGTACTTAATTAATGTAGGTGGAAGTTCATCAATACCATAACTTGACTTGTTTTTTAATTTTTTAACCCTATACTTGGCAACGACGGTTTTGGTTAATATTTGTGATTTACACTATAAATATTGGATTTTGGACGAGTAAAAATCATGTAAAAAATACGATAAAAAATCTTAGGTATTTAGTTTTGGAAATATAGTATGTATCTTTAAATGCACATTGCCAGCTTTGTAGTAAATTAAAACATGGTTTATTTGTTAATCGAATGTAATTATTTAAATGAAAATTACTACAAACCCCTAAGCTATTCCTTATTTGACAAATAAAAAATAAACATCTTTTACAAAAAACTGAAAACAAAGTAAAGAACCCACTTTAAAGTCTGTAACGCCTTGCAAGTATAGCTGCAATTGGATGTATGAAAACTAATCCATCAGCGTCGTTGGAGTACCTCCTGAACCTCAGACCCCTCTTACCATCCAGGAGAAGCAAATGTAGACAGAACACATGGGAATCTTACAAGACCATTAAAGAAATACAAAGGGTATTGATGCTAACTGGTACCGAACTGTGTTCACGTCTTTGATTGAAGATAATTAGATATCCAACTTACAGTGGAAACTCAAGATAGCGGAAATAGATCTCTGGAACTCTCAGGGAAACTATACAGCAGTCAAACTGGCTAAAATTCTTCAATCACCGGCTTTATAACCAGAAGCATGCAGCAGCTTGAACAGGCTGCTCGCTTTTTGGGGTGATCTGGGTTGGTTGGAGTAGGAAAATAACCACCCAAGAGAATTGGGAGGCTAAGTGTGGTTTCTGATTCATCAGCTGAAGTGTCACCGCTACTGACTTTCGACCTGGTTCTGGATTTTGGAACCAGAACCGGGATTTGTGCGCCTGATTTTGTTGCTGCAGCACTTAGTTGTTAAAAAAACAACGATTCTTTATTATATTAATTAAAACTCACATCGACATATAATTTACAGTTATAAATATTGTAAGTAATATAATAATTCCTTTTTTATGCGATAAAATCTACGAAAAAAATAAAACAAAGTCAACGAGAACCTGGCAATGTGTCTTTAAAGATACATTCAAAATTGAAAGTAAATTATTACGTATCTGGCAATGTGCATTTCGAGATACATTCGGACAATACGCATCGTATAGAATAATTATAAAGTTTTAGGATGAAAAAAACAGCACTATCATCAAAAAACATTTATTTACTATCTATATTACTACAATTAATTACCAATATTCTTTAAAAAAAACACCGAAAATAATCAAAATTATCAGCCAGTGCGTAGACGCCCGTCAACGGTCTGACATTTGGCATATTACTGTTAAATCTGTGCAATCTGTAGTGATTCTATACTGTATAACACAATCTGTAGTATCTGGGCTAACGTTATATTTAAAAAACATTTGAAAATAGTTTTTGGTTTATCCCCCATATTTTTGTTTTGGTCAACGTATCTATAAATGCACAATGCCAAGAAAAGGGTTAATAATGTTTGTTACCTCAAGTGTAGTGACTGGTCTGAGATACATGGTGTTATTAATTGGTTGTACTACAGGGCGGCCTTCGGGAATCCTAACCTCATTATCACGCGATCCCACTGAAACGAAATATTTGTTGAAAGTATTTGCGACCAAATAGGGGTCTTTTAAGTTATCTCCGTTGTATTTTAACTGTATGTTTTTATGTATTTTTTTATTTCTTTTATTAGTTCGCTCTTTTATAATTTGCCACATGGCTTTAGTTATGTNGTCTAAGCCACATTCGCATAAGGAACTATCCTTTATGTGCATCTTCGCGAGGTGAACCGGAGTACACGCATGACCAATTCGCAACCGACATATAATTGATACGGAACTTTTTGGTAAGTATTTGTGTTTAAAAAACCAGGGTCTAGGGGGAATATCGTTTTGAATGTCAGCATAATATTTGCCAACCATCCTTTTTGAATTGTCCCAATGAGTTCTCCACGATTTATAAAGATGGGCTAGGGAGAGGGATGCAGCATCATGAGAAAATAGTGAGTAGTGCTCTAGGGAGCCAGAGGATATAGCATGTTTTGCGCATGAGTCAACAGATTCGTTTCCTGGAATTCCTCTGTGACTAGGGATCCAAGCTAAAACGATATTTATACCCTTCGAACGGCAATCAAAGAGAGCTTCTCTTATTTTTAAGACGGTTGGAAATTTAACTTTAGACTTAAAAGTATTGGCCAGAATCGATTGGAGACAACTTAGGGAGTCCGAAAAAATTAAAACATTATTTAATGAGTGGGATCTGACATAAAGAATTGCTTCTAAAATTGCCACTGCTTCACCGGTAAAAACCGATGTCACTGGGGGACATTTGTAACTAAGAGCGATTTTGTACACAGGTATCCACACAGCGGCGCCGACACAGCCGTCATCAGCGAGCTTGGACGCATCTGTGTACATCGTGAGCCAGCCTTGCCAGTGTTCGGATAAAATAATTCTGAATTCTTGGGGTGCGGCAGGGGAATCCTTAGAAATACCGAAATTTAAAATAACAGGCGGTTGGAATATTAACGATTCAAAGCTATTGGAGAAGAGAGGGAAAACAGGGGTTTTTGTAATGGGACATGGAAGACGACTAAATTTTTGAAAGCTTAGCAAAATGCAAGGTGTCTTTTGAGAAGAAGATGAAATGTTGGAAGACGAGAGAAGCTCAAGTTTTTTTAAAAGTGGATGAGAGGCATTCTGAGCGACCTTAGCAAAGAAACGGTCGCTGAGGTACTGCCTACGCAAATAGAGGGGAGGGTCAACGCTCTCTACTTGTAACGCATTTATAGGCGAAGATTTCATTGCTCCCAAAATTATGCGTAGGCACTTTGATTGTGTTTTGGATAATCTATCAAGGGCTGCCTTGTTACAAGGATCCAAAAGAAAAGACGCGTAGTCAAAATGACTGCGTACAATGGCGTTATAAAGGAGCTTTTGGGAGTAAGGGTGGGCCCCCCACCAAGTGCCTGAAAGGGCGCGAATTACATTAATTCCATTTTCGGCCTTTTTAAGGATGGAGTTAAAATGAGCGACACCAGACAGTCTACAGTCTAGAGTCAGACCCAAAAATTTGACCTGGTTGCAGCAGGGAATAAGGTCACCATCTATAAATACCTCTATGTTCGGAGTGTGTCGTTTCCGGGTAAAAGTAACGCAACAGCATTTCGGAACAGAGATGGATAGTCCGTGGGAGAGCATCCAGTCACTAAGATAGCTTAGAGCGGAATTAAGACGAGTAGTTGCGTCGTCTATGGATTTAGATGAGATGTATAGGGCAATATCATCGGCGTATTGAAGGATGTTGCAAAAAGAATCGACAGCTTGGTCAAGGTCGTAGGTATATATGCTGTAAAGGAGTGGACTGAGAACGGAACCTTGAGGTAGGCCTTTCCAGAGTAGACGGGGAGGGGATGTGATGTTTTGACATTTAATTGAGACAGTTCTTGCCATTAACGAGTTACTGATGAAACGAACCAACTTCTCCGAGCCACTCAGATGTAGCAACTTTTGCCTGAGTACTGGAAGTAAGACGTTATCGTAAGCGGAAGATATGTCCAAAAAAACACCCACTAAGTACTCCTTATTCCTGAAAGCCAGTCTGATGTCGGTGGTTAAAATGCTAAGACTGTCCAGAGTGCTCAGTCCTTTGCGAAAACCGAATTGAGACTTTGCTAGGATACCGTGAGACTCCATGAACCACTCCAGGCGGTTTCTGATCATATGCTCCATAACTTTTAGTAGGGCAGAGGATAAGGCTATAGGGCGATAGGAGCTATGTTCTAAAGGATCCTTCCCTGGCTTCGGTATAGGTATTACGATTTGTTCCTTCCAAGAGTCAGGGACGGATCCTAGGTCAAAGAAGTTGTTGACTAGTTGAAGAAAGACAGTTTTGGCTTTAGGGGGAGAGTTAACTAGAAAGGAATATGGCAATCCGTCGGCTCCGGGGGACGAATCAGTTAGCCCACTAAGGGCACAAAGGAGTTCGTCAGCAGAAAAAGGGGAATCTAAGTTACCAGTTGGGGGAATAGGCACAAAGGAACCGGAAGGGAAGCAGTCCATAAAGGGGACAAAAGGAGGGGCTAATTTATCTGCAAATTCTTCCAACCAAATAGAGGGATCGTTTGAGGGAGCGTTGGATGATGACAGGGATTGGCGGTACCTTCTTATCTGCTTCCACACTACAGAAGAGGGCGTCCTGGGAGACATATTCTCGCAGAAACGGGTCCATCCTAGCTTTTTCTTTTGTGATAAAAATTTCCTTGTCTGGGCTGCTGTCTGCTGGTAGAGCAGAAAGTTCTCTATTGTCATAGACCTATTATAGCGTTTTTCCGCCTCTTTGCGTTTCCGAATGGCAGCTGAACACTCCGCATCCCACCAGGGGGGGGAGGTCTTATGTGTAGGATTCTTTTGAGGGAAATGTTCATCTGCTGACATCCGGAGGATGTTTGTAAAGTGATCATACACTGAAATTGAATTTAAAGGGGAGATAGTGGGAAGTGAGTCTAATTTATTATTTACTGATAATGAGAAGGCTGACCAATCAGCATTATTTAATTTATATCGTAGTAGAGGAGGGGGACGGACGGTTGGGGATGATTTATTAGGGATAGTTAACAAAATGGGGAAATGGTCGCTGCCAAAAGTGCTTTTTAGGACATTCCAAGAGAGAAGTGACGAAAGGTTAGGAGAGCAAAAAGATACATCCACGGCGGTGGCTGGATTTTGAGATGGACGGCATCTTCTGGTTGAACAGCCGTTGTTTAGGACGCATAGATTTAGATCGTCTAAGAGGTCTAAGAGTAAAGATCCTGGGGAGTCCGTGTGATAGGAGCCCCATGCAGTATTATGAGCATTAAGATCGCCTAGGATAAGGACGGGAGGAGGAACAGCCAGAATGGCTGAACGCAGTTCATTAAGGGAGGATGAGTTAGGACGGGGAATGTAAACGGATAGGATTGAAAGGTCGAAAATTCGCACAGCCACGACATTAATGTCCTGGCTATGCGAGGGAAGAGGGAGTTGGGAATAGGAGAGGGAGCGCCTTACAAGAAAAGCGCTTCCTGCGTATCCATCGTTTCTATCATCCCGGAGACATGAATAGCCAGATACACGGAAGTGTGAATCCGGAACTAACCAGGTCTCCGAGACGGCTATGAACGACGGAGAGTATTTATTAATTAGGTAGGAAAGTTCGTGTTTTTTCCTTCTAATGCTCTGACAGTTCCACTGAACCGCCTGGATTGCCATTGTAATGAGATATCTGAGAGATTTGGGAAAGTTTTTGAGCAACGTTGGTCGGTATATTGTCTTTGTGTTGGGTAACAACACGGAGGATGAGGGTTAGGACAAGATCTAAAAGGTTCATGTCATCTGACGAGGACGATGGAGAATTGTCGGTAAGGGCGCAACCATTTGGAAGACTAGAAGCACAGTTGCCAATAATGGCCTGGTGTGCCTGCCTGTCGTAGCCTTTTCCTAACGGCGCGTGTGAGCGGGGGGAGCGAGGTATGGATTTCTTGTACGAGAGAGGTAGGTGGGATGTTTGTGAATGGAGTGGTTGGGATGGAGAGGGTAGGGGTTGTGAGGATGGAGACTTTGTGATGTCAGCATAAGACCTACGAGTTGTTGGGTACATGGCCGAAGCCTCAGCGTAGGAGATGTTATCTTGTGACATAGCTATTTTAATTGCTTTCTGTCTGGAGTGCTCTGGACAGGATTTGTTAAGAGCGAAGTGGGGTCCTGTGCAGTGAATGCATGTGGCCTTTTCTTCCGTAACATCACAGTTATCCGCTGAGTGGGGTTGCGTGCAACGAAAACATCTAGCCTTCGACCTGCACTGAGCTTTGACATGGCCAAAGCGGCAGCAGTTGAGGCACTGAATAGTAGGGAGTTGGTATGTCTCAACTGGGATTGAATTATGGAAGAGAAAAACTCGTTTTGGCAAAACCTGTCCTTTAAACGTCACAACCACCGATTGAGTGGGGACCCAGGACGCCTGTCCGTCTGTGGTCACTTTCCTGTTTAGACGACGAGCTTTTAGCAGGATACCACAACCATCAGGGATTGTCAATGACTCAGCGAGTTCNGGAATTACAGAATCAAGTAGAGTAGTTAATTGTTCAAGAAATATTTTATAGTTCTCATTTATATTTTTGTCAGCGGTAATAATATTATTCCAATTTATTGTTAATAGTTTTTCTTTAAATAACGCTAAGTTTTTTGGGTTAAATTTTCTTTTGCATACATAATGTTCCTGATTATCAGTTAAAGTTAGCCCTAATTTATTCAGAGTTATAGAGATGCCTCTGTGATCTGAAAGCCCATACTCCTTAACATCAACATTCATACAGCTTGCGTCAAAGTTAGTCAATATTGCATCCAGGCAAGTGGAGCTTGTGGCCGTTACTCTTGTAGGTTCTTTTATATTCTGATGAAAATTGAAACTCTTAAATAAATTAACCATATTTTTAGTTTCTATTGTTTTGCTAAGGAAGTTTACATTTAAATCACCCCCTATTATTATATTTTTCTTTAAATATTTAGTTGTTAATAATTTTAATAAATGCTCTAGTTGTGTATTAAATAAAGTCACTTCTCTTTTACTATTTGGCCAGTATAAAACTATTAAAATTGTATTTAGACTAGGAAATTCAATTGCACATAATTCCATAATATATTCTATAGACAATAACTTAATGTCATCTAATTCAATAAAATCTATTTTATCCTTAACAAATATGCACACACCNACTAACCTAAAAACATTTTATAGTCATAACTAGGCGGTTATTTGACCACGATCGCACCTGATGTTAAGTGGGATGCAGTCTAGTATTCTGTAGGCTACGTTTCTTACTAAAAGGAAAATACAAAAATTGCAGTAAAACCACATATTTTAGTTTTCTCGTAATTCTCATCCAATACCATCTACTGGACTCCACTGAACAGCTCTAGATAATGTTCCCGAACATTCACAGCGCCATTTGTCATTATTAAAACAATGCATCCAAACAACTACCACTAAAATAGCAGAGTTAAAACACCAACATGTTTTGTTTTGTTTTGTTTACACGTTGCAACTTGTTTGCTTACGCTTCAGCAGTAGCAATTCATTATTGTAAAACTGTATCAGAGATTAACTGCAATCTAAAATAAGGAGTCACTTTACTTGAAAAAGCGTCATTTTTCAATTAAAGTGGCTCCTTATGTTAGATTCAATGCTCATAATTACAATAATATATTTTTTACTCTAAAATGGTTGTGCATAACTCCAAAGATGTTCTGCTATAGTTCTCTACACTTTAACATACTACACAGGTATTTTTTATAATAATTTGTATGAAAATATCTGTGCATTACATTCTGAAAGAACTTTGCATGCCGAACAAACAACTCATAAAAAGCAGAATATTTAACAAGAATAATATCCTTAGCTATTTACGGAAATGCACATCTCAAACATTAAATACGCAAGTTGGAAACATTCAAAGTAAATGAACTTTTACATTAGTTTTCAGGTTTGCTCTTCTGATTCTCGCACAAAAGGCACTATTCTGAAATTACAAATAGAATAACTACTTAATAAAATTTCAGTAGCTTTAGCAACTTTATAGGTTCTCACACGTTAGCTGTCTCTAAAGCGATGGCTATCAAACGAATGTCCTAAGAAACTGAAAACTTATTTAAAATACTAAGAAAGCAACTTTAATAAAGAATCAAATAAGTTATAGTGTCCATCTGGGTAACTTTACCCATCGTAACTATACTTTGGGCCAGTGTTATACTGATGGGTTAAGTTACCCATATTTACATACCTACGCAGCTATTTGAAAAAATTTCTAAATTAACATTGCTAACTATTATGTCTTGAAGTAGTTAAGAGCTTTTACACAAAAACAAAATTAAAACGACACATCTGAACAATTCAACAAATCCCACGTACATTTCAGTTATCTATTTTCTCTTCTAACTTAGACGTTTCTATTTAAACTCCAGAATAAGGCTGCAAACAAGTAATTATTAAACCGCCATACCTTTGAAATCCGTAAGCTACAATGCAGTTGCGAGCAATTTCAAACTCAAGTTGATTTCTATTTTCTATGCAAGTCGGCTTTATTAAATGTGTAATTAATATCTAATAGCTTTACGCTTGTGAAGACACTTGATTTTATTATTATCTATTGTTTTCGAGTACGTGCGTTGGAGGTTTTAATTAAATTGTCTTAGGTAGGTGCTTTAATATCTGTATCACTTTAAATGATACCAAATTTAAATTATACGTAATTTTCAAAGCGGCTAAAATGCGTTATAAAATTAACGATGTATCAATTTTCATTACTAAAGCTTCAAAAGAAAAATATGACGATATTTTTACAATACAAATATACGAGTTATCATATCCCTTGTACTCGTATGTAGGTGGACATAATAATGTAATTGGGAGGGAAAACAAAATTTTACAAAGGGCATGCATTAAAACAAAGCAGACCTTTAAAATACGTAATCAGATTCAAGAACTTTTCTATGAAATGGGTTGGGAATCCGGATTTTCATATTAATTAGCACACTCACATCAATGACTTTGAATGAGACAATTAATTTCAGTTACAATTAATTTTCAGATGTAATTAGAACGAATTTAATTTAATAATAAGATTAAATAGATTTAAAAAAGTGACATCATGAATTCAGAAAAGATAGGATTTCAGGAGAACTTGTGATCTAAGGAACGCGGGTTCGTATCCCGCCGCCGCTCGACTATTGTAGTGAACTCACTCGTAACAAAAGCATTTAGCTTACTACGAGGGGTAACGGTATTGTAAATACAAATTACTATATAGTCCAGTAGAATTAGCTTTTAAATCGGAAATAATTCCTACAAAAGATTTTATTGCTTTAATGGCCTCATTGGTTGCCCATTAAGACTCTCCTAAGTTTTCGACTTCGACGGAGTTGTGCTTAAGTGGTGGGGGCCCCCGAAAGGGGCGTTTTTTCGGTTTTCCGGTTATACCGCGTAAAGGACTTACCCTATCGAAAAGTGGTCTTCATGACGGTTGAAGGGCACTTAATCCTGCATTGAATAAGACCAAATTCAAATGTTTTGGATAAACCGTTCCCGCGCTAAAGTTCGGAAAAGTAGAAAATATACGTATAATTAATGACCCTCTCCACGTCCAATGGCTCGTTACCCGCAGGCTTCCAAGTCTTGAAAAGGAGCGCCTCAACCAGTGTAACCCTATCAAGGCATACGAGCTGGATTCGCCGATCCTTGTTCGTCCCAGCCGTTCCTTAACTGCGGTTGCTGCACCTCTTCCTGGCACTCACCTGAACGACTCTGTGTTACCTACTGTGGCTGCCCCTCTTCCTTGTATCCTCCTGCACGACTACGTTGCCTAGCCGTATGTTTTTTTTATTTAGTAGAAATAATAATGGCAGGTTGAACCAACAAGAAGGTTTTAGTTTATCAATCATAAAAATTTTCTTGACAAGATAAATGTCAAACAACTTTAATCTGAATAATTTTGAACTTTACTGACTAACAGTTAAAGATTATTTTGTCTATCTCGAGATTATTCTGTAACATAGTTTCAAAAGGTAATATGTGCTCGCGATTCGTTGAAGGAATCAATTTGAAAACTGACGAACCTTTTCATTCCGCGACTGTACCTTAATTATTATGTACATTTTAAAGATTAAATAGAAAAAAACGTGTTTTTAACACGGTAAAACAACATATTATCATAAACGAAAATATGTATTGATCATCAATCATCATTATCGTCATCATAATCAACTTGGATTATAAAATTGGCATCTTGTTAAATTGATTATTTTATGAAGCTAAGATTTTATTAACAAAAGGATTTTCATAAAACCCATGGATTATTGGCCAGGGAGTCCAGTAATAGAAAAATAATTTCCCAATTTTTTTTGTAACTTCAAAAGTATGATAATAAAAATTCAAATAACCATTTTGAAATGATCGGTACATTTTTAAGCCTTAGTTTTTCAAGTGAAACCTTAAATTCAAGAAAGGATTATTTTTTAATTTATGAAAATGCTCTCCATTCTTAGTGGGAATGTTTCAATGTTGACAACACTTCTGAAATGTCAAAATTCCGTCGAATTAAAAATCAGAGTTTAATATTCTTTATCAAAACATACGATAATTTCATGAAAAAATACATAAAAAGTAATGTCAGAGTAGGTAGAGTCACCACTCTACACCATGAATGGATGTGATGGCGATGGCACCCCATCACATTCGTTCATAAACAGACACTACTTTAAATCTATGGTTTTGACGTCACCGCAAAATTACATGTAACCATCAGCCACACTGTAACCACAAATCGCGTGCGTCATTTTTCATTCATTTCGTAAAACAGCGCAAAAGCACTTAAGTACAGGCAACAAAAAATCAAGTTATACAATGCAGTATCTTATTCAGTCACAATAGGTATTATTTTGCAACATTTACAGTCTGATGTGGTTGACTGTCCCTTACTTTACCATTTTTCGCATGGTGGCTCGCTCGATCGGCCATAACATATCATATTACACTAACTCACTGATTCGACATTGATAAGCGAACGAAGCTCACAATCAACATAGTATGTTTGGATCATTTATCACCGTTCGAGTAATGTTCGAGAGATCACAAATTGAACGTCTAAATACGATTGTAGTGGTAACCTTGTGAAGCTTTTAATACAAGATGACTCTTATTTTGTATCTTTCTTAGCTAAAAGTATCCTGTTCAATGGGTGAGTATTTAGTAATTTTTGATAATAATTATCTATAAATACTATTACTAAACCTGACTCTCTTATAATTTATGGGGGTTTGCTAGCAATTTTGTCAAGTAATTTAATGAAATAAATAACTTTAACCTTACGAAGTTTTATCCACTTCCATGAATCAGTCACTGGCTTTAAATCTTAACTAACATGTTTGCAATAAATTACCCGATTTAAGCATGTTTAGTGTAATGAAAAGAGACGACAATAAAGTTCAATATACCTCTCAACCATTTTATACTTAAACTTAAGACACTGAATTAAAAAATATTTGCAGTATAAATAAAAAGTCCAAAGGTTAACTGCAACTAAAGGTTAATTGTTCCTTGCACAATAAGTAAATTATCATACTGAAGTAAATAAATCGCATTAAAAGAACGTGCAATTAAAGTCTTAAAGAAAGATTCTTCAACTAAACTCAATGAGACTGTTTTTAGATTACAATATTAATGCAAAACTGAATGCTGAGGAGAAAACTGGACGGTTTTTCATGCGGTTTTCACCAAGCAGATAGAGTGATTCATCAGGAAGGCTTAGACGAATCCCTCTAAATCAGTAATACCCGATTGTAGTCTATAGATGATATTGACCTCGAAGGGGACTATTATCATCATCATAATCATCATCATCATCATTTCAGCCATAGGACGTTCACTGCTGAACATAGGCCTCTAAAGGGTCTATGCATGGAGTAAAATAAATTCACGAGTTGATGTTCAGGAGTTGTAAATAACTTGTTGAACTCATTTGTTTGGTCTTTAAATATTTATTTAGCAGGATAAAATTAAATAAATGTTTTAAAACAACCTCTCATTATGTGTGTTAATATTTGTTTTCTCAAGAATAAAGTCTTCCTCACATAGCTTTTTATTCGCAGGTCTCATCTGGGCCGAGATTCGCTCGCTCTGGACAGGAGGGCTGATGGAGTACATCAGCGACCTATGGAATATCGTGGACTTCATTACCAACATGTTCTACATCGCCTGGATTAGCTTGAGGGTTGCTTCGTGGTACATTGTGCAGGTGAGCTCTTTCTTCGCAGATTTTGTACCCGTCATCATCATTATCTTCATCACTAGATTATTTTATCTCTAATGCAGGAGCCCTCTCTAATTTACCAGAGACAAAAAGAAGATTTGGCCTACACTCTCCACATTCTGGAGATGGGTCAGGGAGATCTGATGTTTACAGATTTGTCCCTCAGCACTCTCTTGTGACATCCACGGCAAAATTAGGGGTGGCCTAAAATCAAAACGGCCCAGCTGGATTAAGATTTATTATCTCTGGTTTGCTGAAATGATTCTATTTGAGTACTAGAACAACCCCCTTTCGGACCGAAAAGTTGTACTTATGCTGCTGGTTATTTATTAGCCACAACAGTCACACTTTAATTTGTTATGTCTTTATTTATCGCCAAAACAACCAAAACACATGAGTTCTCCAATTAAAAATACGATAAGTCAAAGTGGGTCACCGTTTTATCATGTCATACCAATAAAAACAAACCTGTGTCCATTTAAACAGGTGTGAAGCTCGCGTCCACGTTGATGTCTTCCTGCCATTCCAGTAACAACCCTCGTCCGGTATAAACGTTTGTTTGGTTGGATGTCTCAGAAGGACGCTCCATCTGGAAAGAATTTTTAAAATTAACACAATGTCTGCTTTGAAAATCAGGGGCTACTGACTCACACTGAGAAACGTTGTCAATCCCCAAACTAAAAAGAGCTCACACTAAAAATAAATAACTAAACATTCTTAAATACAGAACAAAAATAACTACCAAAACTAGACTCCTTATTTTTTTTGTACCTCTCTCGTCTCGTTTCGTCATAGCCAAATGATGTCCACTAAAATTCATAAAATTCATTTATTTTTGCAAATAGGCTTTTAGAAAGCACTTTTACACGTCCCAATATTAACCCTACCACTGCTTCGGGACAATAAATGGGCCAGTGCTGAGAAGAAGCAGCGCAAGAAACTCAGTCACTATTATTCTGCTGGACAAAGGCTTCCCCCAAGGATTTCCATAACCACCGGTCCTGCGCTGCCCGCATCCAAGCGCTTCCCGCTACCTTCACCAGATCGTCGGTCCACTTCCATCCCATTTTTTTTACTTAAAAGTATTATTTTGTCTTAATTACGGTAATTGGTAAGATTTATAGGTGTTTTAATATCGTGTTGATTTCATCACGGACGCGGGATTGCCCCGCATGCGTGACACGTGTTCTTTTCATACAAGTATTAATTCTTGTTCCGCGTGCGTATTCCACGCATTACAATGCGTAGAATGCACGTAATGAAATCCTATATTACCATTTGTTCCTATAAATTACACTACACTAGGTAAAGTGTGCTAGCCACAATACAGATTTATGTCTGCCAAATTCTTCAGAGCTCTATCTCTTCGGGCGTCCGGATCAAAACCAGAGGTAGATATTTCGGTACTCAATACTTTCTGACCTATTTATCTTTTCTCCCAACTAAATACGATCTGCGCGTGTTTTCACTTTGTGGTTTGTACACGTGTTGGTGCAGTTTGCACTTTCATTCTTTATTTCGTTGTTCATCTTATAATTTTCTTCAATGAAAATGATTAGTCGTAAGTATTCTCATATTCGAAGGTTTTTAAATAAAAATATTAATAATAATAATATTGGCAAAAAGATGAAAAATACCTGTAATTCTTTTTATTCTCCTGCATTATTATCAACTTTTACTACTTGAGGCATAAGCAATACTATTATATCGAATGCATTATGTCTGGAAATCTAAAATAGATTTGGTCCTACTCTCTGACTACTAAAATCTACGTTCCCGGTGTTACCCAATATGTTATCGGTGTAGACATCCAATATTAGCCATTTGATTCGTCGCGTTAAATTTTACCCGCGTGAGTGATGGCCGCAGACAAAACGCAATTTTTCTAGAACCGCACAAATGATAGCGATTAGTCATTTGATAGCCGAAATATGAATCTATAAATTGTTACTCGTGTGTTCGAGGTTTTACTTTTTTATGAAATACATATTGATAAGCTTCACTAAACAATGTTAAACAAGCATAGCGCATATCAATTCAAATACATAATTTATTCGTATATAGATGTATAGGTATGTATTCGTACATAACTACGAAATAATTAGCTACCTTTGCTACGATCGATGTATGGATATGATAATAAAAGTTTAAGCAGATTAGACGCTCCCTCATAATTAATTTGATATTGAAAATCGAATTAAGTAGTATGTAGGACGTTATTTTTTAATCAATTTCAAACGAACACGGTCGTTGTATAAATACCAAGTCTACGTTTGTTAGAGAAACCACTTCATTTTCTGGGGTTCAATTAGAAACTCGGCCTTTCATTGAAAACAAAAACATAAAAGGTGTATTAGCAGGGCTTAGATTGTCATATAAACTACATATTATCACATTTCTAAAGTTTTTGATATCCCTTATTTTTCCGTAGCGCGACTACAAAAGCGGCATGGACCCATGGTACCCCCGCGAACGCTGGGACTCCTACGACCCCATGCTGCTCTCTGAAGGTGCCTTCGCTGCTGGCATGATATTCTCCTTCCTCAAACTGGTGCACATCTTCTCCATCAACCCTTACCTTGGACCGCTGCAGGTGTCCCTCGGAAGAATGATCCTGGACATCATCAAGTTCTTCTTCGTTTATATGCTGGTGCTGTTCGCGTTTGGGTGTGGTAAGTTTACGGATTGTTTAGTTTATTAAAGAAGCAGGTGTTGTTATTATCTGAACCCGTATGAAATAGCAAAAATAATCAAATTCTTTTTCTTGGATATACTATCCTGCAAAATTTCAACCCTGATTGAAGCCGCTTTGAGCGATTTCTTTTAACTACTGTAGTAGGTATACCACTCATACTTTAACAATAAGTATGGATATTTTTTCTATGATTCAAAATGACCCAAAATATTTTTCACAAATTAGGTCACTGTAATGTTTAGAGTTCTGACTTCTATTGCCACATATGTAATCTTTACCCCAACTTAAATCGTAACATGTAAGATCATTCTTTTGCTTAGAGTTATAATTAAAAAAATCCCATCAGGCCTGAACCAGCTGATGTGGTACTACGCGGAGCTGGAGAAGAACAAATGCTACCACAACCCGAATGGTATGCCGGACTTCGACACGCAAGAACGAGCCTGCACTATCTGGAGAAGATACGCCAAGTAAGAAAGACATTAACATCAAACTATTTTCTAACTAAAGACAAAAAGAACCTCCTCCTTTTTAAAATCAGTTAGAAAGATAACACCGATACTTTGCTACTAACAAATACCTACAGAACTGACTACATTGTTAAATAACTGTTTTTCTGAAAGATTCAACACACTTCTTTCATACAAGATTCTGTACCGACCTAACAGTAGCTACCTATCTGGATTCTAACGTTTCGATGACGAATGAAAACGATTTTTTTTTACTACTTGTTCTCTCATCTGATTCTCACCTCTAAAGTTGTAGGGTACAAAATCATAGCCTTTCATTTGTTTTTTTTTCCATCTACTAGCCCAATATTAGGTCAGTTATCTTTTTATGAATTTAAATCCTTGGAGTCTCTAATTTTATAAATTTCCGTAGCCTATTCGAGACCTCCCAGTCCCTCTTCTGGGCGTCGTTCGGGCTGGTCGACCTGACGACCTTCGAGCTGACCGGCATCAAGAGCTTCACGCGCTTCTGGGCGCTGTTGACCTTCGGCTCATACTCCGTCATCAACATCATCGTGCTCCTGAATATGCTTATCGCTATGATGTCCAACTCTTACCAGATCATTTCTGTAAGTTGGAAAAGTTTTTGTGTCATTAACTTGCTGATGGAGGGAGATAGATTACGGTAACGCTGTACAGAGCATCTTTATGCAGTTATAATAGAAGCAATTGTAACTCTACATTACTCTTATTTATCACCTAGTAGTAAGTGCATGGATTTCGAAGGTGACTGAGTTTCATCCACCACTTCTTCTCAGCACCAGCCCATAATTATTTTGTCCTCAAGTGGTGGTAGGGCATGCTATTTGGGACGCAAAGGGCAAAGTCCTTAGGGCAAAAGGCCCTGGAATGGGCCTAAGTATAGAATAAATTTATTTTTCGTCTTTTAAAATGTGACTAATTCAATATTATTATACTTACTACTTATTTTTTTAGGATTGAACCAAGATCATCCAGGATTTAAAATACAATTACATTTTTGTGTAGGAACGTTCGGACATGGAATGGAAATTCGCTCGCAGCAATCTCTGGATGTCATACTTCGAGGACGGTGACACAGTTCCCCCACCTTTCAACATCATCCCTACTCCTAAACATCTGGTGTGCTGGATCAAGCACTGCTGTGGGAATAGGGAACGTGGATCTATAATAGTAAGTTACCAATCCATACTACTCACGACGTTGTACCATTTCATTTCATACTAATTGTAAGTATTAATATTAAAATCTTCTTTTTACCATTTGGGAACGAGTAGTTTCAGACTTTTTGAGTCATATACACGACTAATAACAAAATGTGTTAAAATATCCAAGTCAAAATTTGAGAAGAATTAAGGTATTTCTTTAAGACAATATGATTTGAAAGAAAGAAAGAAACATTGTTTATTTGGTTCAAACATAGATGATGATGATGATGATGGTTTGAGATTGATTTAGGTATATTGAGATTGTCGTAAGTGATGATGAAGTACCTAAGATGGAGTAGGTGCCTTGGCTTACTCTGTAAACATCTATGTAGACTCAAGTGTTAAAATACCGAAATTAAAGAGATTACTGCTGAAGCAACTAAGTAAATATTCACCAAAAAAACTTTATCCAGAACAAATCTCGAGAAAAAGCCAGGCAACAGCACGAGGCAGTCATGAGGGTGCTGGTCAGGAGATACGTCACCGCGGAACAGAGGGCACGTGACGAGGTCGGAGTGACGGAGGATGACGTCATGGAGATCAGACAGGACATCTCCACGCTGCGCTTCGAGCTGATAGACATCCTCCATAATAATGGGATGAAGACGCCGAGGCTGAAGATGCAGGATTCCACTGGTAAGGACTTTTAGCTTATGAAACAATGGCTGTTTTACAGGCATGAACAAAAGAAAGCCGAAAGAGTCACAACTCACCACATAGGTACATAAATCTCAACTGAAATAAGTATACTAAATCTATATGTGGTAGGTATTCTATAGGTAAATACCATAGTCTTCTCTCTCGTAGATACTGCATATAAAATGGATAATATGGCCTAAGTAACAATTGATTTAGTATCATATTGATGACCCAATTATCTGAAACTTGCCAGCAATAAGTACCTACCTAATTGCTATTTTTAGATTCGAAAAATAACTTGATAGTCAAGTCATTTTTTACCCTTGCCACATAATTTCAAATAATGGGAACTTACATTGTCACTGCAATATTAAAAGAAAATTCCTTCTGTTTCAGCAATGGATATTCTTAGATAATTCTACTACTTACCACTTTAGAAACTTTATAGAAACTTTATTAATTTACAATGTTTACTATAAATAGTCGCTGGCAAGAAAGGCAAGGTGATGGAGCGAAGGATCCTCAAGGACTTCCAAATTGGCATCGTGGAGGGCATCATCAAGGACGTCATCTCCAAGGAGAGCAAGCCCAAGGACGTCTTCAGCCAGATCGCCAAGGCCATAGTCAGGAGAGGAAGCACTGACAGGTAATAATAAAACATTGATAGATCTTCTGACTACTTTAATTGGTTAATAAAAAAATAGTAATACCCGTTTTCACCATCAATCCCTAATTTTTGAGTGACCCCTATGATAACACGTAACATGCATTTTGTTTTCGTAGGGGTCAATTAAAAGCCACACTGTAAAATGATACTCAATACGGGTGTAAATCCAATGTGAACGTCCAGGACGATGACATTGATCTTGATGATGAAAACTGAGTATGTTTTACCGTAAAATTCAATTTTTTGAAATCAATCAAGTCAGTTGAGTTCACGAGGTAAAAATTTGTGGTAGATTAGTCCCTTATTAATGCTTGTGTCAGGAGGAGAGAATTTACCATGATAGGTCAGCGGTCGACGGGGACCACACTATCAGTTATTAGTTTATCACCCATGCTAGTCGTCTGAATCCAGGCTAAATTGATTACCTGGTCTGGTCTGGCTCTGGCAGTGTTGGGAATGAGATTTGCTTTTAGATGTTATGCTAATTATGGCTTTTGGTAGAGATAAAGTTTGTGATAATCACTAGGCAAAGTTTGGTGTATAATTTTATTGGTTGAGCCGTGTGGTTCTGACAGAGTAGAATAGAAAAACTCTCACTCTTTATGGGTTGATAATGTTGTCATAACTATGCCATTACATTAATTCAATCGATAATTTTTAATCGTAGCAAAAAACGCGACTGGAACGCAATGGTGCGCACGAACACCGTCCGACGCGACCCTATCGGAAGAACCTCTGAAGCGGAGGTCAGACGCAGCCGCCAGTCCCTCCGGGCACACATCTTAGAGAACGTCAGCGCGAGGACCATCGACCCTCAGAAGCTACTCGGTAAGTCACAAACATCTGACTCCAGTAATCCCTCATCGGGAGGACTTTGGAGGTTAATTGCAGCCGCCAACCCCTCCGAACATACATCCTCGAAAACGTTAGTGCGAGGACCATTGACCCTCAGTTGGTAAGCAACAGCAGCAAATGCTCTTTCCATCTATCACTGCTCATGCTGACATCTCGTTTACGTGAGAGGAACAACATTCGAAACTTTTGATAACATTTTTTGGGAGTAACGTGTCTGCTACACGTCTCCAGTAAGCGAGCTATGCTAGATGTTTCCCTACGTGATCGAATCAGAAAATTAAATGATGTGGGAGAACCAAAGAAACCGACTACTGGAGAATTGATGACCGTTGGGGCAGTAAGGTTCTCGAGTGGCGACCACGGACTGGAAAAAGTAATGTGAACAGCCTTCTCACTCGGTGGTATAACGATCTAGTGAAGGTGGCAGGAAGCACTTGAACAAGGACATGGTCGATCGTCGTAGACGTCTTTGGCAGTGGCTTTTGTCCTGCTGTGGGCGCCTTTGAGTGAGATGAGGAATCAATAGACACCCCATCAAGAGGACAGCTTTATTAATCAATTGCTTTAATTTCAGAATACAACCCGAAACTTTCCGACGTGACGCCATGCACCAGGGTGGCATACGCCAAGTTCATGCGCACCAAGATCAAGTCGGACTTCGCGCTGCGCGAGGAGCAGAAGCAGAAGGGCTCCGTGGAAGAGTTCAGCCTGGAGGACGAGGTCTTTGAGACTCCCAAGAGGGTCGACTCGAAGAGGCAGAGCAAGAATATACGTAAGTTTATAAATAACTAGTTTTTTTTTTTCAGCAAAGCCCTCGTGGTCTGTTACAGGAAGATTTTATCCCGGGCCTGTCTCCTTATCAAAAACCTGGATATAAACTATCCCATATAGTAGGGCAAAAAAATACATTTATAGGCTCCTTAAGAGCATTTGACGATTTTTAAGCCTACTAATTTAATTAGTCATAAAGATAATTTTTATTTGATTTTGATTTTCATAATATTTTTTTTCTTAAAGACGTTAATTTAGTTTGGTGGTCTAAGCAAGAAACATTATGGATCTTGAATCTTGTTTGAGCTAAGAGTAACTTGTTATTGAAAAACTAGCAGTAAATTAGAATGAGATAAGGTATCTAGAATGTTATTGATTTTCTAGTGTGAGTCCGTTTAGAGTAAATCATCTAGAAAAAGAAATATTTTTATACGCGATCTTATAAGTAGATAATTCGTAAAATGCGTAAAAAGCGTAGTGTAAAATGTCCAGGGATATTTGTTTATTTAATTCAAATCTGATTGGACATTTTAAATCCATAATACGTTTTTCCTCACAAAACTCTACCATTTCAAGAAATAATATAAACAAATGAAGGCTTCAATACCTAATACAAGTGGGTAAATAACCCACCCCTCGTGAAGACTTGAATGTGTCAAATCAGGGCTGTTACCGCAGATCCAATTATCCGTGCATACTTGTTGGCACAACTCGCTAACGTGCGAATCACAAACTAATGGGATGCTAACTACTAAACAATTGTCAATCTAATTTTATTTGACTTTCAATGGCTGAATCTATTAATTGTAGAAAATTTAAAAAAAAGAATAAAGATTTTCTGCTCTAGGTACTCAATCAATCAATGAATATACAAATTACAATAATGAAAAACTCTGTCAAAGGGTCATCGATTCCAAAATATTCTAAGTAATAATTTTCGATTTGTTCTCAGGTAAATCATTCCGCACCAGAACTCCAATTCCAGAAACATCTGACGACGAGGTATTGAAAGAACATGAAATGACTGTAGAAGCTAATATCGAGTCTAAAGGTAACATGGCGACAATTTACTGTCATTTTTGAAATAACAAATTAGTACTTATCGTCAAATACCGTTCCTTTCAGATTCCGAAGGATGCTCCGAAATAACCAGACCACTCAAATCTTCATCTCAAGAACCTTCAGAGCCCAGGACACCAGAGTTCGACCCCATCAGCGACAGGCGTCTAACGCCCCCAGCGCAATTCGACACCAAAGACCACATCATCCAGATAGAAGAGCCAGAATCACCCACCAGGACTCTCTGCATGACCCAAGATGAAGATACCAAACTTCAAAAACCTATAACTCCAACGCCTAGTATTAAATCCGAACAGATCCTCTCAGCGTCTGCTTTAGACGGTCAGTACAAGCAAATGATGACTCCTCCACCAGTCATAATGACCCCACCCCCTCCCGAAAGTCCAGCCCCACCAATACCCATCCAGCAAGCCATATCCAGGCCAGCATCTAGGTCCACCCTAACTAAGTCTCCAATGCCAGAATCTAGGTCACCTATCCCAGAATCACGGTCTCCGATCCCAGAATCAAAGTCGCCACAGCCAGAATCGAGTTCTCGGCAAGAATCAAGATCTAGATCTCCCCGACCAGAGACCTCGACAACTAGACCTATGTCTTCGTTGGGGTCATCCAGGGTGTCCCCTAGTCCGTCGCCTACGCCGTCCATGGCTATCAGTGATAAGGGGAAGTCAAAAGTCACTGGCAAAATGGTTTCTGGGTGGCTTTAGATTGTGTTTAAATTAGTGGTATCAGTCGGTTTGATCGAAAGAAAAAAATATCTGCGTTCATTGTTTTAGTACTAGTAGTCTTTGAACGACCATAAGTTATTTTTGTTAAGAAAGCAGCCATTATGTTTAGTGAAGATTCCAAAAGAGTATGAGTTGGTAAGGGGTTTGAAATGCTTAGTGATAGACATACAGCCAATAATGTGATAGTAAGAACCAATATTGTCATAAACGATGAAGGTGTTTTTATCGATACCACTAATATTAATGAAAACCAATTGACTCTGTTGGGTCCTACAGTTTGGGTACAAAAGACCAAAATCGACGTATTAGTGAGATAATAAATGCCTTGTAATAGCAATAACTAGGTTTAGGGCAAAATTCGTTGATGCTACAGAAACTATTTAAAAATAACACGCACGCGGTTTAAAAAAAAATAGACATCTCTCGTCTCGTCTGAGTCCTAAACACTTATTAAGTTCATATTGAAACAGTAAAATATTGTAGCAACAGCGGAAACTTTGCATAAGTAGGTAAATTAGTTAACAAAAAGAATTAAAAAAACTCCTAAATGTGAATAACGTAAGAAATCTACTTGTTTGTTTGTGTTTGTTTAAATTTAAATTGGTTAAAAATTATTTGAGAAACCTACCAAAGATTATTACGAACAAGATGATTAATAATTACTTAACGGCAAAGAAATCTGACAGGTTTAGGGTAGATACACTTTTCTAGTCAAAAAATGGCTATATCAAGTTGATAGCTCTTACAACCACAACACTAGAGATTAATTATATTTTTATAATGTCCACCAAGCAGATTACTTATATTTTAAGACAAAGTTTGTTAAAATAGTTTGTAAGTTTTATTAAATAAAACGTTTGTTTTGCGTTCAACATTCTTTTAATTAGGACGTTTAAAAACCCGAAAACGAAAAAAAGACAAAGGATGCTAAGGTTGTTACTTATTTACCCCAAAATTTTTCTTTTATGTACAATTATTACAACCTCGGTAAATATAGGTTATATCCTGAGGCGGGGTTTTATTACAAATAGGTAATTATATTTTCACTTCATCTTTAACCTTTCTTTTAACTTTATGCTCACGAATTTGGCTAATAACAATTCTATTATTAACAATCCCGGAGAAACAAAACTTTTGGGAGATAAGTGAAACTAAGGAGTTAAATGGGGTAAGCATTAATTTACAAATCAAACTCAGTTACGCCGAGCCCATACACAATACAATGTTTTGAAGTGCTAAATCAAATAGGTCCTAATAGAAAAGTTCATACTTGATTTAAAAGATAAGCACGCTCTAGCCCAAAATCTTAATTCAGAAACCGTGCTCTATATCTAGTCGTATAATTAGGTAGTATCTTTTCTACTTTACCTATTTTTATTCTTGGTTTCCTGAAAGATAAATTTTATATGTTGGTAACTCTATTGATCATCTATTGTTTATGGTTCATTCAAGTTTATAAAGTAAGACAATAAACCCATTTTACCCAGGTTAGGTACCTACTTACTCTCAGATATTTATGTCGATAACTTCATTTTAAACCGAATTACCTTAACACTTACTTATGTAGGTAGTAAAATACTCAAGTTAATACAGAAAAGATTCTACACGTGTTAATTAATTATTCAAGCTCTACTCAATTTCCCAAGGATTGCAATAATCGTACTTTATCTCAGAAACAAAATAATTCCACGAGTTCGCGGGAACTTTAGATGGTTACCAACTTTTAATTAGATGTATGGATTTATGTTAGTTTATAAATGACAAGAACAACCAAAGAACATAGCTAACGATTAAACTTGTTAAAAGAAAAATACCTACACTCTTAGGTTTGTCATGTGATAAAGTTTTTCAATTAAAATTTGGGAACAGAAAATTTGTAATTGCTTGAGCAATTTCAAGATAAGCACAGGTTTAGTAAAACACACAGTACGATGGTTAGGTATTAATTTATTGTCAAGTACAATAATTATTTTACAATTTGGGTACAAAATATAAAGGTTAATCTTATCAATGCGGTAATGTTACTCATTAACAAGACAACGAGAAATAATGTATGATCATGGCTAACTTTAATACTACTAGGGAAGAGGTAAGGATAAATTCTCGTCTAACAAATTGTTACCATAATTCTTGAAAAATATTCTTAACGTTACCTAAGTTATTAGATGGGTATGTGCAGGGGTTTTGGTTTATTTAATTATGTTTTGCATACAAATTCAGACTACAATTACGTAACTTGTCTAAGAAAAATAATTAACGTAACATTAGAGCAATAAATAAAAATACAACTGTGCAAACCCTCTGTAGAGTTCGTAGATATCACTTAACGAATTTAAAGTTAAGTACTAAAATAAATTAGAAAAGATATGCGATGTAGCTGGAGCTATTGAAAAATCTTTTTCTTGGTAAGTAGTTCACAGAAAATCTAAAGAAAACTATCAGAAAATCTACCCTCTTAGTATGCGTGAAGGAACTGAAGTTTTTCAAGCAAATCATACCTAATTTTATCCACACTTGGTCAATCAAGATCTATTCAGCGCATATAAAGTTACAAAACTTTATCCTCCCAAATCTAATATATGGTTCTACGAATATATTAGAGCCTATTGAGTTCAAAGGATTTGAATAATACAAAAAAAATCGGATCGTTTTGGTTAAAATTACATTGAGACTCGCAGATACAGACTTTTTGTCGGTTGATACTTTAGTCAGGCTGTTTATCAGTATGAAAATGTAAGACCGATTGGATATCGGCAGATTCCTCAAATTAAGACTCTGAACCAACTATCGGCCTGAGTAAAAAGCGCCAAGTGTAATATTACACGAACCATTCGGTGCCACTTTTGACCCTTTTCTAACTCAAAACCTCTTTAATAAGATACATTTCTGTGACCGAGTCCTGCATAATATTATTGTATATTCGCTGACCATCGGTTCAGAGTCGAATTTCACGTGTTCCAGCGACGAGAGGGTCTATCAGACATTCACATTAGTCATGAATTTGACGCTCTGAAACTACGCGCTCTGCTCGCTTGTTTGTCACCTGACCGACTGTGAATCGAGGGGCGCGCGACAATTTTATGACGTGTTACTTTATTGGACAATCTAATTTTTGATTTTATTGGGTCACCTACAAGTAAAAAAGGTTTTGGATAATGATTTTGGAAATTGGGTCAGCCGCGCATAGCAATAGATTACTGATGTTTGCAATTGTACGGTAACGCATCGTACAGATACTTTATAGTAACTAGAGTTATTTTAGAAAAGACTATTAAAATTTAGTATTACAATAATCATGCCAGAACTTTTCTTCCACAAAGCAACAATGAGAATAGTATTTCAAAATCAAACTTCTTCAAAACTTCGGCAGATTATTCGCAAAGAACACATAAATAACAAATAAGTTACGACATACGATATAATGTGTGTTAGTATCTACTGAGACTAAATGGACGGTTGATAAGGGACAAACAATTCCTAAATATTATAATAAATATTGTGGGCAGTGGTAATAAAAGAAGTAAATCCACCAGTCTTGGACAACATTAAGGTTTTGATGGAATCCTTTAGTCCTTTAGGTAATACGTTTCATTTAAAAACCTCCTATAATAAATTAATGAAGATGGAAATTTCAGCTATCAAATCTTGGAGATCCTACAAAAAGACTAGGAAACGTCACTAAATCTTTATTTGGTACACATCCACCTGTGGCTAGTTATTCTGAAAGCTATCACGCATTTGGATTCGTGTCAAGCGTTTGACAAAGGCACAAGCACTAGATTATAGGCAGTGGTTTAGAGCCAGCCAGTCTTGGGCTGTCTCTTAATGGTCTTGATGTCATCCAGCTTCTTGGCTCCTCGCAGGGGCTCGGGCGAGGCAGGAGGAATCAGCTGTTCCGTGCTGGACGTGGAAGAGAGACGTTTGGGCGGCGAAGGTGGCGCTGGAGGCTGCAGCAACAATATTCGTTTATCCACAAAGGTAACTAAAAAGTCAAGGAGTTATTGTATACAGAGTCTGATTTGCAACATTGCAACTGTATAAAAACGTAGTAAGGGCCCAAAATTGACCCCTGCAGGACACCTGTCAATTAACGAATTTGATTGCAATAATCTTGTTCGCAAGTTCTTAATAGACCCAAAACAAAACCTATTCTGGCAACAATCGGAAGTCAAAAAATTTAAATGTTTGCCAACAATTTTACTTATTAAAACAGTGGGGCGAAAGAAGACCCTTGCAACACTCCAAACAAAATTGACATAAAATAGCTCAAAATTAATTTAGTTTTAAAAGACCTATTTCTTCAGTGAATGTAGTATGATAGTAATGTATTTCAATCCAATCTAATACGAGGGTGGACAACCCTGGCACTCTTCCAATACCATCAAACTCATTTCCATTTTATGGAACGCTCTGAATAAAACGCGTTGACTCACCGCTACAGCAGAGATAGAAGGCTGCGGCGAGGCGACTCTAGGTGTGGGAGACGGTGACTTAGGAGGCGTGGGCGGTTTCGGCGGCGTAGGCGAAGGTGATTTCGGCGGCGGCGGCGTGGGAGATTTCGGCGGCGCGTGCACCGGCGGCGTGCTAGGGGTCACCTCCATTGTAGGCGCTGCTGGCGCCTGGGTCATTTGAAAGACATTTTTTTTACTGCCTTGGGTGTTTGTTGGCAAAGGAATAAAATTACTAATCTTATTTTGACGTCTATAATTAATGATAATGGACTTTCAACTCCAATTTAAGAGTAGAACGAACTCGAAATGAAATTGACCATTAATCAATCACCATGCTTAGATTATTTAGAATTTATTCAACAGGTCTGTTTGATTTGGTTCAAAAAAAGTTTGGGGACCTGGGATAGTAGATATCCGGAGACCCCAAAATGTTTTTCTCGTGAACTGCTTCCTAATAATATTTTCGTTTTACATAACATGTTATACCCAAATACGAGTATGAACCCCATTTTAATACTAACAAAGACCCTTCACAGGTTGCAATCTAAGGTACGGCCAACGAGAAGCGACACCAAATGTAAACTTTGACATATTTTGGCAGGAGAACGAGACGTTACGACAAATACACAAGATGGGAAGAGACAGAATATATTGTCAACTCGACAGTCGTATCGACCTTTTGTATCGCTGCTAGTTGGCCGTACTTTAGATACGACAGCAAAACCAAGCCAAGCAATGGTTAGGCCAAGTTACCTTGGGCTTGGCGGGGGGCGGGGGCGGGATGGCGCCTTCCGCGGGCTTAATCTCGGGAGCCACTGGCCGCGCCACCGCGATGTCTTCGGCCGGCTTGCTGTCTGCAGGAGCCTCCGATGCCTACGAAGAAGCAAGCACATGGACACCATTTATGGTTATGGCAGTTATACAGGGTGGAAACGATAAGTGATCACACTGGACTATTTCTAAACTATTCAAGATATTGGTTACTATCCTGAACTGCTTCGTGAGGTCTATCAAATGGTATCAATAATAGGAATATTATTTATTTATTCTAGAAGGCTGCTTGAAGGCTTACAGAAAATCCAACGCGCCAACAAGTTATAGGTACAGTCGTGCAAATAATATGTATCAAATATGTATTTTATTCTACGTAACCATGGGTTACAGAAGACTTACTTGGTCATCCGACTGCGCTGGTGGTACTGGAGGCTTTCTCTTGATCACTTTGGGAGGTGATGACTCTCCTGGCACTCGCTTCGCCTTCAGTGGACTAGGTTCTAAATAGGATAAAAAATAAGAACACGGTTTTGTTAAAATTTCACCTTTTGAAAATAGTTAAAGTACATTCCTATAGAAAAGTTATAGGAAAACATGTTAAGAAATTATATTTCAAAGTTAAATTAGCCCCTCAGTGGTGCCGCGTGTGTCTTTTAGACCTAGAGGTTCACCACCAATATTACGAGTGGGTTCACCACAATAATCCAGTGGCTATGGAGTTCGATGTTCGAACTACCGACCTTTGAATCAGCAATCTGATACTGAGTTGTTGAGCTATTTTCCGATAAATATTTAAATAAATAAATGAATCAAAGAAAGAAACGAAATAGGTAATTGAAACCTGGTTGCTGGTCGTCAGGCTGTGGGCTGATGGACCGCGGACTGGGCACGGGGCTGGGTCCGCGCGGGGTCGGCACGGGCGTCGGCGCCTTAGACGCAGGCTGCTCATTAGATAAAAAGGATGATTAAACGTATCTTTATCATTTGTACCTATATTATTGTAGTTTCCAAGACTATTCGAGAAAACCATTTACAACGTTCATACAGAAGGCCCTCGCATCGGAAAGTTTTCTGACATTCTAGACCAGTGTTTTAGTGTCTTTTTTTAAGGGGGTCACAAGAAGTCGTAAAAACTACGTTATACAAATCAACAAAAAAACGACTCGTCCATGTAATTGCGAACAGTCGGTCGGTCTCTACATGTTATAAAATACATGAAAAAAAAAGTGAACGGTTGGGGTTCGCAAAATATTTTTTTATACTAATCGTGTCATGAAAAAGTTTGAAAAACACTGCTCTAGACAAAATAACGCAGTATGCAGTTTATGTGGTTAATGCAGTTCCTAAAACTCATTTATGTAGGTAAGTAACCTTAGAAGGAGCTGCGGATTGCTGAAGCTGAGCTGGGCTCGGTGAACGCGCGCTGGCTGCAGCAGAGAGCAGCGCGCCCATGCCACTGTCACCTGCACCCCAACACAAACGTGCTTTATTTAGAAAGAAAGAAAAGTATTTATTCGATGCAAGTAGGTACACTGCAAGATAATAACTAAAACTAGACAACAGAACGGGTACAAGCACCAAAATGTCATCAGCTCAGTATGCCACTCACGACCACTGGTATTCTGCGGATGCCAGTTGAAGTAAAGGGCGCAGCTCGCCCAGGAACAATCGGCTAACATAACAAGTACTTTTAAACATAGATACAGCCTACCTAGACAGATTATTTAATTACATTATTTATGTATAGCTAAGATTCTAATAATAATTAAGGGGGCGTCCATAAATTACGTGAGGCTTTTAGGGGGGGGAGGGGGTCAACAAAAACCTCACCAAATCTCACATGGGGGAGAGGGGGGTCTCGGGAAATATCACGTATTTTTTTCCACAAGAAATAGAGAAATAGTTTGCCAAAAAACTGGGTTAAATCTTAAGTAAAAAAATTGGCCAAGTGCGTGTCGTGCCACGCGCAGTGTAGGGTTCCTTAGTTGTCCGTCGTTATCACAATATATTTCAGAAGTAAGCAATTACTTCATCTAAAGTCACTTTTAATATTTTCTTCTAAGGAATTTTTATTAGGTATGAAATTTTATAATACTTGAGTAAAACGACTATTACTCTTGAACTAAGTGATCTATCTTAACCGCTATAGTTTTCCTTGAAAGTTCATAAAAAGCACTATAATCTTGAATTTTTCCAGATTTATCAAGCCAACAGTTTAGTTTTTAGCAGAGGGGAAAGCCCTACTCGGACAAAAATTGGCACTTTAAACTTTAACATTTTGCAAACGGATCCCTAAATCGAAAAATGGTCTTAGAAACCCCTAAGCCATTTTAAAAGACCTACCCACACGATGGGGTAGAAGACGAAAAAAAACACCCCACTTTACATTTAGGGGAGCTACCCTAAAAAAATGTTTTTTTTTCAAAATTTGTTTCTACCGTTTTGTCGTCGTGATTAATATACATACCTCTACAAAATTACAACTCTCTAGTGCCAATAGTTTCCAAGCAAAACCTCGGACAGACAGACAGCCAGACATATCGAAACTATTAAGGGTTCCTTGTCAGGACTAAAAAATGATATTTGTATGATGATAATGTCATTTTATTCTATACAGTCTAAACAAATACCTACAACTAAAAATGCTTCAGTCTGCATGTGTGAATACTAAAATGCAGAATAAATGACGAAATTAAGAAAATTATAAAACAAGTTCTTTTTTTATCAAAATCGATTTTGCTAGATTATTAGTGATTTTGTAGAAAGGAACAATTAGACTAGGTACTTCTGTAAAAAAACAATGTGACCCTAGTACTAACCGCTGTCACTACACGTGAATTTCTGGATCTATTCGTAATCAGTGGGCTTAGTGCGACTTTACACAATCGTCATCCGCTAGCGACTGCGTAAAAAATGACATACATTAAATGTATGATGATTGTACAGCGTCCCTAGCAGATACTTTCAAGAACTAAAATCTTAAACTTTATATATCTTTTTGATGCACTCGTTAGCAACAACGTTAAAGCACACAAAAAAAATGTTTAATATTACTCCAAAACTATTAAATTTCGGATTTTTTTTAATATCACGTGAGATTTGGGGGTGGGGGAGGGGGTCAGGCAAAATCTCACCAAATCTCACCAAGGGGGGCGGGGGGGTTGAAAAATAGCCAAAATTGTCTCACGTAATTTATGGACGCCCCCTAATATAAATTAATAACTAGTACAACCATGAACAAAGCGTTCCGCATTTTTTTATAGACTACTTAACTTATAACATCCTGACTTCTGATAAAGGAAACAAATATTTTTATAGCTAATTTAATAAAAGATTGAGTCAGAAAAGGTTCTTCGCGGAAGTACCTAGATGCGACGGTATTAGGTAGGTACCTAGAGACGCTCTGTAAAGCATGACGCGTTTCGTAAAACATAGCTATGAACACTCTTGATAGAGCCAAACACAAAGCAGATCAAAATTCGTACATCCATTTGGGTATTACGATGTATCATAGACGCGTCAAACTTATAGCCCCCTTTTTCCCGTAGGGGTTTAAAAATGACTATATCAAGTTCGTGAAATGACGAATACCCCTAAATCCAAGAGTAGTGTTGCTGTATGTAATATAAACAACACGTGAGGTAATAAATCTACGTCGAAATAAACCTATACCTACTATAAAAGCTGTGATACATAGTTATATTTTATCTACTACTACGACACCGCTAAACTCAACCTCATAAAAATAATTCACATCACAAAATCTCAGGTATAGGTAGTAGAAAACGTTACCCAAGTAAACTCCCAGACAAAAAAACTAAATACACCCTTTATTTTTGCCCCAACCTAAATAACAATCAACATAGTTAATTTTCTTTTTTCTTAAATACGAGTAGGAATTAATAAATTGCTAATAAGCAATTTATTAATTATTCGTCTGATAAGACGAATGCAATAAAGTGTCTTGTGGCGTAGGTTCGTATCAACTACCCAAATTATTACGAACAAACAGCGACACCTATTTTGATTACACTAATTTTTTAATTAAAAATGTATGTAGGTACGCTGGTTTTCAGTTTCAAACTTAGATTCGGCCACAGCTTAGACAAATTGGAAATCCCACACAAAATTATAACAAGCTTCGTTAATAAAGATACACCGAAATTGCACGATAAATATTGAATAACAATATTGGAGCATGCACGATATAATACGCAACTGCTCCCGAGTCCGACCCTCCAACCCTCACCGACTTGTAGTCTAAGAGACAGGGTGCCTATATTAGTTTTCATCTCTACAAAGTTAAAGCCTATAACTACTAATAAATACTTTTGATAAATGACAAAATGTGATGCTGTAAAAGACATACTTACATAACAACTTGACTTTGCTATGTCGCAACAAAATTAATTTTTTTTCTGCGCATAATATTTTCTTCAGTGCTCAAGAAACTGTGCAATGTGCATTAACACAAAACATTATAATCAAAGTCTACACTAAACGTACCTGGTAACGGAGACTTGGGCGAAGGTGATGTAGGAAGTGGCTCTCCAACCTCCGTGGAGATATCCTTGATGAGCTCCAGAAGAGTGTGGCCAGGAGTTAGCGGCATCTCGATGGGAGATGCACCTCGGGATCCTAATACGAGTAAAATGAAGTAAAAACACAAGTATTTTTCAAATAAAGAACATAGAAAAAAAAATTACAAGTCATCTCGGACTATAAAATGTGTTGCAGTGAAATCAATTACAGTGTGTACCAAGTGACATGTGGCTCTTTATTAATCTTAATTAATTTAAATCAATTGTTGTACCTGGCAATGGTGATCTCAAGACCAGTTTTCTAGCTTCCTCCATGGCTCGCTGCAAGTTTTGCTGGTTCTTGAATGACTCGCGTGTGCGGCACCGGCCGATTTGACTCCTAATAGAATGTTAAAAAGTATTTTAGCACCCTTTAATCCCAACTAATACTCTGTCTGTCTGTCTGTCTGTCTGTCTGTCTGTCTGTCTGTTACGCTTTCCCGCTTAAACCTCGCAACCGATTTTGATGAAATTTGGCATAGAGATAGTTTGAGTCCCGGGAAAGAACATAGGATAGTTTTTATCCCGGTTTTTGAAACAGGGACGCGCGCGATAAAGTTTTTCTGTGACAGACAAAATTCCACGCGGGCGAAGCCGCGGGCGGAAAGCTAGTAGTCTATATCATTGAATGACAATAACACACGAGTAAGTATAATACACCGGTTAGCAAAATTTTATGACATACAAATATTTCAATTTACGGCATTGTATCTCCTAGACTACATCCTTACTAGCTTTAAAACGACTACTATAAAGTGTGGTTGTTTTATTTTTGCGAAGAGACGGTCAAGAATGTTTAGACTACAGATATTTTTAGTGTTTTAAAATCTATTTTGATCATAGTGAGATACTTGGCCTGTCGATTGAAACTAATTGACTTTTTAAGACCAGAATGATTCACAGAAAAGTAGAGCTTTGGAAGTAGTGATAAAAGGTGTCAAAACTTTATATATGGACTCTTTTCAAGGACACGGGGTTCACCCGGATGCGGGCAGCGCGTTGTAGAAATTCTTGGGGGAGGATTGTCCAGCAGAGGACGTCATTTGGCTGAAACGAACGAAAAAGAACTCATCTAGTTACTCACGATATGCCAGTTTGCGCCAGCGTCTGGTCCCACTTGGCGTTAGTGGTGTTGGCGACGGCCATCTTGGCTATTCTCCTGAACCTGGACAGGCCGTCCTCATCGGCAGGCCTTTCTTCATCTACCCCCGCCACAGGGGCTACTTGGAAGTTCTTCATAAGGCGACGCTCCCACACCTTCATGCGTTTGCCTAGGACAGCTAGAGGAGAATTTGTTGATTAGTAGTTATAATGGGGATGTTGCCTGGGTCAAAAAGCAAGAGTTTTAATTAGTCCGTCAGTTAACTTATCAAAAAATACTCTACACGTATTTTTCACTTTTTCAAACTAATGAAAATTTAAAGAGATAAAGCGCCCCAAAGTTCATAAGAAGAGGCCCGTGACGTCAACGCTTGCTTAAAAATGCCGCACGTTGTGACGTCGTGCGCAACTTCAACGCACCATAACTATGTAATTATTTGTTAGATTGACAAATAAAATTATATGTGTCCAATATTTTTTGATATTAAACATTACGGACTAAAAAATTTTTTTTAGGCAACTAGCCTATTGGTTTGACGATTGTCTAAAATAATTGGCATGGCAATAAACAAATCATCAAAATATTATGTTTCCTGATGTTTATCTGACTCATGGTGGCGACCATTTATCTAAATAGGTACATAGATTAAGGTGCCACGGACAACCGCACCATGTATCCGTGCAAATTTTAGAATAGGTTTTTAGAAGAAACTATTATGGCGATATCTATGAGAATATAGAAGACTTCTGAAGACTTATAGAGCTCGTATCTCAACACTCAAAGCCGACACGTCTCCTTTTAGCTCTTTGATGTCGTTTTCTGTCATAGGCTTAAATCATCTACCCTCCTATGCAAGGCTGAGAGACGTATTCTCAGAGGAAATCTATTTTGGGTACAACTCCCACTTACCTACCCTTTGAAGACTTCTAGCAGCTCGTTTATGTCGTCTTCTGTCACAGGCTCATCGTCTACCCCCCTGTGCAAGTCTAGTAGGCCTAATATGCGCGCCGTGATATCTTTTATCGACGTCAAAATGTATGTGAAAAATCGATAATATGGCGTGATAACCGCTTATCGCGGCGCGCATCTAATCTGCTGGATACAACTCTCACCCTTCTCCTTTCGATCCGTTCTTTCCGAAGACTTCTAGCAGCTCATATCACAGAGCTGACACGTCTCCCTTCTGTCACAGGCTCATCGCCTACTCTCCTGTGCAAGGCTGAGACGTATTTTCAATGGCTAAAGGAAAATCTCCTGGATACAACTCCCACTTACCCTTCTCCTTTCGATCTGTGAACGACACATGCATGCCGTTCTTCTCAAATACTTCTAGCAGCTCGTATCTCAGAGCTGACACGTCTCCCTTCAGCTCGTTGATGTCGTCTTCTTAAAGGAAATCTGTTGAGTACATTTTTCACTTACTCTTTGAAGACTTCTAGCAGCTCGTTTATGTCGTCCTCTGTCACAGGCTCATCATCTACCCTCCAGTGCATGGCCAAGACTTATTCCCAAAGACTAAAGAAAAATCTGTTGGAAAAATCTTCCACTTACCCTTCTCCTTTCGATCTGTGAACGACACATCCATGCCGTTCTTCTCGAAGACTTCTAGCAGCTCGTGTCTCAGAGCTGACACGTCTCCCTTCAGCTCGTTAATAACGTCTTCTGTCACAGGCTCATCATCTGCCCTCCTGTGCAAGTCTGAGACGTATCTTCAAAGGCTAAAGGAAAATCTGCTGGATACAACTCCCACTTACCCTTCTCCTTTCGATCCGTGAACGACACATCCATGCCGTTCTTCTCAAATACTTCTAGCAGCTCGTATCTCAGAGCTGACACGTCTCCCTTCAGCTCGTTAATATCGTCTTCTGTCACAGGCTTGTCATCTACCCTTCTGTACAAGCCTGAGACGTATTCTCAAAGGAAATCTTTTGGGTACAACTCCCACTTACCTACCTTTTGAAGACTTCTAGCAGCTTGTTTATCTTGTCTTCTGTTACAGGCTCATCATCTACCCTCCTGTGCATGGCTGAGACGTATATTCAAATGCTACAGCAATATAACTATTGGAAAAATCTTCCACTTACCCTTCTCCTTTCGATCTGTGAACGACACATCCATTCCATTCTTCTCGAAGACTTCTAGCAGCTCGTATCTCAGAGCTGACACGTCTCCCTTCAGCTCGTTGATGTCGTCTTCTGTCACAGGCTCATCGTCCATCTTTCTGTGCATGGCGGAGACGTATCTCCAAACAAGTGCTCGCATCACTGCTGTGTAGCGGACGTCTATTTCTTTCTCTTTTTGCTCCTAGGAAAAGATAGAGAAAGAAATACATTTTTCAAGGTATGCAAATTGATAGCGTTGAATTTCCAAAATAACACAGAATCAAGGTACGAATAGCGAAGCTTAGGCTGAGTTGCGCTAACTTACTTTGACCGTAACTTTAACAATAACCGGTGCTTTTTGTATGGAGTTTGACAGATTTTTGACGTTTGTTAAAGTCAAAATAAGATGGTGCAACTCAACCCTAATTACGTAGCCGTAGGGTTATTCTACCAGCCAACAGAGTAAATTATGTAATAGAATTAATCTTAAGTAGGCTGCATAATATTTCGTAGTAGAAATATTTATGCTACAATACAATAAAATAGGTATGTGATATTGTACAGATAACTTGGATGATAGAAGAACTTAACATACTAATGATGAAATCATTCCAAGGAATTTATGGAAAAGGCTTTTGCTTTTACGGTGTTTGACCTCGGGTCTTGTCCTACGTGGGTAGAATGTTTTCTTTGCTTTAGAAAACAATGTAAACAATTAATTCCTTTACAGTTTCTTAACTTTCATAAGAACTGTAGGGAGATACCTGAAATACTATGTTATTTTAATAAAACTAGCTCTTGACCGCGACTTCGTCGTCGTAGATTTCGATTTCAAAATAGTCTAACTAAACATTTATAGCTTCTTTGCCATTTTGATATGTAAGCATTAAGCAATACCTATCATTGTAAAGTTTCATCAGAATCCGTCCATTACTTTTTGCGTAAACCTCTAACAAACACCCACACAAACGTTTGCGTCTATTATATCAATATGGAGCTCTCAATTTCCTCAAATATGAATTTTAAGAAAATATTAATATTCTCGTGGAGCAATCCACCTCCTTCGGAATAAGTACAATCGTTTAGTAAAACCTCATTTTTAATATCTGGATACTCACGACCATAATGAAGATAAACTTTAATAAAATTTATCCCGTAATAACTCTGTGCCCCGCTGTTTCATAATAACAGCATTATTAAATAATATATTTTCTTTTAAAAGTACTTTTACGTAGCTAGTTGCCAATAATAATTTGATTCAAAGTATGCTGCTCAAAAATATTCAACCTTTAAAAATCTAGCACAATTTGGAATACTAGACCCAATAAAAATAATTAAATAACTTTTTGCGAGTCAAACTTTGTGACTACCTATGTACATTTCAGTTTCAATATTATATTACTACGATATTTATACATGAAACTTTAAATAGAGGCAAAGCATGGTAAATTGTGAGGCATTAACAATAGGGACTAGCACAGATTTAGGGACTAGAGTCCTTTATAGAACCAAATCTTTAGCTTACGAGAATAATATTATTGATTAACACTAGCATTGTGTTCAATTGTTTGGCCAGCTTTAGTGACTGGCATTCAATAGTGGAAAAGTTCCAATCGACTTACACTGGCGAAGATTTATAATACAAAACATTTTCTCACTACAAGCATTTGCTAAGTTTTCTTAAATCAATCAGAAAGAAGTAAGTAACACTTTTTGTGCTAGAAACTTAATTTGTATTGCGTGCGTTCATATCCCAGCACTACTGAAATATTACAAAACTAAATGTTGAGTAGTTTTTCAAAGATTTCACGCTCTCTTAAGCATGCTTAAGTAGATACAAGGCTATAAGTTACACACTTATTAAATAAATATTGTGCTCTTGAATAGTTTATGAAAAGTGAAGCCTCAATGTAACCTTGTTGGTGTTCAAATAAATAAATAAGTAATAAGGCCGCCAGCTTGGGGGGAAGCCGGGGCATGGTCTTGGTGGTAATCGCTGACGTAGTGAGCTGAGTAAGTCAAGCTGCACAGTTAACTCGTTCGGTTCTCTTCGGTTGTAAAATGCAGGTATTTCTACCGAATTGAAATATACGCGACGAATTTCACTCTATCTAGCAGTGAGGAAGGTTAAATATCCCACCTGCGTCTTCATCTTCCTCTGCTTATCCTTCTTCCTCAACCCCAGCATCTTGAGCAGCAGTTTGGGGGTGGGCATAATGTTGAAAGGGGGCGGTAGCGTCGCGCTCTCTTCGAAGTAACTCATCCAGAGGCGCGTCCTGGCGAACTTCCACTCCACGTCTGAGTGTTCCTGAGGGAATACAACTTGTGATAAGGTATAGATTAGTTTAGTTTTTGTGTATTGGGTAATGATATTGATTGTGGGTACAGAGTGATGAGAACTATTACATACATACATAGACACCCATTTTGTTTAGTTAACAATCCCACAAAATAACGAATTTTGTCACACATTAATGTACAATACCTAAGGTATTAGGTATGTACTGAGTTATAAAATATAATTTTAATAAGGAAACATGTCAGTAAATGGCCTACTCTAGTACTCTATTTACCTAGTACCTATCTCTTGACAGTTTTTTTTGCAAAAACGTCTTTTTAAAACAATCTTTTTTTACGTTAGCGAAAATGCAACAACCGATTGTTTTTCTTTGGTAGCTTTAAAAAAGCTTACTAACTCCCTATAAAACCTTTATGCAATTTGCTATAGTTTTATTCGTTTATTTTTCTGTCCTAACATTATGGTTGTAAATATCCTCGGAGGTAGGAACTTTGTTGTAATTATGTAATTAGAACTCAATATTAATTTATTACACGCGTTCCGTACCTAATATCTCCGGGCTAAGGGCTTCCTGAGGGCCCTCCTAACACCAAAGGCCAGATTCAAACAAACGAGACAATTTCATACAAATTAAAGTCACTTGCTTATGCTAAAGGATTAAAGAGGAATTAATTACGAGACAAACGAACCTGCGTCTGAAACGGCCATTTTGTTTTGCTGCAAAACCCGTTTAAAATAACATTAAAGAAGGTTAACGTTTTCTGCATCACAAAATGTATTTAACGTAGGGTTCGTTGCCTACGCAATAATAATGGCCAAAGGCTACGGAAAGGAACGATTGATAAAATCCGTTTTACCCAATTTATTTTAGACAATGAATAAAAATAAGAAAGCTATTTTGGGACGAAAGCATTTTTAGATATTCAATTTATTTGGTTAAGTCTTTCTTGTTTTATATTTTGTAAATAACTTGCAGGATATGCTGGTTTATTCTTGATTTTAAACAGGAACAATTATTATAGACTATCAATAAAAAACAAAAACACGACTGCGTAAAAATGAACTGAAAAGATAGAATCAAGACAAATGCAGCCTAGTCGGAGGCATCAATGACTAGTTCTTTTGTTGGTGATATGTATTTGATGCCTCCGACTGCATTTGCCCTCCTTCTGGTGCAGTCGGGTAAAAAAGGAAAATCCGAAATACGAATAATACGATACGAGTACCTATTCCGTCTATCATGTCTGTTGTAAAAGCCTTAGCGGACTTAAAAACCGAGTAGTATAGAGTCAAAGGGAACGACCTGTTTAATCCTTTGTTTGTTGGCGGCCACTGTATTTTAAACTTTATTCAAACGAGACAGGTTATAAAGCAAATGGAACATATTTTTGTCTATACTAGTTAACGTTAGATAGTTCTGTTATAAGAGTAAGCTCTACCTATTACTTATTATGTGGCTCTACCTTATTCTAATTAGTATTTATATTATTTTAATCCCGCAAATAATGTGACTCTACTCGACTTGTTTGGTTTAAAATGATATTATGATTATGGTTAAATTAATCTTTATCTACAATATCCTAACCAGATTGAGAAGAGAGTAATATTTCGGGTCCCATCTGGGAATCGAAGGCTTCAGTGCCATTTCAGGCCTCCTAACTACAGCTACCACAGACTTAGATCTAAATCTGTAATAAGTACCTACTATACTAAGTAGTAGAGTAGTATTGCTGCGTCATAGCAATGCCTCTTGCTCTTCGAGTATCCACGGAAGACCAGCGTCGTGGTGTCCCTTACGACACATCTGCATGATGCTGAGTGGATACCGTTTCGGTGACACGCACTATCGACAAATGTGTTAACTACCCATTGCCGGTCATGTCACCTCATTCTGTCGCAAAGAATTGCCATTTGATGAGAGCAAGAGCAAAAACAGAAATGGATAGTTAACACTGTGGCTGATAGCACATTGCCTACTTTACTTAGTTTCAGTTTTGTTATCATTTTCTTGAATTTGTTTTGTGTCGCTGAATAAAACATAATTCATTTTCATTTTTCATTTATAACCATAACCACTGCGGTATAGACTCGTATAGAGCCATAACAAATGACCGAGTTCCCCAAACGTATTTACGCACTTACATTCGCGATTCTAAAAGTGTGAAGGTGCTTTGAATTATGATTGCGGAAATTTTTCTCCCCGTCTTACATTATCTTTAGGAGTCTTTCTTTTTTGGCCTTGTCTACTCGTTATTGCGCTTATACACGCGTCTTGATGTAATGATTTCGAATAAGTAATAGGTACTTACTACTCGTGCTTGTTTCAATAACATTTGCCCTCAGCATGACTTGACTTGTCAACCATAACCGACGTTCTTATTTACATGTACAATTTAATCGAGACAATATAAATTAATTTAAAAGATAGTAATATTAATAGTCTGTGTATGTAAGCCATAAAATAGCCATAATAACAGTAATATTAAATGGGTATTCACTGCAAAGCAAACAATGGTCGTCAAGCGTTTCCGATGCCACGTCATTTGTAGCACCATTGATGGTGCATCCACATTCCACACTGAAATTAACATTAATATTACAAGTTTTAGGTACAGACCTAATTTAGACTCGTACCTAGTATTAGGACAACGCTTTAATCTCACTCAATTATGTTCTGTGATTATTATTTTTTAAAATAAAACAACCAATCAAATAGCTAATTATTAAAACTATTTTTTTACTTTACGAGCCTTTCAATTTTATCTAATTTCACAAATGATAATTGCAATAAAATTACTAAAAACTCTATTGTTAAATTCTGATTAACATTTTGTTCAACTTGGCCTGAAATTTTAAAAGGTAAGCCTAATTAAGTTTCTAGACTTTAAATAATTTGCCCCCTAGACATTAACATGCATGAAATTTCCAGGGGAATTCATAAGAAATGCTTTTTGGGGAACTTTCAGCTACCAACTCCCTAAGTAAGCACGCTTGGTGGATCCCGGAATCTCAGGATATGGAGTTGGGAACCAAACTTGAGTATTCGAAAACAATTTTAATCCAACCCCTTAGAAGACAGATAATGTCCTGTATTTTACATGTTTCGTTGAACAGACCTACTGCTACTAGCCCATAATTTTTTGCAACTATGTTGTTATTTCTATCTAGATAGAGCTTGGTTGTTCTATGTCCAAGACAAAAATATCTCGTAAAAGATAACATGTCATGCGATGGCTGCGGTTTGTTTAGGGCATTGCTAACTTGAATCAATCCGATCTGTGCCATGAATCTACACAAAAGAGGTGTCCATTTATCCAATGAAATCAGTCAACCCAATAGTCAACCTAGGATTCAACTTATAAATGCATCAGTAACGGAATAGTAGTAGGTAAGTATGTATTCTTTTTTCAGATACAGAATAAGTAAGTTAAAACTAAACGTAGCTAACATAAGAAAATGATTTGCCTATAAGTTTTGCCTATAAGTTTTGCCTATAAGTTAAAACTAAACGTAGCTAACATAAGAAAATGATTTGCCGTCTTGGAAAGTTTCTAATCTTAATTTCGTAGTGTTAGAACTAACGATTATCGTAAACCCTGGGCCAAATACATCGGTATAACCCGAAGATTCGCGCTATCACTTGTATTTATGTAGCCAAATATTCGCGTTTACTTCGGTGTTTTTTGCATACCTAATCGCAAGACTCTCCTCCTGTTAAATCAATGTCGCCCAATGTTATTGCGATGTATGTAGCTCAGGGTAAGAAGAAGTAGTCAATATCATCATTATCATTTCAGCCACAGTAAGTCCACTATAAGTAATATAGGCCTCCCCCAATGATCCACAATGGCCGATTGGTAGCATTAATATAAGAAGAAGAAGTAACTTACATCAATCATGGCATACGAGTTGGACATCATAGCGATGAGCAAGTTGAGGAGCACGATGACGTTGATGACGGAGTATGATCCGAACATCAGCAGCCCCCAGAACCGCGTGTAGCTCTTGATGCCGGCCAGCTCGAAGTTCTCCAGCCCCACCATACCGAAGGAGGCCCAGAAGAGTGACTGGGAGGCCTCGAACACGCTGTTTGGGAAGTCGATACCATTATCTAAAGATTTACCAATGCAAAACTCCTTTAAAAATATAGAATAGCCCTGATAAGTGAGCAAGATTTGAACATCACAGCGATGAGCAAATTCAGGAGCACGATGACGTTGATGACGGAGTAAGAGCCGTGGAAGGAAAGTGTAACTCTTGATGCCGGTAAGCTCGAAGTTCTCCAGCCCCACCATGCCGAAGGAGGCCCAGAAGAGGGACTGGGAGGCCTCGAACACGCTGTTTGAGAAGTGGACACCGTTAACTAAAGATTTCCCAAGAAAAACTCCTTAAAATTACACAATAGCTCTGATAACCCAGCAAGATTTGGACATCATAGCGATGACAAAGTTCAGGAGCACGATGACGTTGATGACGGAGTAAGAGCCGTGGAAGGAACGTGTAACTCTTGATGCCGGTCAGCTCGAAGTTCTCCAGCCCTACTATGCCGAAAGAGGCCCAAAAGAGGGACTGGGAAGCCTTGAACACGCTGTCATGAGTCAACACCATTATGTATTAGGGGATTTCCGAAGACAACTTCTTTAAAAATACCAAATAACTATGACCAAGATTTTTTTCAATTTGCTTTGACAATCTATTTTAATAGTCTTGAAATCAATAAATGGATAGACAAAATTTTGCGAACTAGCTGGAGACAAAGTACTTGCCAAAATATGAAGACAGATGTTTAGCTTTTACCATAAGTTTTAAAATAATTATGTATACCATATCCATTGCTACAATTTCAGGATAAATTACGGGAAAGAGTTCTAGCTTGATGTCCTGTTACTAAATTTTACATTCCAAAAAGCAGCAATTTATCATTAAAATACAAACCACTTTCTAGTCGTATATTTTTATATTTAATGATTTCGAAAAGAATACATTAAATATTTTTAAAACATCAACCTTGATAAATCAAAAAATACTAAAAAGATTTGACATACGCACAAATTATTTTTGGTTTCGGAATAATCTAAGATTTAGGGAAAAACAGTCCAACTAGCTTACATTTTAACACATACCGTATCACACGAAGCAACTAAATAATAAGGTGCAAGTAATAAATAATTGAAAACCAAACAATCCAGCCCAAACCACAAACATTGCCGTGATAGCATCTCAATAAGCGTGATAATCCATCGTGTCTCTCAAAGTCATACAATCCACTTCATCGATCTTCAAGGTGTTCATTTTCACATTAATATCTTCCTCCAGCTGAATCTGGGTTTGGAGGAGGTAACGAAGAGAAGACGATGCCTCATGCAGCATTTGCTGAAGCTGCTCAGTGCTGTGACGAAGCATCTCACACTCGTAATATAAAGCCTGACCAGGAGGATCTTTCACAAGCTCAGCACCAGTTCTGTTAGCTCGTCTTCCAAGCCTGGTATGAGCTAATGCCATATGCCCTTCCTTATCAGATAGGGCTTTCTGCAGCTGCAAAATATTGTCCTGCATATCAGATATCTTCTGGGTCGTCTCCCTATGCATATCCTCCAACTTAGCCTTAGCTAACTTCGTCTCCTTGATACGCTCACTGAACTCGTGATTGCACCTCTTGTAAGCCACCCAAAGATCATCTATTACCTGCTTGAGGATGGTATCGACGAACATTCTGATCGGTCTGGCGCTGGTCACTTCTCTAGCAGCCAATTGGATATTTTGAGCTGAATATGAGTTATATTCTTCAGCTGATATATTGGCAGGGTCTAGGTTAGAGTATCCCTCATAGATAGACAGGCATAAATCGGTAGGTTTGAGGGACAAGTTGCCTTTATCAACGTCTATCGCAGCCTGTTTGTATTGGAGATCACGGTCTAACAGATATCGAGTTGAGCGTAAGCGTCTCATTTGTTCATTCAACTGTTCCAAGACCCGTTTTAAAAGACTTTGGCCTCCAAGAATAGTAGTAATCTCCTGCTGAAGAGCATGTTCTACCTCGTCGACAACTAAATCGATACCAATACGCCCATCTCTCAGCATAAGGCACTTTCGGCAGATGTTCAAAGCGTTGCTTTGTAAAGAGCTGAGGCAATCAAGGAGGCGAGTTTTGTACATTCCGAGAGCTTCAAGCTCGATGCATATTTCCCTTCGTTGGATTTGCAGTTCGTTCTTGTTGAACTCGACGTCGCCGATGCGTTCTTCGAGGCGTCTATCGCTTGTAGTTTTCATGATGCTGGATCGCTCCGCGGTCTCCTGGCGGATCCTCTCGCATTCTCCAAGGACTCTGTCGGCGAGTTGCTGCTGATCTTCTGTGTTCCTGCATCGCTGATCGTTGCTGAGCTTCCACTCGGACAGCGTGAACTTGGCAGCTCTTGGCGGCATACACACAAGGGCCTGTTCCGCCAATCTGGTCGTCGCTATCGGAGCGCCGATCACATGACGCACTCCGAATTGCACTTCACCCATTTTCAAAAGTAAACTAAACTAGGGAACTAAAAAATTTCAAAAATACGACAAAGCGTGTGATACAGTGCTGACAGTGTTTGGCATTATTGACAATACAATCTAATGGTTGCTATGGAAACGCGAAATTGGGAATCGAACAAACGAAATAGGTTGAATTGGATGTTATTGGCGCTTTTTCGGCACTCTCCGTGGCCGAAATAGCGCTTTACCAATTTTAACTGTTCTGGTTATATGGAAGGACATCCAGAGTTTTATGAAATGGGAATAAAATTTCGTTACGAAGTAACTGATTTAATATTAAATGAAATATTAATATTAAACATAGGGTAAATCGCTGACTTTGTATGAAAATAATCTCAAACTAAATTAGATAGCGTTTAAATTCGGATAAATGTTCTGTTGTTCACCTAGAAGGTGAAAAAGAAAACTACTAAAATATTGTACAAATCTCTGATTGTAGATATTGATTCAGTTAAGTTTCGGTGTTACGATAGATTTATGTGTAGTTTTCTACATCGCGGTGTCGAAGTTTATCTAGTTAATTTATCAAAAGACAGATTTACCTACATTATCAAGCCAACTACCCCTGCAATTAAGAGCTTAGTTCATTAATTAAGAGCTTGTAATATTACTAGCGCACTCTCTCTCGACTCACTTCCCGAAACTCCTCCACTTCATACAAGAATCGCCCGCGTTGTCCCAATCAGGCAGGCCGCCCGGTAAAACATAGCACTTCCTTTTTTCCAGGTCGGCAAAGTACCAGAGAAGTTGGTTTAGACCTGTTGTAGTTTTTAGAGAAATATTTTTACATACATAGAATGTACTAGAATGTCTAATCTGATATGAAAATAATTATACAAAAAAACAGCACAATTTAGGCAACCTTATCGCTTGGAAGCGATTTCTTCCAGGCAACCCACGGAGACGACACACTGCGTAATTTATTTAGCTGTAATAAGGTAAACAGGCTTCGCCAAATAGAACGCATACTTGACACGCGTATTGTTTGTAGAATGTGGATGTCTCATATAAAACACAGCGCGGTGCTAGCAGTAGGTACACAACGCTCTAAGCCCAGCCAATAGTTTCGTCGGGCAGTTAATCAGTATGGGCATGTACTACATTACACCGATTTGGTATCAGTCGATTCTTCAAACAAATTAAAATCGGGCCCAACTATCGTCCAATTAAAAACCGGTGGTCTGCGACTAGGCTAAAACTCTATTAACGCTATAACCCGCCTAAGTACGCTTTCTTTTTGGCAAAGCCGTAAAAATTCAGATGAAAATGTAGGCAGGATATATTGACACGTGATACATCACTTACCACAAGCGAAGGCGAAGAGCACCAAACTGTAGATAAAGAAGAACTTCACGATGTCGATGACCATTCTTCCCAGAGAGATCTGCAGCGGCCCCAGGTGCGGGTTGATGGAGAAAAGGTGAACCAGCTTCAAGGCACTGGGAAGCAAAAGTTTAATTTCACACGAGCCGACTTATACATTTATTACGAACTAGCGGCCGCCCGCGACTTCGTACGCGTTGATGAACCCGTTATACCTAATTAGTGGTTGAATTTTGGAAAATCCCGTCTTAGTGAGTGAACACCTACGTTGTAAAAGGAACCCCCGTGCAAAATTTAAGACTCCTAGCACTTGTAGTTTCTGATATTTCGTGATGAGTGAGTCATTGACTTTTCGCTTTTAAAGATATACAGGGTGTTAGGTAAATGGGTAGGTATATGAGCATTTAAAAAATTAAAATGATGATATCAAATTTCTGACTTCACCATACCATTTATATGTATATGTTATCATGGGCTAGTGTCGGCTCATATACCCATTTACCTAACACCCTGTAGATGAGAAAAACGGACTCTAGCTAGAGAGTCGAAAGCGTCAAAATTCTCCCTTGGGATGAACTTGGTTTGGAGGTCACTGTTGACATCTGTAATTTGCTTCCAGTAAGCTGCAAATCAAAGCTACAATCTCGCTACCACTTACCTAAAAATGTTAGCAGCAGCGAACAGCCCCTCAGCAATGAGCTGTGGGTCGAAAGCGTCCCAGTTTTCCCTCGGGATGAACTTGGTTTGGGGGTCCCCTGTGATCTGCAGCCAGGAGGTTGCGAACCAAAGCTACAATCTCGCTACCACTTACCTAAAAATGTTAGCAGCAGCGAACAGCCCCTCAGCAATGAGTTGGGGGTCGAAAGCGTCCCAGTTTTCCCTCGGGATGAACTTGGTTTGGGGGTCCCCTGTGATCTGCTGCCAGGAGGTTGCGAACCAAAGCTACAAACTCGCTACCACTTACCTAAAAATGTTAGCAGCAGCGAACAGCCCCTCAGCAATGAGCTGTGGGTCGAAAGCGTCCCAGTTTTCCCTCGGGATGAACTTGGTCTGGGGGTCTCTATTGATCTCTGTGATCTGCTGCCAGTAGGCTGCGAACCGAAGCAAGGCTACGGCCACGTAGAGAGAATTCCTGGTGAAGTCTATGAAGTTCCACATATTTCGGAGGTAGGAGCGGATGCCTTCAATGTAGATCTCTTGAGTTTCCTCCCAGATGAAACCTAGAAAAAAAATCAGGCTATAGAGGTAGCTATGCTTTACAAAATAGGTAATTTCATGGTGAAAAAGACTGCCTTGGGTAGAAATTAAATCCACGACCTTTTGATTGCCGAGTGATTGCTTTTAGCCATTTATTAAGCTATAGAAACATTGGTAGATTTAAAGTTTTAAATTAGTTTTTGACATGATAATTCAATACAAATGTTAAGATATTATATTTTTGTAGCCCCTTTTTCTTTTGAACTGCACCATAGATAACAGGTATCTTTATTGCAAGCCACAAACACAAACGGCAGTCTTATTACTGATTTGACCTTCCTCAAGGTGGGAACAATTGTTTATGAAAAGGATAAAGGTAAAATAATCCGAATCATATCCAAAAGGTGTTTTCTCGCAAATTTCGTAGGAATTCAAACGATTCGATTATCTAATTAAATATACGAGTGATTTCCGTATGGAAAGTCACCAAACTCTGCTTTGAGTTTGAATTGAAACTAAATTAAACCTAGTCCCATTTCCCTCAAACGCAAAATAAATCTTTACCTCATATTAGAATAAAAAAGAATCGGTAAATAATTGGTTTTACGTAAGCGAAAATGACGGCCGAAAAATTTTAATCGACTTGACAGAGTTAATATCCGGCAGTTACGAAGTTTAAATCAGGACGTTTTCTTTAAGGACAAAATTCAATCTCCATCACACTTGGCCTTAAAATAACTGAGGAGTTAATTTCGGTGTCCTTGAAACTGATACCTAGGAAAACTCTTATTTTGATGGTATTAAAGTTACCAACTACAAAATAGAGTCAATAAATATTGTGGCCCTACTTTTCAGGTAGGTACAGTCAGTTGTCTGCAACTAACTTTTTTCATTCCTTTCTTCTTTGCGTTTTTTCGTTAAAAAAGGCCCTGTGAATATGGCGGCTCTGATACGACCAGGCACGGTTCTAGGGTGGCCAGACGTGGAACCCAGCATAATAATTGTAGCATTTGTAGCGCCAAATGGGAAGAAGGGAGCGAAATATTTTTCACAAAATGAACAACACAAACAAAAATTTTTTTTCACCAATCTACTCATATTGAACAAGGCGCATGTTAATGTCGATAATTAATTTTATGAAACAGACTCCCAAATCAAAGGCATGAACGCGTCACCATTTTTTTACAAACGCTGGGACGGGGCGTCAAAATAAAGTGTTTTACCCGGTTAGGAAAAAATCGTAAAACTGTGACTGTTCCCTATTTGTCACTTACCAAGGACGTATACGACAACCACCAGCTCCAGATACGTGGGCCCATTCCCTCTTTGCTTGAGGAGTTCCTTTTCTAGCTCTTTCACCATCCACTCCGGTCCAAACAGTTGTATGGCTTGCACCTCCGCTCTTTGGGACACCAGGATCAGAATCACTGGTAAAACGGCGAACAATTAAAGAAAAAATCACATGTTATTTTAAATATGACAGGGAGTGACTTGTACACCACACAAGATACAATAACTCGTTCTTTCTATTTTTGGAGACTATTAATAAATTTTCAAAGACTCTGAAAAGTCAAGTGTTTTAGAAAAAAAATTAAATGCAAAGATAGAATCTAAATCATCAAGCTCATTGCCAATACATGAATCAACTTACCAAAAAATATAGTATGGACATCAAAGTTCATAAGCTCAAGACACAAAATTCATAACCCATTAAAGTAACTCGTCAAATTGTATCTAGAATTTTCTATAGACAACAAATACTCACATAGAAAGAACAAATAACTAGACGCGTGAATCAAGAACTTCATGAACGGTTTCCTCATCAGTTTTCCGGTAGCACAGTTGGGGGCGATCATATACAGGGTGCAGTAGAACGGGAAAAGCAGGGCGACGCGGCAGATGATCATAATCTTTTCCATGGCGGTCTTCCGACGGAACCCTGGGACGCCTTCGTACCAGATGGCGGCTAGAAGTTGCTGAATGTTGGGGTGGGCGACAAACTGTAGGCGAAATTAAGAATAAGGATACTTTATTCAGCATATTGTAAAGAATACAGTACATTTAACCAAATTTAGAAGCTATGCTGAAGAGGCATCCGCTCAGCAATATTCGCGAATGCCAAAACGCCATGGCGAGAAGCTGGTTTTCAGCGGGAATCAACAACACAGATTGCGTGCCCTCTTGACCGAGACTATATTGAGGCGATTTGATGGTGCATTGATAATTAAAATACTCTAAAGAATAAGCCGGGACTAAATTAAGTCGCTTTAGAATTTGCTGCGTTTTCCGGTACGCGGCCTCCACTCCAAAACGTGGGACGTCCTCCCACAAGGTGGACTGACGACATCATGCGCTGGACGCAGGCCGCTACCAACCGGTCAATAAAAATAGTATCATGTGGAAGCAAAGAAATAAAACATCACTACGACTACCGAAAATCGACAGATATCCAGTCAGTCCACTTATCAGGGTGATTTTTGCTTTTGCCCATCAACTCGTATTAAAACAGCATTATTTGCATAATATTACAACAAAACCTGAGCGTTAATTTATTTCAATGCTGGTATCAAGGGGTCAGGGTTATACCCGTGGTTACATGACCGTTTTAAGCGACCTTTTGGCTTGAAGGGCTATATTAATTTAAATATTTTTGGCTAGCGGGAACTCCTCGATGGCTCATAAGTTCATAACGGTAGTCTAGTCAGTTTAATTAATTTAATTCTTATAACAAAATCCTGAATATGTTATCCCGAAGTATTCGAAGGTCAGGCTTTTGTAATTGCTCTAAGTGCTTGTTCACGTTGACTCGCGGGCGCGGTGGCGAGCGCGGTGACGAAATATCAAACATATTATGTAGTGATTCCAAGTGTTCACGTACGAAACGCAGGTGCGGTCTAACTAGCGGGCAAGCTAGCGACTGGTGGTTCAACCAGTTTGAACTTGTCGCTAGAAACGATAGTATGTCACACTCGCGCGAACGCCTGGTGGTCAATGTGAACACGAGCTCGCAACGTTTCCCGCGCCCGCGCGTGCCTACGTGAACAAGCACTAAAAAGGGCTTAAAGTTATTATTTTTATTTGAAATGGATAAATTATTTTTAAATAACATAAAAACATAATAAAAATAACATTGCAAGCTCCTCACCAGTTTCGTCCTCCAAATAATGACCAACTCTTAGCTACAATCCGATCGAGCTAACTGCGCTAGCGCTAGCACCTCACTGGAATGCGACTCTCCCTCGCACTCACCCGCACACCTCCCCGCGTTCGCCCCGTCCGTACCATAGCGTCGATGTGACGTCACGGCTGCCAGGTGTGCAGTTAACTCGACCGGATTGTAAACTTGGATCTAAAGCCCGTATTCACAAACGATACTTGCTCAAGTGAATCACTTACTCACTTACAATTAACTGCCTCTGTGGTCTATTGGTAAGACCACCTGTTTCAGACGCAGAGGTCCCGGGTTCGATTCCCAGTGGGGGCAGATTTTTCTGTTCGGTTTGGTTGGTGGTAGGGCTTGTTTTAAGTCCGCCTGGCTAGCTACCACCATCTTACCTAAGTCTGTCGCCATAACAATAATGTTAACAGCATTATTGTGTTCCGGCAGTTAAGAGGTAAGATAGCCAGTTCCTCCGTGGTTGAGGATTCCGGGTGAAGCTCGCTTCCACCTTCGGCCTGATCGTCACTTACCATATACAGGTCAAGAGCTTCCTCGTTGTGGATAAAAAAAAAAAAATCAGAAAATCGAACGCACAGTGTTGAATAGAGCTCTGGTTCGTGTGTCACCCTATGCGTCCACGCGCACTGTGAGACCTCATAGTAATGTTTGTGAATACGGTCGTGAATCTTCTTTTAGGAAAGTGATCTTACCTTCTTCTGTTTAAAATCTATTGCCAGTTCCAATCTCGCAATCTTCATGTGGTCTCCTACAACGAACTCTGGCTCGTCAGGGTCATGGTTCAGGATGATGAACAGCTGTTAGTACCTACATAAATAAGCTGATGAATTTGGATCGAAAGTAGACCAACCTTTTTCTGCTTAAAATCGATAGCCAGTTCCAGTCTTGCCAGTTTCATGTGGTCTCCTTCAACGAACGCCGGCTCGTCAGGGTCGTGGTTGAGGATGATGACTAGCTCTTAGTACTTTATGTACTATAAATAGCAGATGAATTTGGATCGATAGTAAACCAACCTTTTTCTGCTTAAAATCGATAGCCAGTTCCAGTCTTGCCAGTTTCATGTGGTCTCCTTCAACGAACGCCGGCTCGTCAGGGTCGTGGTTCAGGATGATGAACAGCTCTTAGTACCTACATAAATAAGCTGATGAATTTGGATCGAAAGTAGACCAACCTTTTTCTGTTTAAAATCGATAGCCAGTTCCAGTCTTGCCAGTTTCATGTGGTCTCCTTCAACGAACGCCGGCTCGTCAGGATCGTGGTTCAGGATGATGGCCAGCTCTTGGCTGCTGCGCGACTGGTCCAGTAAGTCCACAGCGAACTTCTGAGCTTGGCGACGAAGCTCCAGGTATTCGGCTTTGCTTTCCTAGTAAATTATTCTCAATTTTATTTCTTAAGCTTGCTAAGAGTAAGAAACTATGGATGTTTGGCACCTAAAATGTGATAAAGTTATAGCCATTTGATGAAAATGAAAATGCAAAAAATATTTTAAGAACAGCATTTTTAACCTTTAAACTTCAAATTCACATACTCTTTGAACCGTTTCTTGAGTTTCCGATACGGGAAATGATTCCGGGCTTCAGAAGGGACATTGAGGAGTTGAATCCAGTTATTAATGTCAGAATATCCACTGGAAGCTTGTATATCACACAAAACACAATAGTGTCAACGTTTGCACAGCCTCTGAGCCTGATTCCAGATGTTGAAGCACAGTTACATATTAAAGTTCAACGGAAAGAGAAGAATATACTCAAATATTCCTATTTACCTGTTCCGCAAAAGCCAAGTTCCGCAGTTCCCAAGAGAGCTGAAAGGCAGTCAGTATGGGGTCGGTGGAAGACAAGGCAATGAGCGAAGGCGATGCCAGAGCCCTGTACTCGTTCAGACGGGCTAGAGAGTGCCGGAGGGAATCTTCGGTAGACTCGCGGATACATTCTTCACAACCGCACCTGGATATTAAATAGAAACAATAAGATCGAAAGGCAGTCAGTATGGGGTCGGTGGAAGACAGGGCTATGAGCGATGGCGAAGCCAGAGCTCTGTGCTCGTTCAGTCGAGCTAGAGAGTGGCGGAGGGAATCTTCGGTAGACTCGCGGATACATTCTTCACAACCGCACCTGGATATTAAATAGAAACAATAAGATCGAAAGGCAGTCAGTATGGGGTCGGTGGAAGACAGGGCTATGAGCGATGGCGAAGCCAGAGCTCTGTGCTCGTTCAGTCGAGCTAGAGAGTGGCGGAGGGAATCTTCGGTAGACTCGCGGATACATTCTTCACAACCGCACCTGGATGTTAAATAGAATCAATAAGTTCAAAGGCAGTCAGTATGGGGTCGGTGAAGGACAGGGCTATGAGCGATGGCGAAGCCAGAGCCCTACTCGTTCAGTCGAGCTAGAGAGTGGCGGAGAGAATCTTCTGGACTTGCGGATACATTGAATGATTAAGTTTATTGTCAATGAGTTACGCATATTAACTCTCATCTTGTTTATTGTTTAGAGTTCTTAATTTAGTTCCTCGTTTTGAATGATATCTATAAATGTACCGACTTATTGATTTTTACTAGAAAATCTATTCCTTCAAATTGTTTTTCTTTTCAGCAAAAGGATAATCGTGTGTAATATCGACTTGGTACATGGTCTTTATAGTGGTCTAAAACTACTAGAAGGTGTCTAGTATCGTATCTTGTTTTCTCATCAGCATCTTTTCAATTCAGATGCCGGTAGTTTTCTCGCTGATCAGAACCACATTGTGTTCGCTAATATGACGATGGCCTTCAGTCTTCACTCTAGAACGCTTCTGCATTTGAAGCCAATTCAATTCGTTTCAGTCAAATGACGTCCACTGCTGGAAAAAGGCCTCCCCCAAGGATTTCCTTGACGACTAATCCTGCGTTGCCACTTACCTTACGTCATGAGGATTTGGCACCGTGGCTCCGCGGTCGAGCAGGATCTTGAGGATCTCGTAGTTGTTCTTGTGCGCTGCCAGCATCAGTGGCGTGATGTCTGGCGTGAACATCGCCGTGTTCGGGTCCACTTTCTGCCAGCTCTGTACAGGGAGGAAAAAATAAAATGTCATTAGCCCAGGCGAAAACGACCTACTTTTAGTTGACCGATAGTTGGGCCGGATTTAAATTTGTAAGAAGAACGGCCGATACCGAATGGGTGTAGGTAATATGCGCATTTATCATCATGTCCATCCATACTGATTAACGACCCGACGTGACTATCGGTCGACTAAAAGCTGTCGGTGATCTGCGGCTAGGCTTAGCCATTGGCATTACCTCCGGTCGCATGGTTGTTAAGAGTCAAAGAAAAAGAATTTCTCATAATAATCCTGAGTGTACCATCAGGGATTTTGATAGAAAGCATATCAATACTCTCTCTCTCTCTCTTTCTCCCTCTCTTTCTCTCTCTCTCTCTCTCTCTCTCTCTCTGTACCTACTGGTTCATATAACAGGTATAGTACTTTCTGTACGATAAATGTGGTATTAGGCCGAGTCCGCACTACGGCTAAACCGCCGCGATTTTTAACCGCGTGATTTTATAAGCAAGTAAAACTAATGCAAGCGTCCACACTGCGGCTTTTTCCCGCGAATACGTTTCGGGCGGTTTCGCGGTTTACCGCTTGTGTGAAAAAACCGTAGAGCGGACATAGCCTAATTTTATACATGAAAAATCAAGGAAAATAATGTCGTCGTAGTCAAGAGACGATTAGGCAGGCAACGTACTCGTACCAATACCACCAATACATAATTTTCTAGGACAGTTTAGTTGTGTTTGCCAAACAGTTTCGTAGTGCTTCCATCTTAGGATAAAATGTTTCAACAAAACTTATGCACTTTACAGGCTTCTCGTACCTAGTTCGTGGCTGAACATTAAGAAAGTAGGTTATGTAAGACAGACATAGCTATTGAAGTATTTCTAGAATCCAAAAAAGATTACAAAATGAGTACATTCCCGGTAGACTTTCATTTTTCTATGGAAGTTCCAAAACACTCACGTATTTCTCCCCGTCCTTGTGTATCAGCTCTTCATGCTCCAGCAGAAGTTCCACAGCCTCCACAAACTCCGCGTTGATAGACTGAAGCAATGCGTCTTTGGTCTCCACGCCCATGATGACCAGGAGTTCCACCATCTCCATGTTTTCCCCGTCGATGGCCAGGGTCAGGGCCCCTCGGCCGAGGGAGTCCACACAGTTCACGTCGATGTGCTTCTGGCGATGAGCTTTCTGGAGAATCCTGGGGACACAAGAGGTAAATACATATAGGGTTCTGATTAATTTCGTTGCGGGTCCAATGACAGTTTAACTTTCCCCCAGGACAAACTTGACCTTCACTGGTTGGGTTTTTATTGGCGGTCAAGCTGTAGGTCCTGGCTACACAGGAGTTGCATCTGTGAGATCGAGCTGGGAATAGTCCCGTTATACCTACAAGGGTTCTGTACTCAAGGGTGCCTAATGCCCCCTAATTTTCTAGTTTTGTACTAACAATTTCATAGGGAATACAATTCCGAATGCTATCTGTCAGAGAGCTGTATCACATGAAATGTAAAAATAAAGGAACATACAAGAGATGTGTTTTATTTTGAGATGTTGGACTAAATAACTAAAATAGAATAAGAAAAATCTGAAGTAACAAACCCCAATCTTAGAAGTAAGATTGATTATGAAGTCGGAAAATGTACACTGTTTATACTTTATACTTTAGGAGTACCTAAGTCGGATCAAATCGCTGCTTCTACTTGATAGAGTAAGATTCGTTAACGATATGAATTCTATAGAACCACATGTTGTAGGTACCTACAACCTACTATTTTTAACGCAAAGGGAAAGAATAAGGCGTAACGTTTATTACGTCTCAATCTAATATCTAGTCTATAAATATACAGTGCTATCAGAAACAAAAAGTCCTTGAGTAGCCTCAAAACACTTTTTAATTACAAAATTATTAAAAAACACTCGCCAAGTCTGCGGACCAATAACTTGTTTTTGTAAACATATTAAAGTGTCTTCCACAAGGCAATCCCACAAATGGAGCGGGCCATTGTCAACAGCGTCCGAGAATTGATTAATGCCAAAACAATCCAATTATACACAACAATAATTAGATTTGTCGTGCTCACGATTGGCGACGTCATTTCGCCGGCTTTATTTTAATAGTTGTTTACTCTTGGTTTGTTTCTATGTGATCGAGACATGATTTTCCATTGCCAATACTGTGCAATCAATTTTTACTTGAAACTTTTTGTTACAGTACATCCGGGTCTCCAACGCGTGTTTAGCTTTGTTAGACTCGTTTTTAAGTTGGCCACAGGTCACAACAATTTTATGTTCTTAGTGATCTAGCCATACCAGCAACTGAAAATTAGGCAAGCTCTACATTTGATATTTCATTAAAAATAGGTACCTACCTACTAAACTAAACAAAAAGTAGGTAGATACTTTTTATTTATTTTCCGAAAGACTGGCCAGAAACAGATATTTTTTCTATCTTTATTTATTTGGGGGCTTTTGCCTATTAAGATACGACAGCCCCATCTATCCTTATTATTAAAAAAATATAATTAAACACACATGCGTGAATATGATTAGAGGTATCTACTGAAATAAAATATCACAGTAAAATTATTTATCGTATCTATAGCAGATGGAAATATGAATATGAATTCTACATTATTTGTGAGCCAAAACTCTAAGTTAATTTAAAAAGTTTTAAATCGTAATACCGCGTTTTGACATCCTCAAGCCGCGACTTTTGACGCTAATTGTAATTACCAAATTAGGTTCGTCTGTCAAACTCCATGCGAAAACACCGGTTAAATTTACAGTTACAGTTAAGGTTAAGGTTAACTGAGACTTAAACTAGGCTTACCTCCTGACGTTGCCCATGTCGCCTCTCTCGACGGCGAGGAGGTATTTCTTTTCCTCTAAAGTGAGGGCTTTAGGCAGAGTAGGCAGTTCCATGGGCTTGCGGCCGCCCTCCAATGCTAGGTCGCCCTAGTAAAGAAATATAAACAAAAAATATGAATAAAGTGTTATACGACCATACTATAATATGAACCGTAAGTACTTAGATGAATGTCTAGACTTTTTGTTCACTGAAAAGAACTCAAGGGGTTAAAAAACCACTGTGGAAATTGAATAGGTAGACAATTACAAAATAATTAAAAGATTTTGGGTTACCTAGGTCCTAAAATGAGTTGATTACAGACACCTGTATCTAATTACTTAGATACCCTGTTAAGTACCGGTGCTGCCGGCATAGGTACCTACGAGTACATAATAGTATTCCTAATGAATAACTTTACATTCCTAATTCACGCACGTCTACAATTTGTAAGCACACTGGTAGATGTACTTAGGTATAGATCTGTTGTCCCCCCTGACTAGGGGAGACAACAGGCCTTCAAAATCCAGTTGGCCCCTTATGATGGCCATCCAGGGGGAACAACAGAACTGCACCCTACTTACGCATTCTAAATCCTTTTTGTCGCCCATATCTGATGCTGGAGCAGCGTCCGCCCCCACAGGCGAACTTCTTATCCTCGGCTAGTTACCTGATGGTAATAAGTCAATATATATTTATAAGTTTCTATGTAAAATACCAAAAATATTCCACACATCCATGCATAATGTCCACTCGTGCGACGCGTGGAAGCCTCCCAACGCTAATCCGCGTCCGTCACCCACTTGCATCTGACATAACCTTACGCAGTAATTCAATTGTGAGCGCATAATCGAATGTACTGACAGATTAGACGAGTAAACAATGATTAAAACTCTTTATTTTTTGCAAATAGGCTTTTAAAAAGCACTTTTACACGTCCCGGTATTAACCCTACCACTGCTTCGGGCATACTGCAATAAATGGGTCAGTGCTGAGAAGAAGCAGCGCAAGAAACTCAAAGAAAAAGCAGCGCAAGAAACTCAGAGAAGAAGCAGCGCAGGAAACTCATAGAAGAAGCAGCGCAAGAAACTCAGAGAAGAAGCAGCGCAAGAAACTCATAGAAGAAGCAGCGCAAGAAACTCAGATTAAAGTTAATTTCTCGATCCTGTTTCAGCTTCAGGTATTCTGAAATCTGACATGAGCCCTTCAGGCTTTTACGGGGCTCATGTTTTCGGGACTGTATTGTCTTATAATATGTATTTAAGACCTAATTTTATGTACCAACACAACATGATGCAATAAAACATTAAGACTATGACTATAATACGCGTCTGTCTGTTCGCGATAAACTGAAAAACTAGTGAACGGATTTTGATGCGGTTTTTTATAATGGATAGAGTATTTCTGTTACAGACCGAAATGAAAATTAATTACGTAAACACAAACGAACGAATGTTTATCCAATAATTAAGGTCAGTAGACATTATAAAACAACGCTCAAAAATTATAAATACCGACAGTAAGTATTTTAGGTCGTATGTTTAGCTTATAAGTAGGTAAATTAAAGTTCAATCAATCAAGGCATCCTTGAGATTTAATCAAGAACCATTTATTTGGCTAAAACCTAAACGAAACAATTAGTCACAAAGATTTACAGCCGTACTTGTCAAAGCAGTTCAACGAGCTTTCCGGCCCACTGCAAAATAATTAATACTTAGTTAAGTTTTAATTATCTTTTTTGATTAGGCACCGACAGGCCATTTCGTTTGAGAGTTTAGGTTTATTGCAAATTAGGTACGTAGGTCTTAGCAATAAATAATTTAGTCTTCTTTAGATCTAATTTTAATTAGTTATGACCTCTTTTCTACGTACATACCTATCTAACAAGATTCTGCGAATATTTGGTTCATCGTCTGCCTCACTTCAGTTACCGTGCTTCAGCGAAATTGTTTTCTAAACAATTGCTCAGTGAATAGACATCCAGTGGAAGATCCCAGCTTCAATTCCCAGGTGGAGCATTTAATAATTACAAAGGAATGTCACACTGATGTCCCCAGGGACTCTCAACCAAAAGTCCTAACTTCGATTCCCAGATGAGGCATTCGTAACGGATTTACGAATGTCACACTGTCTACACATGTTTCTTTTGCGTCAGTTATGATGACATTACACAACCATAATTGAATTGGCGTAAGCCCATAATCGAATGTTGTTCACGTCTACCTGCGAAGCACTTGTTGATCGGATTGGCAACGAATATGCTTACCTTTTCAAAACTCCTCGATAAGCCAGTCTGTGCCTACTGTTGTTTGAAAACTATGCCAAAGAGGATTATTGAAAACATTTATAACCATAAAAACGCATTAAATTATGCTGTATACTTAGTATGTTTGTCTGGAAGCGCTGCATGGTAAGCCCAAAAGATAAGGATAAGGGATACGTTCATAAGTGCCAAAATACTGGACATAAATTAACAAATATTTTTGATTTGATATTAGTATCTTTGACCAATATCAAGATTATTAAGTAGTTAACTACTGATCAAAAAACTATTGTTGTATTTTGCTCTCTGCTTTTTCCATAAAGTTAACTAGTTATTTATTCTGTTTGAACTTGAAATTATGAGCGATGGTTTGGAAATGGTTGAGGCTGTTTCCCAGGTATAAGATTTAAGTCGTTATAACACACATGACAGACGAATAATATTTCTCGTATTACTAGTTAGCATGAACAACATACAGACACTAATTACTACTATAGTTATTGATGATATACCCATGACATGACTAACATCATGTAAATATTATCTATTAATGCTGATTTATTATTTATTAATGCATTGCTTAAGTTCTGAGTAAACTTAAAGTCTCATCTTTACTCTCCATTTAATATTAGATAAAAAAATGCTGAGTAAATGTCTTAAATAATTTAATTAAGACTTTAATTTATTGAGAACTTGTTAAAAATGTTTAACCAACCGCTCGTACAATTTTTTAAATATTACAATTAAATCTCTTACCTTAGAAAATTTAAAAAACACGTTCACATTCTTACCTTTTTTTCAAATTTCACAAAAACACAAAAAATGTACTCACAGGCAACGCTCGCCCTGGCTGGCGTGACGCCACTCCTGCGCCTGGCCTCGCCGCCTGCCTTTTTATACCCCACCCCTTACCCCCTAGGGGTGAGACCCCTTACCCCCTAGATCCAATTAGGACCCAATGCGTGACGGCTAGGCCTGGCGGTTCGAAGCGGTTATTTCGTATAATAACCCACGTGGAGTTAGGTACCCGTGTACCTAAGTGAATGGATAGACTGGAGAATTGTAAAAATCGTGCTTTCCATCATCATCATCATCATCAACAGCCCTTTACAGTCCAATGGACTATGAGCCTCCTCCACTATAGTGGAGGGTTTTACCATAATCACCACGCTTGGCAGGCGGGTTGGAGTCGCAGTTTAAAAGTTTGATGTTTTTCAGAGAGAGCTGCTGCCCGTTCTCTGTTTAATGTGCTTCCCATACTTAAACCTAAATAAATCACAGGCAGTAATAGACTCGAGAAGCTGTAGGAACATATTGATAAAAAAAAAAACATTTTGGTCGGACGAATCGAACGGAAAATGTACCTGAGACAGGCTCATAGAGATTCACCATGATGCTGCAAGTCTTATTATGTACTAGCAGCCGCCCGCGACTTTGTACGCGTGGATCCCGTTTTACCCCCTTAGGGGTGGAGTTTCGTAAAATCCTTTCTTAGCTGATGCCCACGTCACAACAACTACCTGCATGCCAAATTTCAGCCCGATCCATCTAGTGGTTTGGGGTGTGCGTTGATAGATCACTATTCAGTCAGTCACCTTTGAGTTATATAAATTTAGTCAGATTTTGAGAAGTTCTTTTACACGTCTATTTATTAAAATAAAATATGAATACCTACTTTCTTAGCTACATTATTATCTACTTACACCATGCGTATAATAAAACAGGGATTCTATTTTCTCTATCAAAGACAATACAGATGGTAACTAGGTACTCGTAAGTAGATAAGTTAATCTAACGTTAGTCATGTAGCCATTAATCTGGTTAATAAAATTAATGCATAATTGAATCACGCAAATAAACTTTGAATCACAACAAATGTGGCTTTACTACGAAAACTCAATTCTTTTGTTTTATATTTTTTACTTTTTTTATCTGACTACAAACTTTTTGAACGTTTTCCCGCCTAAAAAATTTACTTTCTTTTCATATTTTATGGCTTCGCGCTCTACTTAAAGGCCATTATTTTTTTATTGATGACACGACCTTTTATTTTTACTTTTTCTCAAATTTTATATCGATGTTCTTTCTTATGGCTAACCATTCATAGACTAACATAATAAAACATGCGAAGTGTACGACGTGTAACTTGGTAAGGCGCAAGTCCAGCCAGTTTACCTTGACTAAAATAAATCTAATTTAATCTCCCTTTTTTTTTCGTGCCCGAGCAACTGCACGCAGGAGGATTTAATTAATGCTGCTGACTCCACTCTTGTAGCGGAATTTTGGGCTGCACTGTGTATGTTTGTTGTCGACACGATAAGAAGAAGGCTATCCGCCTTGACTATGCCTTGAATAAAAGAGCGCATAAAAATGTAAAACTTTATTACAACATGGTCTATGAAACATAATACACTGTACACACTACATGTAGATTTGACTAGCAATAGTGCCTATACAGATATGTCACATTTCTACACATCCATCTACTCTCGATTGTGATTAATTTAAAACTTAAATTGTAACTGTAGGCGATTGTTTTAGCTGATGATATTATTTTCAAAACACAGTAAAAATGACCGAACTTTAAGTTTCACCCCAATTTGTCAATAAAAACTAGGTAGTAAAAAAGGAACTAAATCTATAGGCACAGATTTTTAATAAAAATAAAGTTTGGCAGTTTTGTTAAAAAAATGGAGTGTTGAACTATTTTCAAGATCTAGAAGTAAATGCAAGACTCGGTTCTATTTTGGTCCCAAAATCATTTTAAAAGAACTACGATTTAGAAGTCAAATGTAAGCCAGGAAATAAGTACAACATTAGCACTTTTCCTGATGTTAACCCTTTGTTTGGACAGCGCCATACTTACTTAGTTTCCAGAATAAAATTATTATTGAAACTTTATCTGTTTCTAGGTTTATCTTTGTTTTAAGTCCCGAAAACAATAAAATGTTGGACTTGCTAGTTAAGTCCATTATTTGGTCAATGGAAGTCATAATACAGGAGACGTAATTTAAAAAACATAACCTTCCTTCTGGCACAGTCGGGTAAATAGGTAGGTATAATAAGTACCATTAGCTAATACAAACACCGGACAGTTGATCATTTATTATACAATATTTAAGTATAATTTTGTATGTACAATTTTTTTTATATGTAAATTTTATAATAACACACTGTAAATAGCGTTTCTTGCATAATTTTTAAAGTTTTTTTACGCGTAAGTTGTATTCCTACTTCGGTAAATTTTACTAAACATAGAACAATTTTAATAAATCTCCACAGTTTTTTTTTTTTAATATTGATAAAATTTTAACACCTTTCCGATAACTTTCACTATGGGCGTACTTAAGTACCTATTCTTGTTTATTACGCTGAGTGAAATAGCCTTAAAAATGTTTGAGATTATTAAAATTGTACCACATATTGTACATTTCCTAGACACAAATACGTATTACAGTGTAATTAATGGTATTACTGCACAAACTTACAATGATGACATGACACTGAAAAACGCTGTAATAATCTTCCAAAATGAAGCTCATACTTTGTTCGTTGTAAATAAAAGCATCTTTGTGGAATATATCCTACTAAGTTACATTCGACTTTATACGATTGTATGAGCCAAAGCACACGATGCTTTGCGGCGCCGCATCGCAATGATTTCGCTCGTGTGCCCGTCGGATTATTCCACTTTTTTCACATGGGTGAAGAAAATGGATTTCACCTAAGTAGGTGCTTAATTTTTCAGGTGAATTCCTAGATGAACAAAGGCGATTGATTTAGTCGAATCAATTCACCTGCGTGATATCACGTGGCGGCTGAAATGTTTCCGATTCGAGGTGAAATAAGGACACTAAAAATTCCACTTTCTTCACCCAGGTGAACAAAGCGGAATAATCCTGCCCGCCATAGATACTTTTATGTAAGATGACGCAGCGACACCGCTCCGGCGTCGCACTGCCGCCGCAATGCATCGTGTGCTTCGACCCTTATGACTGTCTACTCCACGAGTTTTTCTACTAATTTGAGCATCAGAAGAAAACAAGGAAAACCAATAGATTCGGTCTAAATAGATCGTAGGCATTTGAAAAGTATGTATTAAATGGAAAGACATGGAAGCTGATCTGTTAACCTATCTACATAGATTTTAGAAACGAGTCTCTACTAAATGCAAGTTAATCTGACCTCTTATATTTTGCAAATCACCCTACAATATAACGTTATTATAAACGTGCAATATAACGTTATTTAAACAATAACATAACCATCAACAATTCACAATAAACCATGAGTCAAATAATAAGTACTTATTTGGCTATCCAAATAAGTACTTAATTTACCTGACAGATAGTTCTGTTTGTCAGGTAAATTACCTACCACTTTTTGTTTCATGAAGTAACGGATAATGAACAAGTTATGTAGATATCGTTAGGGAAACTATGAAACTTTATCAAGAACTGTGAATAGCCCCGTGACGCGTATTCTCAAACGACTCAAAAATCTTGAGTCAAAACTCAAGCGTAGATTAAACGGTCATTGTTCGAATTCAGTAATTAGGTAAGTAATGGATAAAGCACTGGCTTAAAAAATCTACTCTTAAATATAGACTCAAACTCAAGTGCGTTTAATAATACGGGTCTTCCTTGAAGTTACATTTACTACAAGTTAAAAAGTCATAAGAAAAACATCTCTCTGACTAAAAACACACGTAGGTATGCATGGCTAAGTCTAAATTATAATATTAGGTAATGTCATATTAACAGAATACCTATTTCATGTTTAATAATTATTCTAATACCTATAATACCGCAATATACAAACATAAAAGCCTTTATTTAGTATCTTAATATCATTAATAATATTTTTTTTTTAATATTAACTTGTTAAAACTACAAATAAATGGACATCAGACATTATCACCAAACAATTTCAATTACATTAATAAAAATTTATTTCACGTTAAAAATAACAATAAAATTTTAACAATTCGTTGACTTAATTAATTGATTAACAAATTAATAATTGATACAAAGATTACATGCGTGTGGGTCTTTAGTAAATCACATTAGTAAAAATAAATTAAAATGACGCGTGTGCGACGTGCGTGTGTGCTATGTTGCCTAATTGCGCTCACCAGTTGGCGCCACTGTCGAGTAAGATCCTGTCACATTAAACCGCCTCTGTGGTCTAGTGGTAAGACCACCTGCTTCAGACGCAGAGGTCCCGGGTTCGATTCCCAGTGGGAGTAGCTTTTTCTGTTCGGTTTGGTTGGTGGTAGGGCTTGTTCTAAGTTCGCCTGGCTAGCTACCACCATTTTACCTAAGTCTGTCGCCATAACAACAATGTTAACAGCGTTGTTGTGTTCCGGCAGTTAGAGGTAAGATAGCCAGTTCCTCCGTGGTTGAGGATTCCGGGTGAAGCTCGCTTCCACCTTCGGCCTGATCGTCACTTACCATCAGGTGAGATACAGGCCAAGAGCTTCCTCGTTGTGGATAAAAAAAAACATGCTCGTGGCTAGGACAGTAGCGCCAACAGATGAGCGCTGAAGCGGTAAGAAGACTATCGCATTTATTTTGCCACCAGCCGGGATAGGATGCGCGCTATGATAAAATCTTATCGACGATTTTAGATTAGATTAGATTCATCTAAAGTTTATCGTGGCGCGAATCCTACAGGTTGGCGTCACTGTCCTATCACTCGCCAGTCATGCCAGTAGCGTCATCTGGTGAGCGCAGGAGGCAGACCCTCATTGCACACGCGTTTAGGAAACATGACGTCACAAGTTCTGCAAGTGTGTAAAAATAATAGGAACACTTATGTAGCACTTCGAATAAAATCTAAATTTACAAAAAAGGAATTCCTTTTACAATCTCAAATCCATGGCAATTCATATCTAAATGGTATTCCTATAAATACAAATCTGTTGTGGAAGAAAAATCTGAAAAAATACTTTTTCCGTTCGAGGCAGTGGTAATATAGTGGCCACCACGTTTTAAACCTTATCAACTCTTCATAAGGTTGAGCAACAAAAACACACTTGAAGAAATCAACGCAAACTATCAAAAGCGGTCCAGCCGAATTTACTTAATTTTATTTTTTCATTTCCTTAAATGCATTCATTTTCATACCAAAATACGGTGCAGAAAATATTTTGAATGTTTACTTACTTTAAATTTAAACAGCATGCCAACTCGTACCTAATCTTGAGGTGCAGGGCCTCATGGTGTGATTCGCATTACTATAGAAAATATACCTAGTTGTCGTCTAAAAATTAGTTCTGTGAGATCGCAAGTTCCAAAACTTTCTGAAAAATTGTGAGTTCATACAAGAATTAATATTTTGTCATTTTCCATGCGAAATCGCCTTAAATCTAAAAGAATCTCACCTTTCTAAATAGGTACTTAAGGATATTTTTGCCTTTTATTGCCTTTGCCATATCCTGCAAAACGAAACATCAAAATGACAATTGAACTGTCACTTTCCACGGTTTCCATTGGTCCGTGTCTATGTTTTGTCTATCGGCTTGAATTCAAAAATTTGAAGTAAAATTTTCGTTATCTGTGACCGCAATTTTGGTCGCCCGCCAAAAACATAGGAGCCACTAACGCCTACTTTATTTACACACATTTACACTACAGACAGAATGGAAGCAGTTGTTCACTTCAGGTCCTCTTCCTCATCCTCCACGTATAGTAAGTCCTCCATCTTGGTCATAAACTTGCTGTCTAACTTGTCTTCAACTGGCAACGGGGTGTCCTGAAATGGGAGTAGGGTAGATTGACTTTTTGTGCCTGTACGTTGTATTAGAATTTATATTTTAAATTGGTTCTATTCTGTTACCTTCATACCATAGACATACATAATTAAATTAGAATAAAGAAACCAACCTTTCCAAGAGTTTCTGATGCCTTGAATAACAGTTTTCAGCAGAGTTTATAGCAGATTCCATCCAAATTTTAATCAAGCACGAAAAAGCATGCAACACCACATTTAAAAACCGGCCAAGTGCGAGTCGGGCTCGCGCACAAAGGGTTCCGTAGCAGCAACAGTTAAATCAACCTATCTCAAAAACTATAAGAGATACTTTGATCAAACCAAAAATCGTTGAAAGAGTTAATTAGCATGCATCACCTCTATTTTTTTTAGAATTTTATACCCCGTAGTTATAAAAATAGAGGGGGGGGGACATACTTTTTACGACTTTGAGAGCTGATATCTCAAAAACCGTTCACTTTAAGAAAAATGTTTTTTAGAAAACTTTATATCATTTTAAAAGACCTTTCCATTGATACCCCACACGGGTATGTACATCGAAAAAAAATTTTCATCCCTCAGTTACATGTATGGGGGGCCCCACCCCCAATTCTTTTTTTTACTATTTAGTGTCATAATTTTGTAGCGGTTCATACAACACATATTCCCATCAAATTTCATCACTGTAGTACTTATAGTTTCCGAGTAAATCGGCTGTGACAGACGGACAGACGGACAGACGGACAGACGGACAGACGGACAGACGGACAGACGGACAGACGGACATGACGAAACTATAAGGGTTCCGTTTTTGCCATTTTGGCTACGGAACCCTAAAAACCAAGCTCTCTTCTTGTGAAGGTATCAAGATAGTAAAAGCACACAGACTATCAACATATTTTCATTATGTTATTTAATTATGAAATTTTAAGACCCTGACACATAGGTGTGACTGAATCGCGACGTATAGACGAATTTGAAGTCGTCACTTTTTATAGGCTTCTGTCTATAAAAGCCCGTTGTCGGGCAGGGGTTTTTTTAAGAGTCAAAATGTAAGAATAAATAAATAAAAGCAGTATATTTTCTAAAAGTTTATTATTGCAAGCAACACAAGTGACAACACAATCGAAGCGAGCGGTGTTAGGTTCCATAGTAAAACCTCAAGACCATATCTTCAAATGTAAAAAAATATCAAACAACCAATTAATTTAATTTGACATCTTTAGATTTTATTATTTGCGCGTTTTCTTTAACATTTGCCCCTTGTTACTTTTGTCGATAGATTATTTTCTTATCAACCTACAAACGCCTTTTTCTATCTCATTTCAAAATACGGCCTTGAAAGCTTAATATTAAATCCTATTTGAAATATAAAAACAGTATATCAAAACCAACGAGAAGAATTTAAATTCAAAGAAACATGCAGCAAGTATAATCGCAGACAGAATTCCTAAAAAATTGTTTTCACCAAAATGGTTTATAAGAATGACACAAGTAACATTAAAAAAACACAACAATTTCAAAATCAGTCGTCATTTTAGTCATGCAAATAATCAACATGCATTTAAACCTGACACATGCAATTTTTGAGAACACCCAAGATAAAAAATAAATAGAATACGTTCATATTTTCCATGAAAATTCACTTTTTTTTTACATTTTTTATAGAAATTATGAACACATTCTTCATGAATAAACATGCAAAATCACATCACAGTATTTAAACACACCATTAAAACAGAAAGCAATAGCATAAAAAAGCATTGATAGTTAGCAAAATTTCTCGAACACAACAAACAACACAAAATTGTACATTCATCTACATATTTTTATTATAAGCAACATTCTGAGATCTTTTGACAGTCGGTTTTAATTAAAATAGTTCCGTAGACGAATGTACATGACAACGCAAAAATATATATCATTGTAACGAAATAAAGTTATAATTCAAGTAGCATTTGACCGAGTAAGTACCTTCTGAAGGATATTAGCACGTTTCGCTACATTTTGTACTTTAATCTATTAGATATCACATTCAAGGAAGATTATTAATTATTAAAGCGATATAAGGACTGTTGTATGTACCCACTGTTCTTAAATTTTTCAGTGTATAGGCCATTCTAAATTAAATCATCTGTATAAAACAATCAAGTACAGATTCGACTGTGAACACATAATTTGACACTTCAATATGTATGACAAACACAAAATATTTCTGTCATTCATTTCAAAACTAAATCATGGCACACATCAGTCTTCCTGTGCGAACATTCACATAATAAAGTTTCATCGATTTAAAATGTCTGAAACAATCACAGATTGAATTAAACTTGGCTGTCTCTTTAATTTTAAATTACAAAACTGTATGAATGCTCCTTAATCTCTATCGGTGGGTACAGAGAAAACTTCAATATTTAGGACGCATGAAAACAAATAATTACTTTCTGGAAGAACGATAAATACTATAAAGTTTTGGCATTTCCATACATATTGATCTACTTTCTACCTATGACGTATGCGGGTATGTCTACATTTGTTTATTTATACACGCTTTTTATCTTCTTCTAAATATGTTGATAATTTTATGAAAAAACAGCCAAGCGTACCAGAACACTTTGAAACATGATCACAGTATATGGCCGGCAGTCACGACATCTCACTATCTAAAAGTATCAATTTTTCTTCTCTCGTTAAGATTTAGGTACACACGGCCACACTGTTAACTATCCATTTCCGCTTTTGCTCTCGCTCTCGTCAAATGGTGATTCTTTGCGATAGAACGAGACGACATAACAGGCAATGGATAGTTAACACTGTTGCCGATGGTACATCAAAGATACATACCATCAAGTGACTAAGAATTTAGAAACAGAGCTAGCAACAAGGTAAGCGCTTAATGCGAAATAACTCTAAACTTCATCGCAATAAACGCCACTTTCGTTCAGCAGTACAACCCGGTCGAGTTAACTGCGTACCTGGCGGCCGTGACGTCACATCGTCGCTCTGGTACGGACGGGGCGTACGCGGGGAGGTGTGTAAGTAAGTGGGGAAGTCGCATTCCAGCGAGTTACGCAGTTAGCTCGATCGGATGTTAAGTTCCAATAGGCTAGTTGCCTAAAAAAATTTTTTTAGTCCGTAATGTTTAATATCAAAAAATATTGGACACATATAATTTTATTTGTCAATCTAACAAATAATTACATAGTTATGGTGCGTTGAAGTTGCGCACGACGTCACAACGTGCGGCATTTTTAAGCAAGCGTTGACGTCACGGGCCTCTTCTTATGGACTTTGGGGCGCTATATCTCTTTAAATTTTCATTAGTTTGAAAAAGTGAAAAATACGTGTAAAGTATTTTTTGATAAGTTAACTGACGGACTAATTAAAACTCTTGCTTTTTGACCCAGGCAACATCCCCATTATTGTCAGTATTAAAAATGTATTTTGTATAGTGAGATTTCGTGAAATTGAGCGTTGATTTGTACGAGCTGTAGATTAGGAGAACCGCCGAGACGGAGTCAGGGTCCAATACTTGTTCGGACGCGACGTGTCCAGGCATTTGAACGGGGACTGCAAGCAATTTTCGACTTTAAAACTTAGTACTGTAAGACTAAAGTTGTATGTATTGCATCTTGAATATTGTGTTGAAATGACGTCACAAACCTATTGTCAGTCTTTATGAATCTAACGTGGCTAAAAATAAGATAAAAAAATCGATAAATATAATAACAATATTATTTAATAACTTGCTAGTTGAATACAAATAAAGCAACATTCAATAAAAAAAACATGCACATAGTTAATAAAGACTCAAATCCCGTAGCACAACATGCAAAGCTTCATGCATAGTAAAAAAATGAAAAATACAAGTTAATCTTTCAGTTAAAATCGTTAAGTCGTTCCCGGAATGTTGCCCCTAGTGAGAATATCTGTGTATTTTCCCATTATTGGCAATGTTCTTGGCAACAGCATATCTCTAGGCCACCATTATCATACTTACCAGCCATTTAAATATCCCCGGGTGAAGTTCTCTTCAAGGGAATATTCCTGTCTATCTAATAAATCATCATACATACCGACACTCACATGGGAAAGGCGCCAAATAGACCAGCTACAGCCATGTTGCGTTATTGTCTTTGGAATACTATCATAAAACTGAATATTCTCTTCGTTGGGGATATAAATAAAACGTCGTACGTACCGTCGCAGTACCATCATATTGCGTATACCCTGGTATGTTACCATTATTTGAGAATATTTATATTACCACCCTGGGTAATATTCCTGGGAACAGGAATCTGCCTACGTCATCAGCCTGGTGCCTACCTCACCAGCCTGTTGCCTACGTCACCAGCCCGCTGCCTACGTCACCAGCCCGCTGCCTACGTCACCAGCCCGCTGCCTACGTCACCAGCCCGCTGCCTACGTCACCAGCCCGCTGCCTACGTCATACGCACCGGCGGCGCGCGCGGGAAGGGCGCGAGGCAGACCAGCAGCACGGTCATGTTGTCGCAGCCCAGGCCTCCGGTGGCGCAGTTGGGAGCCAGGCAGCGCTGCATGAGCCTGGCTCCTACGTCACCAGCCAGCTGCCTACGTCACCAGCCCGCTGCCTACGTCACCAGCCCGCTGCCTACGTCATACGTACCGGCGGGGCGCGCGGGAAGGGCGCGAGGCAGACCAGCAGCACGGTCATGTTGTCGCAGCCCAGGCCTCCGGTGGCGCAGTTGGGAGCCAGACAGCGTTGCATGAGCGCCTCGCACACAGCCGCTGGTTCCCAGCCGCTGAGTAGACGCACGCGGCAGAACGATATCACCTCCTGGCGGAAAAACATCATCGTGATCGTGGTTATCGTCATCATAAACATCATCATCACTAAGGCTGGGTTGCACCATCTTACTTTATAGTTCCAAAATACTGAACTGTCCTATCCATGACATTGACAGTGGGGCGCCACCGTCAATACCGGATTGCTGGTTCCGATTTTTGCCATGTTGGAAACCATATACCTAGTTAGAATAAGAATAAATTTCAGTTCAGCGTGGGTTATCTATAACTATGACTAACGTCAAAAATCTGTCAAACTCCATACAAAAATCATCGGTTATCGTCATAGTTAGGTGGTGGAACTCAGCCTAACATCATCTAATGAGTGATTGATAAAGAGGCTGACAAAGGTTACTATTCTTGCGCTGTTTCTTCTCGGCACTGGCCCAATGTCCCCAAACGGTGGTAGGAGTAAAGTAAAAAGTATATTGCAGAAAATAAATTACTTTCATGACCATCATCATCATCGTCACCACCATCCATTTCAGGTCATTTAGTCTCCACTATAGAGAGAGCAGAGAGGACGACCCTCTCTTTCCGAAAAAAAGTAGGGGTCCTATTCTACTTTGCCAAAACCAACCAAGAGAGAGCTCGTAGATAAACAACTGAAATGACTTTAAAGATGTTTGAAAGGGATCATCATCGAGAGACGCGCGACTTTCGGTGGCAGATCGAAATACACGCAGGTGAAGTCACGGAAAAAAGCTGATACAAAATATGTCAAAAACTAATAATTCAAACTAACCTCATTAGACAGAACCTCCCAGATGCCGTCACAGGCTATCACAATAAACTCCCAGTCGTCGTTCAGCTGCCTCACTTGCACATCTGGATACGCTGTAACGATAACAAACACAATGATAAAACTTTACAGTCTTAAAGAATAAATATAAAACAAATAGCTGAATTTTTAATAGCTTGCAATATACATGTCAATATTAGCTCCAGTGTTCATATTTCCATCCGTAAAAGATTTGCCACACGGGATGCGTTCTGCAGTCAGCGGGCAGGTCAAAGGGAACGTAGCCCGCATTATGTATGAACTAAAGTCTGGTCGCGGAGTACGTAGAATTTTGTCCAATGACCCCAAGCTACCCATCCTTATCGCTCGCGCGTAATTATATTCCTGTTGCGCTCGTACACTCACTGCTGCTGCCCGTGCAGCGCTGCCCGCAGTCGCGACAGGAATATAATTACGCGCGAGCGACAAGAATAGGTGTAGCTTAATGGGGTCATTGGACAAAATTCTACGTGCTCGGCGACCAGACTATACACTATCGGTCTCTATACCTTTTGTATTGTGCAAAATAACCGTGCGGAACAAGCAAAGAACACAAACCACACCGTTGATAGATTGCTTTGTCACAATCGCTGACAGATTATGTTGCCCGGACCACTGACCGACAATGTTGTTCATTCATGATGTGGGCTACCTACACTTTAACTGACCGCAGACCGCAGAACGCATCAAACCTGACAAACCCTTTATCCTACATGATGTTTACCGACTCCTCGGCTTTAATTCATCAAAATTCACGGATAAAAACAAGTTCAACCTAATCCTACCTGTGACGATCTGTTCCCTGGGCGACAGCCGGTAATTCCTCTTGAACACGTAGTCTCCAAGAGCCCGGGACAGCGCCAGGTTCCCGTTGACGCGGTTGAGCTGCACCCAGCCGCCGCCGGCCGTGATCCGGCGAAGCTCCTCCTCGTTGTTCGGCTTGTGGTCGTACGAGAGCACCTCCACCTAAGATAATAAGGTCCATTTTTGTTGAGCAGGTCATTTATGTGCTCCTCTAAAGCCTGGTCCGTGAACGTAGAATTTTGTCCAATGACCCCAAGCTACCCATCCTTATCGCTCGCGCGTAATTATGTTGCTGTCGCGCTCGCACACTCACTGAGGGCGCGCGTCGCACAGTCGCGACCAGGCTGTAGTTTATCAAGCAAATGGAAGATTTCACCTAATCTCCTGACACTGACTTTGGAAATTTTGTAAGCACAGTCGACGCCACATCACACCCGCCAATTTTCGCTATTCGACCTATAACGACCACATAAGAAGTCATCTAAAATGTGACACAGAGTAAAACTGTGTTAAACAGCAAAACTGTGCTAAACAGTAAAACTGTGCTCTGGAGCCGGTCAATGCTATGAGCTCGGGACAGCGCCAACTGTGTTAAAGAGCAAAACTGTGCTCTTGAGCCGGTCAATGCTATGAGCCCGGGACAGCGCCAGGTTGCCGTTGACGCGGTTGAGCTGCACCCAGCCGCCGCCGGCCGTGATCCGGCGCAGCTCCTCCTCGTTGTTCGGCTTGTGGTCGTACGAGAGCACCTCCACCTAAGGTAATAAGGTTCATTATTGTTGAGCAGGTCATTTATGTGCTCCTCAAAAGCCTGGTCCGTGAGCACGTAGAATTTTGTCCAATGACCCCAAGCTACCCATCCTTATCGCTCGCGCGTAATTATGTTGCTGTCGCGCTCGCACACTCACTGAGGGCGCGCGTCGCACAGTCGCGACCAGGCTGTAGTTTATCAAGCAAATGGAAGATTTCACCTAATCTCCTGACACTGACTTTGGAAATAAATTTTGTAAGCACAGTCGACGCCACATCACACCCGCCAATTTTCGCTATTCGACCTATCACAACCACATAATAGTCATCAAAAAAGTGACACAGAGCAAAACTGTGTTAAACAGCAAAACTGTGTTAAACAGCAGAACTGTGCTCTTGAGCCGGTCAATGCTATGAGCTCGGGACAGCGCCAACTGTGTTAAAGAGCAAAACTGTGCTCTGGAGCCGGTCAATGCTATGAGCCCGGGACAGCGCCAGGTTGCCGTTGACGCGGTTGAGCTGCACCCAGCCGCCGCCGGCCGTGATCCGGCGCAGCTCCTCCTCGTTGTTCGGCTTGTGGTCGTACGAGAGCACCTCCACCTAAGATAATAAGGTCCATTTTTGTTGAGCAGGTCGTTCGTTCGTTCGTTTCAGCGGAATGACGTCCACTGCTGGACAAAGGCCTCCTCCAAGGTTTTCCACAATGAACGGTCTTGCGCTCCCCGCATCCAGGCTCTTCTCACGATCTTCACCAGATCGCCGGTCCACCTAGTAGGAGGCCTGCCCACGCTACGTCTTCCAGCCCGTGGACGTGGAGGTTGAGCAGGTCACTTAGGCTCAACTGCAAGATGTGCTCCTCTAGTTTATTTATTTATTTATTTATTTATTTATTTTATAGAAACCAACAGCGATACATTGAAAATATTAGTTATAAGATTTAGCAAGCAAATGGAAGATTTCGCCTACACTCCTCACGCTGACTTGAAGATGACGATAGACTTGAGATTTGACGATTTGTGCACAGTCGACGCCACATCACACCCGCCAATTTTCGCTATTTGACCTATCACGGCCAAGATGTCATCAAAACTGTGACACAGACTAAATCTGTGTTAAACGGCAAAACTGTGCAAAGTTGGCCTGTGCTACGAAGCCTTGTACTCACGGCGCCGCGTACGCTGGCGATGGCTCTGGAGTCGCCGACGTTGGCACAATACAGTGTTCTCTTTCACGAGCACCACCACTGCTGTGCTGCGGAGCCCTAATGTGCTACGGAGCCCTGCTGTGCTACGGAGCCCTGCTGTACTGCGGCCACTGTGCTACGGAGCCTTGCTGTGCTACAGCCACTGTGCTACGGAGCCCTGCTATGCTACGGAGCCCTGCTGTGCTACGGAGCCCTGCTGTGCTACAGCCACTGTGCTACGGAGCCCAGCTGTGCTACAGCCACTGTGCTACAGCCACTGTGCTACGGAGCCCTGCTGTGCTACGGAGCCCTGCTGTACTGCGGCCACTGTGCTACGGAGCCTTGCTGTGCTACAGCCACTGTGCTACAGCCACTGTGCTACAGCCACTGTGCTACGGAGCCCTGCTGTGCTACGGCCACTGTGCTACGGAGCCCTGCTGTGCTACGGCCACTGTGCTACGAAGCTATCTACTCACGGCGCCGCGTACGCTGGCGATGGCTCTGGAGTCGCCGACGTTGGCGCAGTACAGAGTGTTCTCTTTCACAAGCACCACCACTGCTGTGCTGCCAGCTACTTTTTCTTGCAGCATGTCTTCCTCTAACATAGCTTGGTCGAGGTCTAGGAAACCCTGGAAGTATGATTTTTTTGTTGTGTTTAAAATGGTTTTTGTTTAAACATACAGTATAGATCGTGTGACATCCACGAAGACGCGCCACACCATTCTTCCGCGAATGTTTGAGTGTTATCGATACACGCTAAATTATCCATGAGTGCACACGCACACTACAATAATGACGCTCGGATTGCTCGAATCAAACTCCCCGCACCCCGCACTTCCCTCGACCTAAAATTGGTGGGGCGTCTTCGTGGATGAAACGATCTAGTCTTGATTAAGGTGCTGATGACGTCAGAGTTATTACTGCTAAATCTACGAGGCTTGACCACTCGTAAATAATGTGAACTAATTACTTTTGTCAAAACTTAAACAAACATTAGGTGTCTCAAATGTGTGGTCACAGGTCAAAAATTCATATCATTACACTAAGAAAGATCAAATATAATTTATACTGTACAAAAAATTTAGGTATTAGGTACAGTCAAGTTCATAAATACATTGGCAGTAACAATTTTTTTAAATGTTGTTAGCATTATAACGATCATTTTCAATACAAACTCAAACATCAATAAAATGTAATCATGTTCATTAACATATTGCAGTAGCGCAGTCAATACTGCGCTACTGTGCTACAATACTTTGAAACATTGGGCACTGAAAATATATTTATGAACTGGACTGTACAAAATCACACTCTTGTTTTTCTCTTAAAACGTGAACTGATATGCTATCTTTAAGTGGTGTAATGATTGAGTAGTAGACGTAAACAGCTTTTTAATTGAGATATTTATTTGATAAATGCGTAAAATATTATACAACCTTAGAGCATAGTTTTTTCTAATAATAATCGTAGTTCTAAGAAGTTTTTATCATGTTGCAGTTCTTCCAGGTCCTAAACCTACCTTTACCGGACTAAAATATTTGTTCTTGCAATATCACCTTTATTACAACTGCATATTAAAGCAGAGTTTAACGTCACATGCTTTTAGTACTTCAATCAAATTCCCAAGAAATCCACATTTAACACATAGTTTTTGGGTAATATGTACCAAACAACCACTCGGTTCATAATGCATTATTGCTGTTTCACACTTATTATTCAAATTAACATTATTCTAGTAATTAACATAATTACCTGCTTTAGCGCCTCTTCAATATTCCCAAGGTGGTACTCCGGACGAGCAGTTATGAACTTGTGAAGATGTTTTCCAGCATATTCTGCTATGTTAGCTCCTGAAAACAGTTAGTACAGAGTTAACACTATTTTTTGCACCAATACACGCGCGGCCTACTCTGGTAAGCCAATTTAAAATCACTGTAAATCAGTTTGTAAGTAATTTATGAATAAAATTACTATGTAAACATTAAAGGTGTTTATTATAGTTCTTTTATAATCAAAGTTTCTTTATAAGACTATTTGGGATCAAAAATTATAAATGGATTTAAAATTTGTAAATTTTTGGACCAAAATTGCACTCCGTGATCCATGGTAGCAAAAAAATTATTTACTGAAAAAATATAATTTGTTTTTTATCTTTCATAGCATTCAAGACTTTCTACTACCTGGTACATGGGGTAAATCCATTTTTTGCAAGTCTTCCATAATTTTTTTGTCGAGTGATTTCGAGCTTTTGAGTAGAACCGCAGTTTGACGGCCAATTTTAGAAAAATGCGCAGACGCTGGCGACCCAAGCTTTACTGGCTTATTGACAAATTTAGTAAACGAGGCTTTCCTGGAATGCCAGCTCTCTGGCGCAAGTTTTTAAAAAGTTATAGCGTAAAATGTTACCCTGGTCTACTATAGTAGGCCACGCGTGTACTCTAGTGTTCTACTACCTGGTACATGGGGTAAATCCATTTTTTGCAAGTCTTCCATAATTTTTTTGTCGAGTGATTTCGAGCTTTTGAGTAGAACCGCAGTTTGACGGCCAATTTTAGAAAAATGCGCAGACGCTGGCGACCCAAGCTTTACTGGCTTATTGACAAATTTAGTAAACGAGGCTTTCCTGGAATGCCAGCTCTCTGGCGCAAGTTTTTAAAAAGTTATAGCGTAAAATGTTACCCTGGTCTACTATAGTAGGCCACGCGTGTACTCTAGTGTTAAAGGTTGCAGAAACTGATGAATTCATTTTAGAACTTTTCTGCATGACATGTGGCCATAATGAAAACACATAAACGTAACGTAAATAAGGGACTGAAGACTAAACAATGACACCTTAGATTAGTTAATAGTACATACAGCGTAGTTAATGTTTAATATTAGATACACATTTTGACTTTAATACAGAAGACTAGATCAATTCATGAAGTTTTTGTTATCAAATGAACTTGTAAGTCTATTTCATACCTCCATGACCATCATATACAGCAAAAAACGCTGTCCCCGGATCATCGGGGAGGGACAGTATGTGTGTGTGGGAGTCGTCCATGGACACCCGCCAGCCTTGCATGCACGACGAGCCCACCAAGTAGCGGCTGTCCTGGCAAGTCGACGACTGCTTCTCAGTCACCGGCTCCGAAAGGGTCTGCCCCATCACTCTAAAAAGCAAAACAACATAGTATAACATATTGTGTACGTTTTTGTAGCTTTTTAGCACCGCCTACTCAATATCTCTGTTTTGCTCAAGGTCAGCTGGTAGAGAATGACGTATGGCATTAAGCTCGCCTTTTTGTACTAAACATTGTTGTGTGTGCAATAAAGTCTTTAAATAAATAAATAAATAAATATAAGTAAGCAGGCTCCTTTTTGGCAAAAAATACCTTTATCTATGTATTTTTTTTTTCTTTGTTCATTTGTATTTTCGTGTTTTCATTTCAAATAACGATTTTTTATTTCTATTTCCATACGTAATACCTTTTTTTATAAGTAGTCCTTGGTGTTTGTGATAATATAGGTACTTACAAAATATATTACAGGCAAATTCTGGTTTAGAAACAATTTGTTCTAAACTAGTATTCAATGTATTTAATATTCAAACGATCTTCATAAGCGGAAGGACTACTCATACTAAATTCAACCAAATTCCTGGGAGATTTCCATCCATGCAGAAAGTTGATGACTAAAATCTGATGTCATTATTATTTTTTGTCTCAATTGGCACTGTATGTATCAGCAGCTTATAATAAACCAGAAACTTGGCAGATACAGAACTTAATCAGTCTCAAACACTCTAATAAACGCACTAAACTATTAAACTTAGAGATGAATAAAAACAAGAAAAATAAATTGAAGAACAGAACTTTGAAGTAAATATCGGCCATAACTCTACTTACAGGTTTATCGATGGCAATAAAAGTGCAATATCACTCACAATTATAATGTGCTTTAGTAGATTTATCGCTTTGTTTTTACGAATAATGTATTTTTCTTGAGATAAATAAAATGCGTAGGTAAATATCGCAAATGTCACTTTGACAGTTTTATGACTGACAGAACAAGCACCACAGACAAACATTTGTTATTCTTACACAGTAGTGTTTCGTCAAAGAAATCAAAAATTATAAGTCCTAGCTTATTTGTTGGTTTTAAATCAAAAACATGGACAAAAATAAACACTTCATAATAAATTAACACAGTAGTTTTACTGGTACAATGATAAGCATTATTTAATGCAAAGCACAGCTGAATTTTTAAAGTAAACAAGGAGATTCTTCTTTCCTGTCTACTTTTAAAACGTGTACTCATATTCACAACACAAGAAACACAAACCTTATCAATTTCGACGCAGTAAACATGATTTTACCGACAGTTACAAAAATATCTTTTATAATTTTAATAGATTCCACATTTATAAAATAATTTCAAAATAAATGTAAGTACCTGTCTTTTTGACAAATTCTTGTCTGAATGAAATATGTCACTGAAAACATTAAACATGCCGGTTTCTATGGTTAGTACGTGTAAAAAGTATAGATGACCCACGCTGAACTGTCCCACCAAACTCAATGACAGGGGGGCGCTACCATCGTTCAACTGTATGGTTTCCAAACATGGCAAAAATCGGAACCAGCGATCCGGTATAGACGGTGGCGCCCCGCTGTCAATGTCATGCACAGCACAGCACAGCCCCCCTAGACAAAACGCACTTTTTGATCAAATCGAAAATCGAATCCGTCAAAACTCCATACAAAAAAGGGCTTTTCGACCACTTTTTAGACCCACAGTTCAGTATTTTGGAACTATAAGTACCTAACTCACAAAGCAAAAAAGTACGCTTATAATTTTTGGTAGAGAAGCATAATAAAATTAACATCCAGTGGGTCTAGACAAAATGCCATCGCAAACCAATATGAAGTTTTCACTAATGTCAGTCGCCGCGTCACCAGTAATTCGATTAGATCGGAAAATGGCAGAGAGCAGAAATAACAGGAGTAGCAGCGCGCGTTTATTTCCATACAAAAAAATTTCGCCATTTCCTGAGGGGGACGAGGTAATGACATTTGTGTAACAGCTGATGGCGCTGAGACACTCAGGGTTGCCAACTCTATGGGCATCGTTTCCTTTACTTTCGCGAAAAAGTTCGATCATGGTTCCGATCACGGTTATTTGGCATGTGGCAAAAGTCGGAACTAATGTTATTTTGACATTTCCCCATTTCTATGGGGCTATACTGTACAGCGCCCCCCTGTAAATAGGGTTCCCAACCCTCCCGGATTGCCCGGGAGACTCCGGAAATAATGGTTAACCTCCCGACCTCCCGGAGAGCAATATTTTCTCCGGTATTTCTAAAAATTAAATGCATCCATTGCTGCTCGTACTTGTGTATAAATTTTATCTTTAAAAGAACCAATCACATGGACCAACATTACTAAACTCCAGGAATTATTAAATATTGACATAGATTTGACAAATTTATGCTTTGGGTTTACGCTGGGTTGACTTCTTTACGAAATCGAAAGACAGAAATCCTTGTCCTGAATAAAAAAAAAATGGTCACGTTTGTTCTTTCCATTCCTGTCTCTATTAATGCTTCATTCGAGCGCGTATTCAGCGTGATGGAGCAACCCCCCCCCCCCCCCCACAATTCTCCCGGGTTGGTCCTTTCAAGAGTTGGCAACCCTACCTGTAAATGTCACNGCACTGCTCCGCACTGCTCCGCACAACTCCACACCGCTCCGCTCTTCTCCGCACCGCAAGGCAGCGTCAAATTCTATAGAAAATCAAGTGCACCTGATTCTTCTCCTCTTGATTCATTTCCATCGAAGCGGAGGGGAGTGAAGATGTGCAAATAAGGGAATCTGATTGGATTCAAAAAACTTCTCTGCTCCACTCCGCCTTAGTGTAAACCGGGCCTTAGAGGATGAACAGGAGGTGGCATTTTGAGCATTCTTTTAAATTAGTTTCTTCCTTCTTTCTGCTCTCTGTTTACGTCTATGCTTCGCTGTCAAATTAGCTGTCAAAACGACATCGCGATACGGATTTGTCAAAACAGCCTTAGGGTGGGTTGCACCATCTTAGTTTAACTTTGACAAACGTCTAAAATCTGTCAAACTCCATACAAAAAACACCGGTTAACGTCATAGTTACGGTCAAAGTTAGGTGGCGCAACTCACCCTATTGGTTTTCGATATAATCGAAGCTTATCACCGGGGTTTAAGTAATCGCAATGAAAATGGCGGGTGTTGCGATTCGATTCGATTTTGATTGAGTCTTAAATGCATGTTGGCTAAGCCTTTGTATGGGAAATTTCAATCCAGTCTTTCGATTATCGATAGGTAGGGCTTTGCGATTCGATTTTTTGCCGTTTGACTAAGCCTTTTTTGTTATCGACCTCTTTTGCGATTTGTTTGTTTGTTTGCGACTGGTTTGCGATGGGTTTGCGATTTTAAAGTGCGTTTTGACTAGACCCACAGGAATTTCAAAAATCTTTAGCTTCATGAGCTTTGCCTAAAATGTGCAAACCGCACGAAACCATAAAAAAACAAAGCTTGTAATTTTAAGCTATACTTTTCCCGCCAAAAAGTTTTTTTATGTAAGTAACCTAGCTAGGACATAATAATTATTATAGGTCGAAATAAAATAAATATCCTTGGACATTTTTTTTTACACTGCGCCGCTAGTCCCAAACTAAGCAAAGCTTGTACTATGGGTACTAGACAACGGATATAAACATACTTAAATACTTTTTTTTTTGTAAATACATACATATTATACATAGAAACACCCAGACCCGTCACAGAAATTAAAATTCATCATTTCAATTTCTGCCCGACCGGGAATCGAACCCGGGACCTCTCGGCATAGTAGTCCGTTCTGAACCACTACACCAAACGGCCGACCAAATAATAGATAAATAATGCATTATAATTATTTTGATATTAATAAAATTATTTTAACGCATTATTTACTAAGTCTTAATCACCGCTTTAGAAAAATCATCATCGTCAAACAACATCAATTTAAATAAATTCGCTAACCGCACGTTTACCAAGTAAACGTCCTTGAACCGTTATTTTAATTGATCATCTACTTACATTGCGATCAATCAACTCGTAACGTTATTGGCAATATGATGTCAACTCGATCGACTTGTTATTATTACTAAAGAATTAATAATAATATCGTTATATTACCAAAGGCGTGTGCGCGTGCGCATGGTATCGCTGATCGCTGAAACCTGATTATGGCGTCACACCGATGGCTGAGGCAATCATAAGTTTGGTTTACATACATTAAGCATAGCTAATTTGTTTTGAATAACACCATAAGTTGCTGATATTATTAAAAGACATTTTACACTTTTGTCAGCCTTTTCTTGCTTATTGGACTGTCAGACACAATTACAACAGACACTACACCAATGGTGATTAAAAAAGCGCGTACGGCTACGCAAAACTTAAAAAACTCTTAGCTTAAAGTTTCGAGCGCGTTTGATAATACGAGTCTAAGCTAGATTTATTATTTTAAATTGTTGTATTAATTATACTTAGATTTATTAGTAAATCCTACTAATATTATAAAAATACAATTAAAGTTTGTGTGGATGTCTAGATGTCTGGATGTTTGTTACTCTTTCACGCAAAAACTACTGAACGGATTTTGATGAAACTTCACAGTATTATTGTTTATAGCCCAGAATAACATTATAGGCTACCTATAATTTATGACGATCTGTGACAAACTAATTTCACGCGGGTGAAGCTGCGGGTAAAAGCTAGTAGATAATAAAGGGACAATATTATTTGATCCTCTAAAAACTAATTGATCTTTTTTGAATGTGCACTTTTAAAAATAAATGATGTTTTTTATTATATTTTATCTTTATATTAATTATTGGGTCTATATTAGTTGATCTACGGATAAATTATGAATGATCTTCATTAAAGGTAACATAATATTCATGTTTAATATACTCTTTTAATATTTGGTAAACAAAAATAATATTTGATCCTCTTTTTTAGTTATTGATCTTTAATTTTGTTAATTTGTTGATTTTTATATCAAATTTGCCTTTTAATATTGATCACCTAATAAATACATTTCGATCTACGTATAACTTAACTTTAAAATATATTTGATCTAACAAAAAATATAATTGGTTAATATTTTTAATTAAAAAAATTCTTTTAATTTACTCGGTACTTTGTGGTTGAGTGACAATCGTCCGTCATTGGTTACTGAGTTGGCCAAGGGCTTAGCGGCCAATAAGCAAGCAGAATGGTACATTGCCATGTTTGTTTAAATTACAAGCTTTGCTTAGTTTGGGACTAGAGGCGCTATGTAAAATAATTTCTTACTTCTGACATCCCTGAACCCGACATCATAATTTTTACCTCTTTATTTTTTTCAAATCGCAAGGTTGATTTTCTCTTAGTATACCGATCTCGACCGTGATCAGTGACCATAGTCATCTGTCAACGGGTCGATTAGACACGATAAAAGTACTAAACGATATTTGTTTACTTTTAGTGCGACATCGGGTCGTAAGGACCTGATAAGTTTTCTTTTCCAAATATTTACTGTGTTTGACGAAACAATTGCAAAGCAATATTTATATTTCGTACTACTGAAAAGACCGAATATATCATCCCGCACCAACGCATCCAGCACCTAAGGTCAATTCGACCCGATAACGCAGTGTGAACGTGTTAAGTATGATTTTTTAATAAAAAAAAATCTTTAAACATCAAGTGCCTTTAAATAGTTTCCATCCAGTTATTATTATTAATATTATTATATTATTATTATTATATTATCCTTTGACTACAACTTAATAAAAATAAGTACCATAACATAATTATTTTGAAGATTATTTGATATAGATAAAAAATAATTTATACAAATCGAATTATTTAAAAAAGTATCACAATATTGAATATTTGGTGCTCATTTCCTATATTTTTGAGGACCAACAAGTAACGATCAGATATAATTTTCACATCTCAAATTTTTTTTGCGTAGTTCAAAAGAGGTTAAAATATCGATCGATTTCATTTATTTTATGTCTCAAAGAAAGAGGATCAATCATTAAAATAGATGACCATTTAGATTTTTTTAATTGCCATTTTTGCTAATTTAAAAAGATCATTTAAATACATGCCGATAATAAACATTTAAATGATTCTAATATTTAAGAGAAATGTATGGCATGGTACATTTATTTATAATAAAAGTAGTCGGTGTCATCATTGCATTGCATTCAATTTCTAAATGCGGAGCACATTTTTAAAATTTTAAATTGCCTAAGTATACAAGTTCGGCCTTCAACTCAATATTAATTTATTTTATGCGAACTTCCGTAGCAAAATTCCGTCAAGCGCGAAAAGGTATATACTTAACTAAATAGCCCCGTAGAAATAATACAATGATAAATTAAGTAGTTAACTATCACGCCGATCTTAGGTTCGATTCCTAGCAGAAACAGAAGGACAGGACAAAAACACTTTCCATTGCATTTTCTACAGAGAAATGCCAGGGAAAGTGATTTTTCCTAGTTAAGTATTATTAGAAGAAGTGATCGCAAAAATCGAGGTGACTTATAATGAGAAGATTCGGCATACAAACAATTACTGAACTGTTACATGCTTAGGTAGGTAGGTTATAACTTAACTTAATAAAAGTAATAAACTTTTAACCAAGAAAATTGGAAACTGAACAAGTTTCCGTCACATTCGCGAAGGTTTATCTCAGCGAGGGTCAGAGAAGGGCTACTTAAAATGTAGAAAAAAGGTTGATCGCGTTAGGCTCTATGAAATTCATCTGAAAGGTTAATTACGCACATTATGCCTTATGTAGGTAAACAAGGTTCTACTTGAATCATTCAGGCGTTCCCCAATCCTGATAGCGAATCACTACTACTGATTTACCGGTTCATAAAAGCCATTGAATCAATATCGTATTCACAGTTTCAAATTACAAGTTATCAGGGGGAGCATGACGAAACGATCGCCGCCGGTGACACTGGCCAGTATCGTGTGACGGCGCGGCGCGAAAGTGCGTTCAGACAGTGTTCGATCGCATTCAATTTAAAATTTCGAATTTTTAAACGCGCTCTATTTTTTAATTTGAACTTCTGTTGTTTTATTTTGTTTTTTAACATGGCGTGTCCAATGAGGTGAGCCTATTTTATTTTTATTTATGTTTTATTAAATTATTTTGGTGTTAAATAATTCTAACGTTCTACTTATTTACTTAAACGTTACTTAAATTATCTCCATCCAATCTTTATGATAATAGATTGTTTAGCATTTAAACTGCATTACCTGCATCGAATTCCCAGACGCATGTAAATATTTTTAAATGCAGCGGACGTAAACGAATGCATTCTATTTTAATTAAACGACTCGTTTACTATAAAAAAAAGTCGTAAAATTCTAAGCAGTGAGACAAATTCCACAAAAGGAAGTAGCTTATTGCTGGCATACATAATTTATATTCAAGTTATTTACTAAAATTATCGCTACTGTGCTAATCTATTGATTTTAATATTAATAGTAAGAACCAGAGTGATCGAATAAAGTAACTTAGATGACTGAATAATTAATCGCTAGCTGTCTTTTGGATCTCTATCTACCCTACTCGATAATAAAATTATAATCATCATAATAATAATATTATGTGGGATATTAGACCATGTTTTAAACTAAATTATGAATTAAAACTTTAAAACAAACTTTAACCCTTTTCTTGGCATTGTGCATTTAAAGATACGTTGACCAAAACAAAAATATGGGGGAGAAACCAAAAACTATTTTCAAATGTTTTTTTAATATAACGTTAGCCCAAATACTACAGATTGTGTTACACAGTATAGAATCGCTACAGGCTGCACAGATTTAACAGTAATATGCAAAATGTCAGATCGTTGACAGGCGTCTATGCACCGGCTGATAATTTTTATTATTTTCGGTGTTTTTTTTTAAAGAATATTGGTGATTATTTGTAGTCATATGGATAGTAAATAAATGTTTCTTGATGATAGTGCTGTTTTTTCATCCCAAAACTTGTATAATTATTCTTGTACGATGCGGATTGTCCGAATGTATCTCTAAATGCACATTGTCAGACACGTAGTAATTTACTTTCAATTTTGAATGTATCTTTAAAGACACATTGCCAGGTTCTCGTTGACTTTATTTTATTACTTTTTCATAGATTTTATCGCATAAAAAAGTAATATGTAATTAGTTAATAATATTTAAAGCTGTAAAATACAATATGCTGATGTGAGTTTTTAATTCATTTACTAAAGAATCGTTGTGATTTGGACAACTTAGTGCTGCAGCAACAAAATCAGGCGCGCAAAATGTTGCTTATGGTTCCAAAATCTCGAACCAGATCGAAAGTCAGTAGCGGTGACACTTCAGCTGATGAATTAGAAGCCGTACTTAGCCTCCTGATTCTCTTGGGTAGTTATCTTCCTACTCCAACCAACCCAAATCACCCCAAAAAGCGAGCAGTCTGTCCAGGCTGCTGCATGCTTCTGGTTATAAAGCTGGTGATTCAAGAATTTTAGCCAGTTCGACTGCTGCATAGTTTCCCTGAGAGTTCCAGAAATCCATTACCGCTATCTTGCGTTTCCACTGTAAGTTGGACATCTAATTATCTTCAATCAAAGACGTGAACACAGTTTGGTACCAGTTGGCATCAATACCCCTCGTATTTCTTTAATGGTCTTGCAAGATTCCCATGTGTTCTATCTACATTTGCTTCTCCTGGATGGTAAGAAGGGTTTGAGTTTCAGGAGGTACTCCAACTACGCTTATGGAGTGGTTCTCATACATCCAAATGCAGCTATACTTGCAAGGCGTTACAGACTTTGAAGTGTTTTTTTTACTTTGTTTTCAGTTTTTTGTAAAAGATATTTATTTTTTATTTATCAAATAAGGAATAGCTTAAGGTTTTGTAATAATTTTCATTTAAATAACTAATTTCTACTAACAAATAAACCATGTTTTAATTTAATACAAAGCTGGCAATGTGCACTTAAAGATACATACTATATTTCCAAAACTACATACCTTAGATTTTTTTTCGTATTTTTTACATGATTTTTACTCGTCATAAATCCAAAATTTATAGTGTAAATCACAAATATTAACCAAAACCGTCGTTGCCAAGTATAGGGTTAAAAACACCATACGCTTGTCTTATTTCCCGTACGTCGAACCCGCAACGGCTAGGGCGATGTAATTTTTAGCACGAACCACCAAACTCATTGGCTCGTATTCATAAACGACACCCAAATCTCGCTTATCATAGTTCAAATCTATGAATGGTGGAATTTCAATACCTAATCAAAAACACCACATTTCTGTTACAATTTCTTGTAAAAAAGCAAGTAAAAAAAGTAAAGCATAATAATTGTTGTCAGTATCAGTAGGTATATTTCACCGAAATCCCTAGACTAAAAAACCATCGGACTTTTAAAACTAGTCGTTATTGTCTGTTTTAGGCTATTCTATTATTTTCAGTTAACTCCATACTTACAGATTTAATTTAGATTCATGTCATTAGGTTGAACTTTTGATGACGCTTTCGTGAAGCTCACATTGTTTGAACGGTCATTGTTTTTAGGTATATTGATAATTTCGTCATCGTAAAGTATGACGTTTTCGTTGTGATAACAACTTATCTTAAATAAATAAAAGTTTGAATTCACGTGAATGAGTTCTATCTTTTGCTAGTAATGTTTTTTACGAAGTTTTAGATAGTAATAATGTGCTTTTACGGCCTAAGTAAATAAATCATAGATGTCACTGCATTATGTTGCGTAAGTACTTATTCAACATTTTTTCAGTAAAAATATTGTTAAGGTCGTCACTTTATTGAGACAATTGTCTTGCGAGAAAATAGACAGTTGATTAAATAATGAAACAGTTAATTTCATCTGCTATGCATTAATAATCAGCTCATTTAATATTAACCTGTGTATTACTAATTATTTGACTGATTATCACCCCGATCCCCCGGATCGTGGTGTAAAAAAGTATTTGAAGTTTTGGCAAAAAATGGTTCCTACAGCGGGCCCTGACAGTTCAACAAACTCTAACACACGCCTCTATTACTATCATGTAGGTATTAGATTTTGCCTCCGAGCTGTGTTGATAAAAGTTCATTTTGAAAACTATCTGAATATCTGTTATCAACAGTGGTCTCTCGCGAGACTCCATCGACAGGTTATTTGCTCGACGACCGGTAATTCAAGTTTGCTGAAGATATTGAACCTGTCATTAAATAAGATCGATGGCATGTCAACAAAAAATACACTAACTGCTTAATATTGCATATTTTTTTTACATTTAGGTATATTCCTATAATTAGGATTCTATAAATATCTCACGCACGCACGACCACATGTAGATATTTTTTTATGGTGTTTTAATTGATCAACGTGATCTTAAACTTCCTAGGTTATCCTTGTTGTTGAGGTTTTTCATTTTCCTTGAACGTACATGTAATTAGATACACTTACTTACTCATCCACGTCATCATACTAAGAAAAATAGAAGAATGTACCTAAGCTAATAACTTCATCGATCTACTGGGTAATCTACACTGCAAAAACGCGCTTTCCTCTCATTTGCCAACCTCGTACACCTATTTATGATAATTTTAATATTATACGACCGGAAGGTGGACCGACGACATCATAAAGGTAGCAGGAAGGCGCTGGACGCAGGCCGCTACCAACCGGGCATCATGGAAAGCATTGGGGGAGGCCTATGTTCAGCAGTGGACGTCCTATGTATGGCTGAGATGATAAATAATAGTAATAATAATAAATTCCTTAGACATTTTACACTGCGCTTCTAGTCCCAAACTAAGCAAAGCTTGTACTATGGGTACTAGACAACGGATATAAACATACTTAAATACTTTTTTTTGTAAATACATACTTATTATACATAGAATACACCCAGTCCAATACAAACAAATATGTTCATGCACACAAATGTTTGTACTGTGCGGGAATCGAACCCGCTACCTCCGGAATAGTAGTCCGTTTCGAACCACTACACCAAATGGCCGACTAAATGATGATGATGATGATTGATATTATACCAAAAACCTTCCAGGTCAGCGATAGACGAGATCGGGCAGGAAGGCGACCACCTTGGTAACGAGGCGGGCATGCTGTACGGAGAGTATCTGATGCTGGACAAGCTGCTCAATGCTCAGAGGATGCTCAGCGCCGACTCGTCCAATCCGGTGCACGATGAGCACTTGTTTATTGTCACACATCAAGGTAAATATAAAGACGATTCTAGATTTACTGAAGAGGATGATGAAGTTCTGATCCAGTGGGTCTAGACAATGTGCACATTATAAGTAATCACAAACCAGTTGAAAAGTGGTCGAAAAGCCTTTTTTTTGTATGGAGTTTCGATTTTAGATTCGATCAAAAAGTACACTTTGTCTAGACCCACTGGGATACCTAAAGCGAGAGATAGACAAAGGCTCTAGACGCCTGATGGTTGATGCCGAAATATACACTCCAAAATGAATTATCTTCTACGGCTGGCAATGTGGTGAGGAATCGCGAATCTGTTTGATTGTTTCGCTTAATTTTAATCAGAATATCCTTTAGCCTAGGCGCAGACCATCGTTTTTTTTAGTTGGCCGATAGTTGGGCCCGATTTTAATTTGTATAAAGAATCTTCCGATACCAAATCGGTGTAAATGTGCGCACTTTCATACATCTCCGTACCTACTGATTAACAGCCCGACCCAACTATCGACCAACTAAAAGTTGGTGGCCTGCGACTAGGCTAAAGACTAACAGTCTACGAAATCAAGGATTTTGTACTTTTCTTTCAAAATCTGATAAATCTCGCTGCCACTGACAGTTTTCAGATGATCATCCTCTGAATAGTGTCAAAATTACCGTGTCCGTAAATAACCAGCTTAAAATTAAATGACCTGAAGACACTCTTTTCCTCTTCCAGCCTACGAGCTCTGGTTCAAGCAGATCATATTCGAGGTGGACTCCGTCCGGTCGCTGCTCGATGTGGAGGGCCTGGACGAGAGCCACACCATGGAGATCCTCAAGAGACTGAACAGGATTGTGCTCATCCTGAAGGTAAAGGAATTCACCAAAATAATGAGCATCCTGGCCCCTAGACAAGTGGCAAAACGTGACAGCTGTAAATTCGCTAAGATTTTTTTTGTATGGAGTTTTCGCCCCGTGAAGAGATTCGATTTGAAAAGTGCCACTTGTCTAGGGCCCCAAGTGTTCTCCTTTTACAAAAACATACACATAGACCATGCTCTATCTATAAAAATATTTTGATGAACTTTGATAGTTCAACTCCTAATATCTGTCATCTCAAAACCGTAAACATAGCTGATTAGCCCAATCATTGCAAAATTTATTAGGATTTACGCATAATAAAACTTGTAAAATGATTCTGTGTAGTTTTTAGTCTTTTGTGCCAAATAAAAAATCCTCAGTCCTCAAAATCAAAGGCAATACACTCCAAAAACGTGGCTAAGAGGATTTCCGATAGCTAGACCTTGATTACTCCGAGATTAAAATCTATGTGCGTCTTCAAAAGACCCAAATCTCGTGCCCAAATTCCTCTTCGGTCACGCACATGTGCCATACACGATAGCGAAGCCCTGACTTGTGACCCGAGCTCTGATAAACCGCCCGCAACCAGTATAATATACCAATAGCTACCGTCTGTCATTGGGCGTGTTTCCATGACGAAACGGTAAAATTAAAGCCAATTTTATCAGCCATGCATGACGAACTGATAAAAAATAGGTAAAGCCAATGCAAGGTACCTAAAGTCATGACGGAAAGGTCTCTCCGCCAGAGAGAGAAAGAGAAATTTCATAATCTTCTCTGACTAGGTTTGAAAAAAATAAATACCAAAAGCTACGTGTCCGTCATAATAATGCCAAATGTAAGATTAAATCATAACATAACGATAAAACATTTAAAACAGATACCTACTTACGCCCGCCACGTGAAAATTACTTACTTTAGATAGGTAAGTATTACTATTATGTGGACTTGCGAAAAAAGATCTTTTTCGATCAAATACACCAAATCTTTCTTCGAAAACCCACTTCTCTATTCTAGCTAACTCATTAAATTAGTTTATAGATTATGGTTGTTTCAATTTTTAGTTTCGATCGAAGTTTGTACATAGTTTGATAGTACGGGCCTAAGTCTTGGCGCGAATTTGTTTTTGTTAGATAAACGGCATTTTTTATAAATGGTATTTTATAATTTTTTGGGCAATTTTCTCAATGAACTTCCTTCGGAGTTCAACGAATATTATTATAACAAACACCAAAGTATAATGTGATACGTATCATATTGCGATCCAGTTACCGACTTTCCATATAAATCCGCTTTCTCGCTCAGCCGCGGTCTCGAATCGCATGTGCTTATTGATTATTATGGTTAACTTAATGAACTTTAGCGATAATAACACTATTGTTTTGATTCGAAGAAACTGTAACAAAATATTTATGTTGCCATAATATTATGTACAGATTACCTACATGATGATAATAACCTAGAAGATGCTAGAACAGCTAGTAGTGTAGAAGGTATTTAACTATTTCTGCTAACTTCTATACCATGCAGCGTTGCCAGTTTTTTTTTCGCCAAGTCGGGACTTTGGTACTTTTTGAGTGAAAATAGCGGGACTCTTCCGTCAGAAGCGGGACATAGTAAAAAAACATATCGGCTGAACCATTTAAGAACCTAGTAAGTGCAGCGGAGCAAATTTTACAGGAGAGCGAAAAAACGCATTTTCATTTGCCCCGCTAAGATGCTTAAAGATTTGGATAACTTCCGATGTTTATATTAAAGATTAGTTACTAAAGTATACTTTATGGAATAAAAGAATATATTTAGTTAAAAATTGCAAGTTTTATGCTCTTTACCAACACTAAAAAATATTTTTTTGACAAAAGTGCCTCGTAAAAATCAAAATCAAAATCGAATATAAATCAGTACTCATGTAGTCCCCAGATTTTGATATGGTTATCGAGTGTCAGCCAACAGAACTCGAAATAATATTTAAATTACAGTAGCATTTTACCTCTAGTAAGTCACATTGACCATTTTGAAACCTAGTAAGTCCATGCACTTACTAGGTTTTAAATGGTCATTGTAACTTGCTAGGTTTTGATAATGGTTTTTGCAGATTTGAATTGGACTTACTAGGTTTTTAGCAACGCGTTTCTCCGGTGTTATTAAGTGTAATAGAGCGATTTCTGTCTTCACATCCTGTGGAGACCTTAATTCTAAGGTGATTTGTGACAAAAAACGAAAATCTGAAAAAGTGTCCCTTACTAGGTTCTTAAATGGTTCAGCCGATATATAACCAAAGGTTTTCAAATATTTATCTTTTTATTTGACTTAAAATTACGTTTAATACGTGGCAAAAGTAGCCATAGAAAATGTATTTTAACAAAAAATAATATTTTAAATCAGATTTACTCTATCGTTAAATTCGTCTTTAGAATAAAAAAAGAATAAAATTAAAAATGTTTTATTCTTCAGAATAATATGGCGTTTCAAATAATAGTTTTGGTGAAGTAATTGTCTCTCTCCGAAAAGCGGGACCGAGCCTGTCCCGCGCGGGACATTTAAATTTGATTTAAAAATCGGGACGTCTGGCAACGCTGATACCATGTCACTAAGGCTACGGCCGGATACTCGCGACACCCCCACTCGGGCGATAACGTAGGTTTTAGTGGGTATACTTCGTCCTTTTCAGGACGGAGCAGCGCCCTTTTTAGGGCGCTGGGAGTCCCACACTACCCTGTCCCACGGCAGTGGTGACGGTGCGTAAAGCATTTCCTACGCGACAAAAAAATGGCATGTTATGGAGAAGGGTGGAGATATCAAAGAGAATTTAAGAAATAAATAAAGCGACAATAGCTGAACGGTGAAGGTGTCGGACTGGCCTACTCGTGATCCGAGGAACGCGGGTTCGATCCCCGCCGCTCGACTACTGTGGTGAACCAACTCTTAGCTCACCACGAGGGGTTAACGGGACCTGAAAAAAACCAAAACAAGGTTATTTTGTATTAAAGCGTGACATTGGACACACCTACTTCCTCGGTACAAAATCGTAGCCAGATAAATTGGTAAGTGGGTCCTCCATAGCTGACAAAGCAAAACCAACAAAAACTCTAGAATTCTTGAATGAAGAACAAAACAAATGCTCCAGCTTCCATTACAGTTCTTCTTGCTGGAGCAACTAAAATGATGATCAAACTTCTGTTTCCAGCTTCTGGTAGACCAGGTGATGATCCTGGAGACGATGACCCCGCTCGATTTCATGGACTTCAGGAACTACCTGCGGCCAGCTTCGGGCTTCCAGAGCTTACAATTCAGGCTCTTAGAGAACAAGGTAAAATAGAAAGAAAGAAAGAAAGAAAGAAGCATTTATTGCCATGGACATCACAAAAGGCAAAAGAGGTGAAATAAAAAAAAGCAAATAAGACAGAGGTGACATAAAACATACAATGAATGAGCAAGTTTAGTAAACTAAGCAGAGCCACCCTGTCGCACAGCGATGCCCATCGCAATGGGACCCCACTCAGCATAATATGCCGTGGCCCCCGGTGAGGGAAGCCACGACACTGGTTTTCAGTGTGCCCCATGCCGAGTGAGAGTCACGGACACTAACCTATACTGCATAAAATATACATACATAAATAATAATAATAGTGCGCGTATAAATTTTAAGTGTAAATACAGACATAGTAGAAAATAATAATATACGATATAGACGATACATAACGTAACACGTTTCTATTTACTGCTTCAATAGTCTTGTGGTTAGAGATTGGGCCAATCATAATGGTGAGGTCCCGAGTTCAATTCTCTGATGGGACATGCTCAAAAAATAATTTAAGTTACTTTATTTGTCGTTGTCGCAACATTCGTTGGACAGCTGTGTCGCCTTCCGACCCTCTTTTTTAGTTTTCGTTGGCATTTTTGACAGCCCTATAATTTTTGAGCTGGTTAATAAATTTTATTGTTCTACCTTCTAGCTCGGCCTCAAGCAAGCCCTCCGCGTAAAGTACAACCAAAACTACCAGACTGTGTTTGGAGACGACCCAGCGGCCATGGAGGCTCTGCACAAGTAAGTTCAGAGTATGTTTGTGTACAACCCTGTCGAGTTAAGTGCGCATCTGGCGACTGTGACATCACATCGACACGAGCGAGGGAGAGTTGCATTCCAGCAAAATGCGCAGTTACCTCGACCGGGTTGTAGATGAAACACCGTTCAAAACCTAGTTGCTTTTTATACTGCAGGTCAGTGTACTTCAATGTCATGTGATTCCGTGTAGCTGTTTCCTCTGATTGCACCATGTCATGGTACACAATCCTGGCATCATCAGACTACATCAGTAGCTCAATCATTCAATCTAGAACATTAAATCAAAGTGCGAAATAGGCTATGTGTTTTGACAGGATTATTCCAACTTCTCGTTCCTACCACTGCAACTCCTGTAGCCAGAATCTACAGTTTGACCGCCAATAAAAACCCAACCTGTTAAGACCAAGTTTGTCCCGGGGAAAGGCTAATGGCTGTTGATAGAGTCAAAGTGGATCTCTTAGGATTATAATTGGTCGAACTCTCTTATGATTATTTAGTTATACCATGAACCTTCTAATCTTCTAACTAAACTTATCTCCTCTCTCAGATCAGAAGAAGAACCGGCCCTCCTGGCCCTGATAGAGCGGTGGTTGGAACGCACGCCGGGCCTGAACGCTCACGGGTTCAACTTCTGGGGCAAGTTCCAAGCGGCTGTGGACAAGACCATTAAAGAAGACATCGACATTGCTTTGGTAAGCTTCAGAATAAGGTAAACCATGAGTTACGCTTTGCAAGCTTTGAATAGCTAAATGCACGTTTTCACCATCAATCCCCAATTTTTAAGTGACCTCTATGAAAACAAAATGCCTGTTATGTGTTACCATAGGGGTCACTTAAAAATTAAGGATTGATGGTGAAAACGGGCAAAAGACTCATAAAATGCATGTTCAGTCAGACCAGTGTAGTGTTGTAATTAAGATTAGGTAGGTAATTAATAGGTAAGTAATGCGTGAAAGGTTCTGGAGTGGAAGCCACGTATCGCAAGGTGGACCGACGACCTCATAAAAGTAGCAGAAAGGCGCTGGATGCAGACCGCTACCAACCGGTCAATAAGAAAATCTTTGGAGAAGGTCTATGTTCAGCAGTGGACGCCCTGTGGCTGAAATGATAATAATATGAGTCCCGTTATGGTCCCGTGCGATTAAAATAAAAACCAATTTAGTTACGCAATAAAGTAACAAAGAGACAAAAAAAGTTACTGTACACTCGTCGTTCAAAGCATTACGTGACAGAGAGTTCGGTAGAAGTGTGAGGATTTATTGACTAAAGCCTGGTCCGTGAGCACGTAGAATTTTGTCCAATGACCCCAAGCTACCCATCCTTATCGCTCGCGCGTAATTATATTGCTGTCGCGACTCTGCGACGGGCGCCCGCAGTGAGTGTGCGAGCGCGATAGCAACATAATTACGCGCGAGCGATAAGGATGGGTAGCTTGGGGTCATTGGACAAAATTCTACGTGCTCACGGACCAGGCTTTAGTTCAAATAATGAGGTTCACGTTAACTATTATTTTTCATTGCCTCCCCCAACCCGTCTGGCCAGCGTGGGGAGTGTAGGCCAAATCCTCCATTTGCATTTGCCATTAGAGAGGGTCGTGCTGATGATGTTGATGATGATATTTTTCAGCGCGAGCCAAACGAGACAATTCGCCGTCACCGCATGCAAGATGCCGAGAACCGACGCGAGATATACCGGTCTATATTCGACCCTGAGGTGCACGACGCTTTGCGGTCCCGAGGAGAGAGGAGGTAAGGTTCCTTGTACAAGCTAGTTCTAACGGCGATCGATAGATGGCGTTGTTTTCTTTACACATCACAGTAGCGTCGAGCAACTCAATGCACTTGTCACAAAAGCTCTGAAAACTTCAGAAACTGTACATAATTTAAGTTTGGTAGCGTTGTGTGGTCCCCATTTTCCAGAAGATGTTTTGGTTTAACCGTTTTGCGACCTAAACAAATGTACACAGGTGGAAATGAATAGATTTTGAGTATCTGCATAAAATGTCTGCACAAATTAGTAGAGAAGCCCTGATATAACTAGCCGAACTGCTTGGGGATAAATAAGTCGAAAGTGAACGCTAAGTCTATGGTTAACAAACCCTGGATGTTACTTGGAGACATGACATAGGACATAGGACGGGAATTTAGAACGAATTCGATTATACTAATAGGTATTTCCTAGTATGCATCTAGTTATACAGTGTGTCCGGGCATGTAGTGATCAAACTTTAAGGGCGTAATCTATGGACAATTTTATCGATGAAAATACTTCAAATTTGGGGCCTAACCCATTTCTCGAAAAATTACATCGATTTAAGTTTTTAATTTTTAGTTTACACCTCTTCTTTAAAAAACAAGTGAAAGCGTGGGTAGCTTAACATTAATAGGCAAATATTTTATATCATGTAATAGCCAATAAAATTATCTATTAGTAGAAGAAGAAAGCAGACACAAGTTTCATACATTTTATGGGAGAAAGAATGGATTTAATTAGAAAAATACATTACTTTTTTCACTTCTATTTTAGTTATTTTCCAACACAAGAAAAACCAGGTCGTTAAGGTATGTTTTATTTGCATTGTATTATTAGTATTTGAGCTATTCTACAAAAGGAATGTAAATTTATTAGTCTACGTCTGTTAGTTTCGACGTAATTGTTGGACAAAGATACCCCTTCCCAGCGGTTTCCATAGTAATCGGAATAGGTTGTGTGATTCTTTCAGGCAGTGCATTTTCGCATGTCGCGTGCGCTATGGAAACCGCAGGGAAGGGGTATCTTTGTTCAACAATTACGTCGAAACTAATAGACGTAGACTAATAAATTTACATTCGTTTTGTAGAATAGCTCAAATACTAAAAATACAATGCAAATAAAACATACCTTAACGACCTGGTTTTTCTTGTGTTGGAAAATAACTGAAAAAGAAGTGAAAAAAGTAATGTATTTTTCTAATTAAATCCATTCTTACTCCCATAAAATGTATGAAACTTGTGTCTGTTTTCTTCTTCTACTAATAGATAATTTTATTGGCTATCGCATGATATAAAATATTTGCCTATTAATGTTAAGCTACCCACGCTTTCACTTGTTTTTTAAAGAAGAGGTGAAAAATAAAACTTAAAAACTTAAATCGATGTAATTTTTCGAGAAATGGGTCAGGCCCCATTTTTGAAGTATTTTCATCGATAAAATTGTCCATAGATTACGCCTTTAAAGTTTGATCACTACATGCCCGGACACACTGTATNCAACTCGGCTGGGCAGCGTTCGGGAAACTACACAACAGCTTTTCGACCAAAACACTTCAGTGCCTAAAGTCGAAAGTCTACAATCAGTGTGTGTTACCAGTAGTGATGACACATGGTTCGGAAACGTGGCCTCTTACTATAAGGCCTTATAATAAGCTCAAAGTTGCACACCATGGTATGGACAGTGCTATGCTCGGTGTTTCTTTTCGAGATCGAACCAGAAATTAGGAGATTCTTAAACGAACTAAAGTTACCTGACATATAGCGATCGGATTACCAACCTAAAGTGGCAATGGGCACTGGGCAGGGCACATAGTACGTACGTAGAACAGACGGCCGATGGGGCAAGGTTCTAAAGTGGAGGCCACATCCACATACGTGTACGTGTTTGTCGGGAGGCGCTTTCTTTTTTTAACCAACTCCGGAACTAGAACCGGAATTCCGGAGTTGAGTGCCCAATATCGGAAATCAGTTCCGGAGTTGAAAACTATCCGATATTGCAAGCCCTAGTCACAACTCTCCTATGTTACAAGTCGCCTCGGTCTCCTCTTTTCCACCCCTACTAATGAATAAAATAATACAATCCACTTCACTCTGCTGTGCGTCTATCGGTGAAAAAAGTCTGAATTCTTAATAGTTTCGTGACCATTTTAGTAAAGGTCTAGTTTCTGAAACAGGCAGCTAACTAGAAGGGGAATATTAAATGATAGGTCTTCTAACATAGAATAGAATATTACCTGGCCCTCAACAAACGAATTAAAAAGATTTTTAATAGAGACATTTTTGAGATGGACGCATAACTTTAAAGAAAATAATGCAGGGTGGTTGTTTCCAAATTATAGATTTTAAATCAAGGTCTTGAGAATTGCAATCTTCATGAATATAAGACTAAAAAATAAGAATGGTTAATGTTTCTATAAACTATTATAGTAAAGTATTGATATAGGTACATACTAAGATTATTTCTATGATCAACAATTTATGGATAGGAGTAGCCCTGAAAATCTTCATCTAATAGAGATTAGAGTCAAGTAGAGACTTGACTCTACTTTTTAGGATCGCCTGTACAATTATTGTTAAGTTTATATTGTCAGGTCGAATAAGGTTAAAAAATAAAATATAAATATAAAGAGCTCATTAAATTGTAAAACAACAAGGTAACCTTCTCAAACCACATAAAAGTTGTAAACAAGTTTGACTCATTCATTGTTGTATAAAGATTTCTTTTTTTTTTTTACTACAAAACGTTAACATTTTAACTAACGTAGTTACCTATCTTAATTTAAATAAGATATTTAAATGTGTAAATCTGGCATAATATGACCCTTGTTGTTGAGTTTTAATCAATCCAATATTTGGTGTATGTCGCAGAAATATCAAAAATCAAAAATCAAATCAAAAATCAAAAAATATTTATTCAGTTTAGACCACAAGTGGCACTTATGAATAATTTTGAATAAATGTCAAATACTGAACCTCAGTTCCGCGAACGATTTAATCTTGTAAAATACACTAAAACACAAATAAACCAATATAAACCAGTGGGTTATTCAGCAGGAAGCTGTTTATAGCCGCAATGAAACAATAAATAGTTTTAACGGCTTCACGAACAGTTTTGAAATCAATCAATATTTTAATTAAACAATGGATCTAACAAAATAGTGAGTGATAAACAAACAGTTTAATTCATATACAGGGTAGATATACTCATAGTATAACTTAGCGCTTTAGATTACGTAAGCAAGCACAGCTCATAAGCCTAACTTCCTCAAATTTATTTTTTTTCTTACTCCCATTCCCATGTTCCAAAATATGTCTACTTATTTTATTTATCTTTTTTTGCCTATTTATTGGCGGCCTGACTTAGTTTTTTGTCAGTATGGATTATCACCTATCTGAATCACTTAGCATTGAAGTTGGAAAAATCTGGAATCTCTGTGCATGAAACTATGTTCGCTCTTCCAACAACTTATTGAAAAAATGTAAAAAAATGAGACAGCTAAATCTGATGATAGCGACCTTCTCGTGAAATTTTCAGTGAAAATTGTTTGCGTCACTCTGGCAGGGGTGCCTTATTAAATATGAAATAAGGACACCAAAGTTCACCAAACTAGGACGCGACGAAGTGGCGCCACCCTAGAGGATGATACTGGATGCTGCCCTTCCTCCTTAGTGGTACGAGAATCTCTACGGACCCATCTAAGGCCTGCCCTAATGTTCACATTTAACTTTGTATCATACTTAGTTCTTTCGTAGTTGGTGGTTGGTTGGATAAGGTTTTGTCAAAAGTTACGATTTCATTACTGTGAAATAGACCTAGTTAGCACATTAGGAAATTAATATTGTTCTTGTTAGCTGTCAAAACGCGTCTCTCCCAAAAATTTTGAGATTTCTAAGGCAGGTACTATCATAGCTTACGGTCCTTGTTTATTTTTTTATGGTTGCCAACTACTCAATTAATTTTCCCGTATACAACCATAAGGTAGTCCCTTAAAGTACCTCCTACACTAAATATAATGCTAATCCCGCATCAGAAATGGACTAACAAAAACTAATCATAGGTGCTTTTATACACGTTCAACGCACACCGCCTCGACAATCTACAATTATGGTAAGATAAATTACTAATTAATGATAACAGCGCCAACAAAATTATCCCGCGATCCAGGTTTTTTAGTCTGTACTTTTTTAGTCTGTGCTTCTTAGTTGTCAACGCCCGACAAGGCCAGTTTACATCTATCCCGGTGAGTTCCAGGAATGCAGTCCCCTGTAGGGTTGACGAAGATAAAAAGTGGATGGAAAGCTCGATTTCTAAAAAGGAGGGCGCCATTTATTATTATATGAGTAGAAAATGCTTTGATGAGGAGATTTGTGTCTTGTTATTTTTGTAATTTATAATATTTCAATAATATTTTCATTTTCATGCGTAAGCCTAGGTAAGCTCCTCACATGAAATAACTAGTTACGTTCACCTTTTAGGGACAAGTCTAATCTGTTATTAGTCAGTATATTTAAAGTTTACAGGATGTGTGCCTGTATTTTGGGGCTGGCTAAAGAATATTATTCCAATTTGTATTTTTTTTGTTTATCAGTGTTTCCAGAATTTCTAGAGCTAGGCAACCCTAGCTAGTCCCATGCGGTCGATAATACCTTTTTTCCCGTCACCATAGTCGAGCAACCAATACGGTATTCATCAAGGAGTATGACTATCTAAATAAGGTCGTATAATGCACTGGAATAATTATGATACCAAATGAAGAATGTAGTCGGGAGAAATATAAGTGCACGATGGTTAAGGAATGCATACAATGTATGAAACAACAATCGGCTTAGAAGTAAGATGGATTGCAATCTCTACAAACTGGGCTACGGATTATTTGGAATTTAATTTGACACTTCCAAATCAGATCAGAGCTGACTGATACACAAACTTCGCAATAAAATGAAGATAAGTATTTGTCTGGAGATGTATTCCCTGAATATTAATTAATTATTAATTCCCTAAAGTCACAATTATTAAATAAGTAGACAATAACAGCTACTTTAATTACTAACAAAATTACTTTATTCCAACTTAACTTTATAACAACAATGAATTTGAACCTGTTGTTATACCCAAATAAAAGCTTAATATGTAGAATGTACCTATACTCTACGTCTACATTTCACATAGACACGGTAATACTATCTATACAGTATTCCAACTCGGTCATATTTTTGAAATAAATGTCAACAGCCGCGCGGTACGTCACCGTTTGACAACATGCGATAGGGCTGCCCACCTGCGCACCCTGTTTTCATTACATCTGCCTTCTTGAATTTCTATCTAGTTTTGTAAATGTATTTTGTGATTGTAATTTTTCTTTTTTTTTCTTATTATTTCGCTTACCCGCATTTAATTATTAAAACAACAATATACATTTTAATTTCCAATTAACATCTGTTTTAAAAATGCTTACAATGGTGAAGTCAGAAAATTGTTATCATAATTTTTATAATTTTAAGTTTCATACAAATCTGATATTTATTTTGAATGATAATAAAAATAAAATGATATTCACTGACTTCACCATACTATTTTCATGCATAAATGTTAACATGGGCTAGTGTTGACTTATAAATCCATTTACTTAACACCCTGTATAAATAGGTACTTGTAATTATTTAAAAAAAAAACACTATGTTTAAAAAAACACATTGTCCGTTTATTACTGTGGCACATTCGCGACACCCCCGACTTTTGCATGTCGAGCGCATACCGAGATTTGAATTTCGAAGGAAAGCTCGAGTTTCGTCCGTTTATATGAAGTTACAATACTGTATGATAGTATTACCGTGACATAGATGAGTGTGAGGTCATTTTCGCCTGAAATAGGTATTCTATGAAAGAAAGTAACGGGACTATTCCCACCTCTCGTTCCCACCACTGCAACTCCTGTGTAGCCAGGATCTACAGCTTGACCGCCACAAAAACCCAACCAATGAAGGTCAAGTTTGTCCCGGGGGAAAGTTAAACTGTCATTGGACCCGCAACGAAATTAATCAGAAGAACATAGGAGGAGTTCGAAATTAAGGTTCGACTTCCCTCCATTGCAAAGCGGATGACAGGTGACAAACAAAGGTTTTAAACCTTCAAGAAAAGATTATGCACCACGGACAATAAATTAAATTAAGGGGGCCTATCTTATGAGCAATTAGCAACTACCTGCCAATAATATTTTTCACAAAATCGCTTAAAAGCACGGAAATTTTTCCTTGTCGCGACAAGATCGGTGTAATAAATTGCGGAAACAGATGTATGTTGTATTGAATTAAGCATTATATCACGTTCATGTTTCCAAAGATCACACTCCCACAAGATATGATGGGCAGACTGCTCATGACTGACATCATCAGTGGAACACTCGCAAAAAGGAGACGGAACTAGTTTGAATTCGTGAAGTTTATGTTTAAAGTTGCCATGTCCCGTGAGGAACTGCGACGAGCAATGGTCGATTTCTAACCATCGCCTAGTTAGACGTTCGCGTACATTCGGGAAGAATTTATATAAGTGACGTCCTTTGACTGACGTATCCCATCTTTTTTGCCATTCATTAAGTAAATCTTCTTCAACGGGAAGGGGTATCTTTGTTCAACAATTACGTCGAAACTAATAGACGTAGACTAATAAATTTACATTCGTTTTGTAGAATAGCTCAAATACTAAAAATACAATGCAAATAAAACATACCTTAACGACCTGGTTTTTCTTGTGTTGGAAAATAACTGAAAAAGAAGTGAAAAAAGTAATGTATTTTTCTAATTAAATCCATTCTTACTCCCATAAAATGTATGAAACTTGTGTCTGTTTTCTTCTTCTACTAATAGATAATTTTATTGGCTATCGCATGATATAAAATATTTGCCTATTAATGTTAAGCTACCCACGCTTTCACTTGTTTTTTAAAGAAGAGGTGAAAAATAAAACTTAAAAACTTAAATCGATGTAATTTTTCGAGAAATGGGTCAGGCCCCATTTTTGAAGTATTTTCATCGATAAAATTGTCCATAGATTACGCCTTTAAAGTTTGATCACTACATGCCCGGACACACTGTATATGCTACCTACCTCCTCAAAATTACTCCCTAAGCAAATGGTACAATCGATAAAACATCTTGTTCCAGGCTGTCCCACAAGGCTCTGCAAGGCGCCATCATGATCACCATCTACCGCGACGAGCCGCGGTTTTCACAGCCACACCAGCTGCTAACGCTGCTCATGGACATCGACAGCCTTATCACCAAGTGGCGCTGTGAGTACCCTCATCATCATCATCATCATCATGCCGCTTCTCCCAGCCGCATCAGCTGCTAACGCTGCTCTTGGACATCGACAGTCTCATCACCAAGTGGCGCTGTGAGTACCCTCATCATCATCATTATCATCATGCCGCTTCTCTCAGCCGCACCAGCTGCTCACGCTGCTCATGGACATCGACAGTCTCATCACCAAGTGGCGCTGTGAGTAAATCATCATCATCATCATCATCATCATCATGCCGCTTCTCTCAACCACACCAGCTGCTCATGGACATCGACAGCCTCATCTCCAAGTGGCGCTGTGAGTAAATCATCATCATCATCATCATCATCATCATCATCATCATCATCATGCCGCTTCTCGCAGCCGTATCAGCTGCTCACGCTGCTCATGGACATCGACAGCCTCATCACCAAGTGGCGCTGTGAGTACCATCATCATAATCATCATCATCATCATCATCATCATGCCGCTTTTCTCAGCCGCACCAGCTGCTCATGGACATCGACAGCCTCATCACCAAGTGGCGCTGTGAGTACATCATCATCATCATCATCATCATCATCATCATCATCATCATCATCATGCCGCTTCTCGCAGCCGCACCAGCTGCTTACTCTGCTCATGGACATCGAACAGCCTCATCACCAAGTGGCGCTGTGAGTACCATCATCATCATCATCATCATCATCATCATGCCGCTTCTCTCAGCCGCACCAGTTGCTCACGCTGCTTATGGACATCGACAGCCTCATCACCAAGTGGCGCTGTGAGTACCATCATCATCATCAGGGCATTTGGTCTGGACTGTTGTGAGTGTCAAGACCCTCGGACAGTGACTTAGTCGCCAATTTATCGTCATTGGTCAAGTCAGGTCAAGAGCAGGTGGGGGGTCTAAAGCCTGGTCCGCGAGCACGTAGAATTTTGTCGCGACTGTTCGACGGGCGTCCGCAGTGAGTGTGCGAGCACGACAGCAACATAATTACGCGCGAGCGATAAGGATGGGTAGCTTGGGGTCATTGGACAAAATTCTACGTGCTCGCGGACCAGCAGACTATAGCAGTGTACCGGTAAAAGGCTGGGCCATGCGTTGGTACGGTATGGTTTGGAATCGCGAGCGTGCACCGCAGGTTTTTAGAGGGTATACTTATCGGTTGGCACCTGCTATTGCTGCCTCCCGACAAGGGAGTCCCACATAACCTGCCACCTCCCCCGAGGTAGCAGGTATACGCAAAGTATTTTCCTAAAAAAAGGTCAGGAGTCCTGCTCCCTCTCAAATGTACCAGACTCTTAGGTAGAGGATTTGGTCTACACTCCCCACGGGTTGGGGAGGACAGATGTCTACATATTCAATTTTATCCCTCAGTCAGGATCATCCTTTATAACAACTTTTGTAACCTAGGCAATAAAATCAAAATTATTGACGGGTTGGGGAGGACAGATGTCTGCATATTCAATTTTATCCCTCAGTCAGGATCATCCTTTATAACAACTTTTGTAACCTAGGCAATAAAATCAAAATTATTGAGTATACCTAATCCTAAATTCTTTAGAAATTTCCATCGTTGTAAACAAACACTTGTGGACACAATTACACTATAATACTCACGTTTTCTTAATATCATACACATTATACAAACGATCTTTGAAAATCTAATAATCGTCTGTTGCAGTCCGTAAATGACATTTACAGAATTGCGATTAACGAGAGATTTTGTCGCATCACTATCAACTGACATAGACTAAAAATTCGTCAATGTCAGTTGGCCATATTTGTTTACATTTAGGGAAATTTCTAAAGAACTAAGGTTTATGTATCCATGGTGTTGCAGACAACCACGTGATCATGGTGCAGCGCATGATCGGCTCGCAGCAGCTTGGCACCGGCGGCTCCTCCGGCTACCAGTACCTACGCTCCACCCTCAGGTAAGACCAGCGAACTTCGTACCGCCAATAAAAGTTGTCTTAACTTATCTAGCCTTGTTGTAGATTCAAATGGCGAAAGATTTTTTCAAATTGATTCATTAGTTTCAGAACTATTTCAATGCTAACAAACAAACAATCAAATCTTTCCAGTTTATAATATTAGTGTGGATTCTTAAAAGTAAAAAAAATCAACTTATAAGTCGTTTAGACGTACATACAGGGCCGGATTAAGCAAGTCAGGGCCCCCTTTCAGCCGTTTAAAAAAAAACGTGTAAAAAGTATCAAGGGTATTCTATTCTCGCTGACCGAATAAAAAAACTAAGCGAATACGAAGTACGAATCATTTTCCAAAGTAAACTAATAAATACCCTTGGACAATTTTACACTGCGCCTCTAGGCCCAAACTAAGCAAAGTTAGGTACTAGACAACGAATATAAACATATTACTTAAGTTTTTTTTTTAATATATTTATATTATACATAGAAAACACCCTGAAAAAATGCATTGCATTATCCTCACTCATACGGTGTTAAGCCTAAAACATGTCACAAAAATTAAAAAAACTCGACCACTCACTATCAAATTCGTCCCCAGTGATCGCTACAAAGTGTTCCTGGATCTCTTCAACCTGTCCACGTTCCTGCTCCCACGCTCGCAGATCCCACCTCTGGACGACGGGATGAAGAAGAGCCTCAATCTCATGTGGGGGGACAACGTGAAAGAACCCCAGAACGGTTCCAGCCACGAGAATGGATTGGAAGCCTCTTTATAATAGAAGGATTGCATTTTGATTTTTTGGGATAAGAAATGTCACTCACAAATTTTGGAAAAATTACATTAATATTTTTTTACATAATAATTGCAATGATAGAAATGTTAGGTAGATATTTTGGTGAAAAAAAAAAATTTTTTTTTAATGAAATTAATGATTCTTTTTTATTGTAAGTCTTGTTGGTAATAAGTGATTTAGGTATAGCCTGACCAGGAACATAAAAACCCTCGCCATGTTGCGGAAAATTAATGGTACTAATTTCTTTTAATGGCAACAGTAACTGAAAACTTCATTGACATGTCACCATGCATGTCAGTCTATTGCTGTCAAAGTGTAAACAAACTTTATTTTAAATGTGCGCAATTGATTTTGTGAATTAAGCCTAGTAATTTAATACAGGTACGACTGTACCCAGTGTTGCACTATCAAATGCAATTGACGCGCCTCTATGCCAGGGTTTTTATGTTCCTGGTCAGGCTATAATATGTAAGTAATGAAAGTGAACCCTGTTTAAATTGTGTTGGATTTGGTCAGTATATTCTTGTAATTAGATTTATTATTTTGTTATCATTAGTTACTATATTGTATAAGTAAATTTTTTATTCTGTGTACATTGTAGATGTAACTTTTTTATTCTGTCTACGTTCAGTACCTAATCAAAATTATACGCCAATGTGTCTGTATTTTAAAAGGAAAGTAAACATTTTCAAAAGTAGTACACAATTTTATTTAATAACAATTAAAAATTAGAAACATTAAAATATCTTTTTTTATGTGTTTGCAAAGAAATATTTCGGTTTATCAAACAAAATTTTTTAGAAAATCACCTTCAGTGACTGCTGGAATGACTGGCCTTTTTTTCTGCCCCAAACTTGTAGATTACCCTGTGAGTATACACGTCCCCTGGGCTCAGGAACGCACTAGGGAAGTTTGGATGATGGACGGCGTCAGGGTACTTCTGTGTTTCAAGGCAGAACGCCCCATGGCGTCGGTAGCCCGCACCATCTTTGCCTACCAGGGCCGGCGTCGAGGGGTCAGGTAAGGAGTTGGCTGTGTAAAACTGGACACCTGGCTGGTCGCTGAATAGCTCGAGGTAGCGGCCTGAGGACGGGTGGACCACGCGGGCGACGAAATTCACATTCTGTTGGTATTGATAAAAAAATAATTTTCAATAGACATTTTAAATGGTTGACACTATCAATGATCATTCTAGGACATGACTTCATTTGAAATAGATCTTGAGATTCCAACAATGTGCATAGTAATATAGGATGGAATTTTCAGAGATAGCTAGATCTCTATTTTTTTTTTACCAAGTTTAGCAGGTGAATTAAAAAAGAGTTTGAGAATTTAGACTATGATTACGTTTAAGTATTGCTTATTAGGATACCTTACCTTATTACCATACGTGTTAACGCAGAAATTGTCATCGAACAGGTTTTCCTGCTTGTTGATGACACTGCCGATGCGAGTGGGGGTCCGTAAATCGAACGGGGTGCCCCCTACGTTGATGAACTTTCCAGTCGGGATCGATTCTGAGTCCGTCTCTGTGATTCTGAAATAAAAATATTTCATAGCTTCTTATAGAAGTGTGTTTTGTTACGGGAAAGCTACAGATAAACGCACAGGATAAAAGATTTAATAGAGAGGTCTAAGACCATAATATACTAAATACTATCACACAGGGTCTAAAAGTTGTGACGATGGGGGACTGAAGTAGCCCTATTTTGTCCTAAACATTTTCTTATTTTTTAAATTCCCCAAAATCATTTCAAAATAACAAACAAATAGGTAACTACTTAAAAAAACCTCTGTGGACCTCTCAAAACCCAATTTATTGCCAAAATAATTATGATAAAAAGCAACTCACTTGTTAGCGTTTATTGAAGCAACATGTTTGAGCATCTCATCAGCGCCCGTCTGGTGGCCAGCCAGGTTGAAGTAAGAGTGGTTGGTCAGGTTGACCACAGTCTTCTTGGTGGTGGTGCTTTTGAACTCCACGTGTAAGCTGTTGTCTTCCCGGACCTCGTAGATGACGTTGGTGACCAGGTCTCCAGGGTAGCCCTCCTCTCCGTCTTTTGATAAGTAGCTAAAGACCACTTTGTTTCCTTCTACTCGACTCTCCCAGTTTACCTGGAACACAAGATTTCGTATTAAAGAAAAATCTTTAGGTTCTTTGATTGATTGATATTTAATTATGTATTTAGAAAGAAAGAAGAAATATTTCAATTTGGAAAATTCTTTTTTTTTTAGGAAAAGGGGCCGCTTGATACATAAATACAAACAGGGCCCGTAAAGGGAGCCCTGAATACGGCCCTGTTTGCATTCAATAAGCCTAAAATAGTACTGCCTCCTTCCACAGTGAGCCTACCTTATTAAACCCAACGATGCCTCCATGCAGATGGTTCTCTCCGATGTTCTTGGCGAGTTTATACATTATTCCATCGATTGTGAAATTGGCGCCGCCTATGCGGTTGGCGCAGCGCCCCACGGTTGCTCCCATGTAGGGGGTGTTGCGTTCCACATAGCTGGTGATGTCGTTGAAGCCTAGCACCACGTCTGCTAGCACGCCGGTTCTGTCTGGGACCTATAAAATCATCATCATCATCATCATCATCATCATCATCATCAGGTCATTTAGTCTGCTTTGCATCAAAAGCAAATGGAGGACTCAGACTCCCCACCCTGGCCAGAGGGGTCCCTCGTACTAAGCTATATCATGTTTGTGTGGCGGCGGGAATCGAGCCCGCTTTCCTCGGATATCGAATCGTCCAGTCCGACCCCTTCACCGTTCGTCTAATGGTATAATGAACGATAAACTAATAAATACTAATCAAAATTATCGTCAACTTTTATTAACTGCTCAAATTAAACCGAAGAGCCGACGCCAATATGATAAGAAGTCAGATAAACAGAATCCAGTTTGATGATAGTTTACAAGTAAAAAACATAAGCTGTGCGGTAAAAAAATATTTACATTTTGACATTACAGACACATTACGTTCATCATCATCATTTTCAGCCACAGGACGTCCACTGCTGAATATAGGTAGGCCTCCCCAAATGATCTCCACATCGCCCGGTTGGTAGCGGCCGGCATCCAGCGCCTTCCTGCTACCTTTATGATGTTCACCACTTTGTGGTGGACATCCCACGCTGAGTTTTCCGGTAAGTAGCCTCCACTCCAGGACCTTGCTGCCCAATCGGCCGTCAGTTCTGCGTACTATGTTCTGTATACTTTACGCTCGTTTCATCCAAATAATGTCGTCCACAGCTGGACCGCTGGGTTCCCCACGGATTTCCACAACGATCGGCCCGTAGGCTCTTACTTAGTTATATTTTGTAAAATACCACTTACTTTTATCGACTGAATTGTAGCTCCATAAGATATCACCGAAACGGAGAACCCATCAGGGGTAGTCCACGTGAACTTCTTGACTGCCGATCCTTTGTAGGACCCGAAGTCCTCGGCGTTTAGGGTCACCATAGCCGAACTGGTGTATGATACTGCAAGAAATACAATAATGTATGTTACAGTTTGACATTATTATCAGGATGAATTGACGATGATGATGTCTCCACTGCAGGAGCATGTTCCTAATTTTACTAAAGGCAAATGAAGTATTTGACCTACACTTTGAAGGCCCAGGCCATAAAGGCCAGGGTTTGGGGAGGCATAATGTTGATAAATATTTTATCAAGATACCCGATATCGGCAGGATACCGGTGAAACTTATGCCGGTCGTCACAGTCACAGATGTATAAAAAGGCACCAGCACCAATACATACTAAGATACGATACGAGTAATAATATAACTCGGGAAATATACACGCCGAAATTATGTCCTAGAATAGACCTTGAACCTTTGAATCTTTACAATTTGGGGTAAAATGAAAAGAAAATAAATTGGACCTCTCTAAAATGATGATGAAGACTTCAAAAATAATATAGGTACTTACCTACCTAAGTATTAAGTACCTACTAATTAAGGAAATATACCTACTTAGAAAAATATATTCCTACATAGCATCTTCACCATAAATATTATCAACGCTCAATCAATAACAATAGACGAAGTCGTCCACCGGCGATAACTTACTTATCACATTCAATAGTAAAGTAATAACAATTTCAATATGATTTAAAAAGCCATTCGACCTACGAGTACCTATCGGTTAAAAACATAAACAATTGAATATCGCCGACGTCAATGTAAACCAAAACGAAATAGCTAATTTACCAACAAATTATCAACTTACATGAGCACTTGGTATGCGCGTAGGCACCGAACTGAAGTTGGAACCGCTATCACAACACAAACATCAGGCACTCAATTGATAAACTATGAAGTTCGCGATAATGATACGACCGCAGTCGTAAAATCTAGTATCACATTTTGTAAAGTAGTTGTTTGTTCCCAGATTAAGGGTAGGTACACATGAGTGTAGACAGAAATTGAATGGACCAGGGGACAGGGACTTATCCCACCACATCTTCCCACCACTGCAACTTCTGTATAGCCAGGAAGTATAGCTTTGAAAGTTGAGTAAGTGTCCCGGAGGATAGCTAGTCTTGGAATCCGCGACGGATTTACAGTCGAATAATATAGGAGGAGTTCCAAATATTAGGCCAGGGGACAGTGATAATATCACTATAATCACTAATTTTCAGTCCCTCGCATATTGTAGGTTCTGATATTGGTAAATGTTGCAGTCTGATCCAGTGGGGGCAAATAAGACTTTTATCAAGACGTTCTTAGACAAGAACGAAACATAAGGTTTAAAAAACAAAGAAATTTAATAATTTGTATTGCACAAATTAGTAATAGTCCTGCTAATCCTTCGTATTAAGCTAAATATGCTAGTGTTACGAGTGGGTTTGCCACAATAGTCGAGCGGCGGGATTCGAACCCGCGTCTATCGGATCGCGAGTCGGCCAGTTCGACATCTTCACCGTTCGTCTATTGTCGCTTCGCTAGTATTGTAGGATTTAACATTTCCAGGAGAAAGAGCTACTAAATGAAGACTGCACTTACTCTTGAGTGTAATTGTGGGACTAATTTCAGGTATGATCAGCCGATTGCCTTTCTGACGAGAGCCCACAGTTACAAAACACATAATAAATTACAAAGCACAAAAATAGGTTCACAAATTGCCACTATGAGATAGTCGCAAAATACATTATTTAATTTAATGGATTCAGAAGTGCAAGCGATAAAGGTAGATAGGTAATTGAAATTGAGCACTTAAAAAGATTAACTAGTTATGATTTCACTCCACCTCTACCTATTTAATGTTAAGTAGGTATCTACCTATCGACTTAGTACTACTAAGTGGACCGACGATCTGGTAAAGGTCGCGGGAAGAGCCTGAATGCGGGCAGCGCAGGACCGTTCATTGTGGAAAACCTTGGGGGAGGCCTTTGTCCAGCAGTGGACGTCATTTGGCTGAAAAGAAGAAGAAGAAGAAGATCTACCTATCGATAAGTAAGTAATTAAGTTAAACGAAACCTAAAATACAGTGTCATTTTCAAATACTGCCTACCGAAAACAAATAATAAATCCGGCACATAATAATAAATCAATTTGTCCTTCATAAAATAATATCAATTTATTAATTGTTATTGTAAGTACTTACCAAGTAAAACAAGGAAAAAAAATAACACTGTTGGCGCCATTTCGATCAGATTTCAGCACGTCAATTAATTCCAGAAGGAAATACTGCAATTTTTTCAACCTAACCTAAAATATAACAAACAAGGATTATTTTAAGCTTCAAAAAGTTTCACTATGCCAGTATCTCTCCAATACTGTCGCCCTAAGCCCACGGACATCGAATACTTAGTACGGTTCTATTTATAAGGAACTGTTACTCGAATAACCTGTTCCATTCGCAAAATCAACAGGGCATTGAAAAAAAAAACTTAATTTAGACTCTTACATCGTTCAATAACCCGAAATCAAATACAAAACACTTCAAGGTCAAAAAGGAGAAATGAATGTCAATTTCAAGTTTTAGAGAACAAAAAATAAGTTTAAAATAGTTAAAAAAGTTACAAAACACATAATTGGTATAAATTTGAGACAGGTTTTAAGGCTAGTCTTATAAGTTATTGTTAAACAATAGATTTCACTGCAATGTACAATTAATCTATAATGTACTTACAATTTAAAAAAATCTTTAAACATTTCTACAATTCATTTGAAAATTATAACTAAGTAACTTGAAAAAATCGAACTGACTAAGGCGGGAATTGAACTCACGACCTTCCGCTTGCCTTTTTCAAGTTATTTATAATTTGAAATTAATTTGAGATGCAACTCTTAATGCTAAAAAATTAAATAACTATTTCTATATTCACTCTTTACTGACCTCTGTACACGTACGACGAACCCTCCGACCCGAATAGAGTGAAACACTATGAATGCCTCTTTGTTAGGCCTTTTTGCAGTTGGTTACGCTTCACACATATTTGGGACAATTAAAGCTTAACTACTCACTAGTTTATTTTGAGTCCGCGCTAAGTAACACCTTTATATTGCTATTTCACAGCGATTGGCATTATAAATATTAATGACTGAATTGCATTGACGTAGAGGAAAACCACGGGTAAGATAGGTACTTACCACATTTTCACAATAGTCGACAATTCCACAGGATGATCTTAATGATAAGATTTAAGCGTTATTTAGTGTTGTTTCTTACTTACCTTACCAGTCACTGAGCCTTGACTCGACGGACGTTCAATATAAGTATGAGTGAATTGAAGATGAATGGCCTGGATGGCAAAAAACTGAGTTTATGTTCTGCCGAACAATTTTTTCAATTTTTCTCTTACCAAAAACCAACAAATATTTGAAGAAAAATAGACTACTAGACCACTGAGATATTGCTCGCTAAATTGTTGATAAGAATGATAAAGGTACTTACTGATTGCGAGAGTAGAAGATCAGCCGTGAAGGTTTGACGACAAACTAACTCAACGAGACCGATAAAACTATGACATTGACATCATGAACGCCGCACTTGGACACAATTTTTGTTTTAACAGCTTGTTACAACTTTGTCGTTCGTGCACGCGCGCACTTTTTTGACACAATTTTTACAACTTGTCTAGTTACTACCTAGTTACTTTATCATCCTGTATATTTAGACTGCAAGACAATTTGCTGTTTTACAATTGAAAACTAATAGACATAGAGAGTTAATTATACGATCACCTTTTCCAAGAGTGCCTAAGGCATGTTCTACCGGTACCTACTTTTGTAGGAGGTAGGTATTATTATGGTAATAAGTCAGTAGAGAGCCTTACATTATCAGTCTAGAAAATTCTCATGTTGACAGATTGAATTTATTTTGGTTTTAAACTTTATTTCATGGGTCTATTCAATATTTTTATAACAAATGTTCTAAACATCCTTCTGTACTTTAAACTGTGCGTTCCCTGTAGTGTCCACGCTACTCTACTCTGGTTATATCGGTTTTTATAAGGTTTCAAACAACAAATGCATAATGGAACATAATTATAATCTTTATTAATAGTAATAGTAACGACTACGACGCGGCATCAATACTTAGTAACGACTAGGTATGCTACGACGCGGCATCGTATCACGCACGATGCGACATCGCATTTGGTCGTGTAATCTCGAAAAATGAACCGCACTAGACGTGTTTTCCTCGTGCTGATATTTATTATTATTTATTTATTTTTTTAATTAACGAGAGTAATTTAAAGTAGTCGATGTCGTGTCGCTCGCTCGTCGTAGATTCCCACGATACGATCTCGCATCGTGAAATGATGTGTGCCTTTATCGCCTATTTAATTAATTATTTACGTGCTACGTCAAAGTAGGCTACGTTCTTGGTCACTCCGCAAATATCGCGGTGTACGGCCAGCCTGAGGTAACCATCTTCGCCGTAGTCATCACCCCAGGAGTTACGGGCGATGTAGTACGGAACCTCTGCTGTCAGATCGTACCCGACGAGTTGGACCGTGTGGTGAAGGTAGCGCCACTCGCCCCTGAAATTGATCACCATCATCATTTCTGTACCCCTAGTGAAAAGGGATCTAAATAGAAAATTGTGATTTTTGGGAAATCGCATATGACGTTAAAAAAATCCTGCTTCGTGGCTATTGGAGATAGCTTGTTGGTTTTTTAAATTAAAGATACCTAATCTTAGAAGGAAACAATTAGGTAGTGTGCGAGTGGGGCCGTGTGGTGAAGATACCACCGCCACTCACCCCTGGAATTGATCATCATCATCATTTCTGTACCCCCAGTGAAAAGGGATCTAAGTCGAAAATGGTGATTTTTAGGAATTCGCCTTCGTGAAATATTTTTTAAATGAAAGATAATGTTAGAAATAATTAGGCAGTTGCCAGTGTTGAAATGGGCCGTGTGGTGAAGATAGCGCCACTCGCCCCTGGAATTGATCATCATCATCATTTCAGCCACAGGACGTCCACTGCTGAACATAGGGCTCCCAATGATTTCCATATCGCGCGGTTGGTAGCGGCCTGCATCCAGCGACCTCATAAAAGTAGCAGGAGAGCGCTCGATGCAAGCTGCTACCAACCGGAGCGTTTGTCAAATGTCGTCCATTGCTGGACAAAGTCAAGCCAATGTCTGGAAGCCGGAAAAATTCATTTTTCGATTTTCCAGTTTAAGGACGTTGCACATTTATCAAACCGGAAAGGGATCGTAACCGTATGAACTCGAGAAAGGCGGTCAGTATTCTTTGTATGAAACTCCATACTGTAACGCACACTTATCCGCACTGTAATGTAAACGCCTCGCAGTGCGCAGTAGGCGAATACCTACAAATCACGAAAGGCGATAGCGGAGTTGATCCCTTTCCAAGTTGATAAGTCTGCTATGAACTTTATTCTGTAACCTATTATTTGATACGGTTTGATAGGTGCTCGTGAGGTGTTATTTGGGCGGGTGTTCTAAGTGGACTAAGTGGACTACGGCCGCTAGGTGTAACTAAGCAGACTCACGGGCACTCCCTTTGTATGACGCCACCGGTGTAGAACTGCCAATTATACGCGTTGACTGTCACGGCTATCGGTCCGTTGGCCGATATCTCCCTTAGCATCGCTTCTTCATCCATGTCACTGAAACACACAACTTATTAAAATTACGAATATCATTTTTGCGTTATGAAATATCATTGGCCGTACCCGCGACTTTGTACGCGTGAAAATCGTTTTAATATTTTTCTCTGCTACTAAGATCGTCGTTGTCGGTCCACCGTGTGGGTAACATCCCACGCTGCGTTTTCCGGTACGTGGCCTCCTCTCCAGAACCTTGATGCCCCATCGGCCGTCAGTTCTGCGTACAAACAATGTGCCCTGCCCATTGCCACTTCAGCTTGCTAATCCGTCGGGCTATGTCAGCAGGAAGGCGCATACAGGCCGCTACCAAACCGGGCGACATGGAAATCAGTGGTGGAGGCCTATGTTCAGCAGTGGACGTCCTGTGGCTGAGATGATGATGATGATGATAATGAAGATCATCGTAGTGTGGTGGTATATAGCCTAGCTTCGATAAATGGGCTATCCAACAAAAAAAAAATCCAGACCAGTACCATGAGATAGATCACGTAACGTCACATCGACCCTGGTGTGCTCTCGTACGGACGGAGCGCACGCAGGGAGAGTCGTATTCCAGCGAGGTGCGCAGTTAGGGGGTTGAAGATGGGTGAAACTCAGGGGCGTAGCTACTAATGGGCAAGGCGGGGGAGCGCCCCGGGGCCCCCAAGCTCAGGGGGCCCCCGAATCCTAACCAGAAAATCTCATGAACTTTGAAAATTTCTCCCATTTTCAAAATAAATAGAGAGAAATTCGAAAGCTGTATCAGGAGTAAGTAAGCTTAATGTTAATAAACTTGATAAAACCTAACTAGTTTAGATTGCAGTGGGACCCCATTTTTTTATTTGTCCCAGGGCCCTTGGTTACCTGGCTACGCCACTGGCGAAACTTATTAAAAGAAATACATCATCAACATCATCATCATCATCATTTCAGCCATAGGACGTCCACTGCTGAACAATGATTGTTCAATTCAACTGTCCCCCAATGATTTCCACAATGGCCAGTTAGTGAAAAGAAATACAGCAATTTAATAAAATCTTACCAGGCATTAACGAAGTTCGTTAACGTCATCCCAGTCACGTGTTTTTCGTCGGATATCTTGCACTTCTGGTCGACCAACATTAGAGGGTAGTCGTCCTCAGACACAATAGGAAACGGGACGCTGTATAAACCGCAGAGGAATCTTAGAGCGCCATGAAAGTCACCGCCCCCGCATCCATAGTTAAAAACGGAACAGTCAATCAACTCCTGTAGAATAGAAAGATATAAGCATACCCAAATATACAGCACAGCAGGGTACACACTTACAACCCGGTCGAGCTAACTGCGCATCTCGCTGGAATGCGACTCTCTCTTCCATTTACCCGCATGTCACGACCGCCAGGTGCGCAGTTAGCCGAAATGGTTGTATTGTATTTCCAAATGATATTAAAATCCTACATCCAAAGCTGTACCCAACTATGACTATCTGACCCAGGAGGAAAACATACGGTAACGTAATGGTCCAGGATGTTGGGCTACCCGATTAGGTACAAAACAATAGTGTGTGCAAGGAATGTGTGTAATGAATGTGTGCTAAGAAATTGTAGGTATAGCTCTTAGCATCTAAAAACGTCTTTATCACTCATCTTCCTAGCATACCTTTGGTGGAAACCCACACCGTTGCACGGCTTCGCTACACGTCCTCCCTCCACTCATTTTCCTAGCAAATATGATGGAAACGCGGTAAGAACAAAAGCACACGTTGCGGCGGCGGTGCGACATCGGAACGGTGTTGCTACGTTGTCGCGTCGTCTTAGGGTGAAAATTTTTTCATTCATTCATATGAATGAATTTCATCCCCACTCCTCTGTTTTTTTGACTTGACTCGGCTAATTTCCACATAGTGTAAAAGCAGCATTACATAGAATAGCTGCATCAGTGGCGGACACACGAGCGGTGCGGCGCCGCGCCGCGCGATGTGGCGAAATCTTTGCAGTGCGGCGCCGCAACGCATCGTGTTTTTGGCTCTAAAGCCTGGTCCGTGAGCACGTAGAATTTTGTCCAATGACCTCAAGCTACCCATCCTTATCGCTCGCGCGTAATTATATTGCTGTCACGACTGTGCGACGGGCGCCCGCCCCGCAGTGAGTGTGCGAGCGCGACAGCAACATAATTACGCTCGAGCGTTAAGAATGGGTAGCTTGGGGTCATTGGACAAAAATCTACGTGCTCACGGACCAGGCTTTATCTCTTCTTACCTGTGAGCTAAGTCGGTCTAGCGACTTATATTTAATAGCGCCCCTTGACTCCATGACGCCCACCAAGCTCATGGCCCAGCATGAATTGCACAGTTTCTGGTTCAGAATTCTTGTCACAACCCCTCTTTTGCGCCTGTCAAAGGTTTTTTAGTAAACATTAAATTTTAGGATTACATACTACTGAATATACTACTACTACTGAATGCGAACAGCTAGGGACTGGAATTCGTTGCCTGCTCCTGTCTTTCCCGAAGACTATAATCCGGGCGTTTTCAAGGCGAGAGTGAATGGCACTTACAGGGCAGATATGTACCTTGTAACCTACACTTAACATCAGGTGCGATTGTGGTCAAATATCTGCCTTGTTATGCATAAAAAAATGATTGACAAAGCTTAACTCCACTCTACTTCTTCAAAGCCTAAGCGGTCGCATGACACCGTGGTCTCGATTCGCAGGCCTATCTACTTGAAGGCGCCTTCAAGTAACCTCAAAATCAAGACCCACTAGAATACTATTGTTACCGCGGTCTCGTGTTTGATGGGTTTCTCTTTCAGCAGTTTAGGGTTTATTAAGCTAAAACTTGCACTGCGCTGCACATACTATTTTTCGACACAGACACGCGTGCATGTGCAAGCGCAAATTCTAGCGTAGGCCCTTAAAGGACCCACTTATGAACTCGGAAAGGGATCAACATCGTCTCGCCTTTAGCGAGCTGTCAACCGCGAGGCGAGGCGTTTACGGTGCAGATAAGTGCGCATTGCAGTAGGTAAGTATGGAGTTTCATACGAAGAATACTGACCGCCTCAAGTTGATACGGTTACGATCCGTTTCCGGGTTGATAAGTGTGCTACGTCCTTTAATCGTAAAAAAGTAACAGACATGCAGTTAATATCGCATTTAGGCACGTTTGTTGATTAACCTTACCAATCAACCTTTGGTTTAGGATATTCTTTGTGCTTTGTCCCATTTCTTCTACGGAATCCAGAATACCAGGTATTAAACTTAGGGGGACATGTGGCAAACTTCAACGGCTGGCATTCATATAGATGTACAGTCGGACTCAACATCTTTCGGCCAAAATCTTGCCGGGACATGTCCGAGAACTTGTTCAGGCCGAAAACTTTGCTTCCGTGAGCTGCGTTAAGCCGGGATATTTCTTTAAGTGAATTCTGTGAAGGAAAACCCACTTATAGGTACAGTCCGTACAGTCAGCGTCAAATAGTTCGTGTCACCCAGTAGCCAGAAAGTTGACAACACAACCTAAAACGTGTTGCGTACTTTTTAGCTAAGTACTTGGGTGTACCGAACTATTTGACGCTGACTATACTAATTTAAAAATGTGCTGTTTCATATGCATAATAAACTTTAAATAGGTACATAAATAAAACTTACCTTGAAATTCTGGAATCGTGTTTTATACTCTTCTCCCCAATAGTTCTTGTTATATTGTTTTAAATAATCGTCATACTGTTGACGTAATAGATTTTCCGATTCCTCTCCGCCAAATTGGCGGGTAAAAAACGTATCCACAGTTTTCCATGTTAAAAAACCACCGCTCATTATAAGTAGGCATATTGAAAACAAAAACATACAGGTAGACATTTTAAATGAAAACTTAATAATTTTAAATCGACACTAACAAGTATGGTTATACGTGCTGCACGTGTCCAGCTTAACTAAAATATATCCAGTATTTTTCCTGTAGAACACTTTATCGCGGTTATAAAACACATTGGGTTAAGGATAGTTAAAATGTGTTGATTAAATATATCAGTAGGAAAGTTAATTAATTTATATCATGGTTCCACTTAAAATTGACTATTGGAGGCAAATATTAACGCTTGGGTTGATATCAATTGCTGTCTCAGCGCGCCCGAATATAAATAAATAAAACAAAATAAATTCTACACATATAACTTAAAAAAACATTAAATTACGAAAGTTTTTTGTAGTATAAATACGCTAGGTACGGGTACGCAAGCAATTTGTTTGGATTAATGCGTCAGAAACGGTAAATATGTTAAATTCAGTTTGAAATTAGATTACTTAAAGAGTAATTAATTTTAAAGACTAACAAATAATAATAAAATTGAAACCAGCGAAACAAAAAAGTTTTCAGTTTATTTTAGAAACATACAAAACTAATATTATTTAACAATAACAACATGATCCATATTCCTGGACTTTTCTTAATTATTATCTCTTCATTTTTTTATATTTTAATTTTGATTTAGGTGCATTACCTATCAAACCTCATTAAGGACGTAGCACACTTATCAACCCGGAAAGGGATCGTAACTGTATCAACTCGAGGCGATCAGTAATGCAGCGCACCTTAACGTAAACGCTTCGCCTCGCGGTTGACAGCGCGCGAATGGCAATGGTGTTGATCCCTTTCCGAGTTGATAAGTCTGCTATGACCTTTACTTTGATTATTTTGAAAGCACATTTGTGGCAAAGTTCTTTTCTTAAATTACACGATTTACAATCGATGGTTTACTCATGTACACACAAAATGTTGAAAAAATTAAATAAAAATAACTAAGGTCCTCAATATACTCAGGTAACTTATTTGTTACAATTATTATGGGTTTTTTTCAACCCGATGGTTTATTTAAATATGACAAAATGAAATAAGGCACAGTATTATGAATATACGAGTATTTAGTAAGTTAAGGCAAGATTTAGATAAATGCATTAAAAAACCTAAGTCAATCTAATACGTATAAAAAATTGACAGATACCTTTTATATGTATTAAATAGTAATTCTTCAGTTAAAAGTTACTTATCTGACGATTGCAAAATGGCCTTTAGCCCATCAAGTACCAGCAAATCGAGACACAATTATTATTAGAAATCAATAGGCTAGTTTCCTAAAAAATTTTTTTTAGTCCGTCATGTTTAATATCAAAAAATATTGGACACATATTTTTATTTGTCAATCTAACAAATAATTACATAGTTATGGTGCGTTGAAGTTGCGCACGACGTCACAACGTGCGGCATTTTTAAGCAAGCGTTGACGTCACGGGCCTCTTCTTATGAACTTTGGGGCGCTTTATCTCTTTAAATTTTCATTAGTTTGAAAAAGTGAAAAATACGTGTAGAGTATTTTTTGATAAGTTAACTGACGGACTAATTAAAACTCTTGCTTTTTGACCCAGGAAACATCCCTATTGTTACGCGGTCTCATGCGACCATTTAGCCTAGGCGCAGACCGCAAACCACCGATTATTTGTCGGCCGATAGTCTGTTGGGTCGAGCTGTTAATCAATATGGAGTTATGGACTATGGATATGTATTATAGTGCGCACATTACATCGGCCGATTCTTCATACAACTATCGGCCGACTAAAAGTCTGTACGGAGAGTCCTAGGGTTCGAGTTATTCGAATTCGTCATAACCATTAGTTGCCAAAGTTTAAATTTTAACAAGTCTAGCAACTAGTAGCGGAGGGTCAACAAAACTAAACTATACCTTACTACCTAAACATTTTAAGATTCAATTTTGCTTAGCAAATAAACGGATGGCAGAAGTTATTAGCCACTTGTTGATCAACAAGTTTTTTGAGAACTTTTAAAAATATATTACAATTTACTAAATTCAAAAAAAATTAAAAAGAAATATGGAAGTTGTCTCTTATTTTAAAGTTGTTACTTATTTTTTCAACTACCCAATTATTGTTACAAATAAACTATAAATGCATTTAACTGTACTTTCCGGTTATGCTGTTAGCTAATTACTTACATCAATGAGCATTCTTAACAATAAGGCACATTTTAAAACTATTCTAGATACTTTTATACAAGAACAAAACATTATAAAATAAACAATATTGTTGCACTATCCAAAATGTGTAAATCAATTTGTTTAAACTAGGGGCAAGAACAAAGTGATATTATTTTTATAAATATGGATGCATTTTTAAGTATTTTAATAATTAGTCTATTGCTACAAATGAGTAAAAGTGCTATAAAACGTCTATTCAAAAACCCTACACTTGAAAATATACCCTGTTTATGATACATGACACTCATAATATATTGACGGTTTCCTTATTGCGTTCACCAGTACCAGTTGGCGCCACTGGCGAGTTAGTAGTCACTTGGTTGTGGCAAAGATAGTGGCGCCAATTGGTGAGCACTGAAACGGTAAAACTATCGCATTTGCACCCACCAGTAGACCTAGGGTGCGCGCCACGATAAACTTTTATCAGGGCATTTTATCGATTTTACGTGATAAGCACATACATTTTGACAACTAAAATCATCTTTAAGAATTTATCACGGCGCGTATCCTAGCCCGGCAGTTGACCATAGATGCGCGCCACGATAAACTTTTATCGATTTTATGTGATAAGCACATACATTTTGTCCGCATCCTAGCCCGGTAGGTTAGCGGCTTGGCGCCATTGTCGACTAAGGTCCAGTGGCCTCAACTCGTGAATTCAACCCTCATACATACATTCTGCACTAAGGCACTTATTAATTGTACTTATTGTTAACAACTTTATGACGCTAATAAAACTTATTGCTTTTACAAAAACATTTAAATTCGAGATGAGAGATATTATGTTGTTTTCCAATATGCTATTATAGCCAATAACAACATTATTATAAAGAGTCAGCTACATCGTGAAGTTATAAACTACACACACAAAAAACGTGGAATAAATAAGGCTATTATACCATAAAGTTATTTTTCTTCGGAATAAAGCAACAACCACGAGACAACATATTATTATGACGCCACTACTTCGGGAATTAAAATAAAAGCTACTAAAGCGCTAAAATCCGGACTTTACAGCAAATCAAAAAATATATTCCGTTTTTAGGACAATAATCGAGTATTTTTTTATGGAATTGAGTCTTGGAATAATTTGTGAATGGTAACTACTAATGATTGATTCAAATTGGGTATTTGACACCATTCCGCAATATTTCTAAAGCACATCTTTTTATAAAAATACATTTCATTATGGTCTTAAAAACTCAATTACTTTCTGGTTGCATTGTAATTGTTTAAAGTAGTTTAATTGATTTGACAAATTTCAAAATAGTGACGTCACTTGCTTGTATTGTCATACAAAATCTACGAGTCTCGATTTGACAGTTTAAAAAGTACGTCAATTGATTGGCGGTGTTACCCTATATCGACTTTTTTTTTGACTAGCAACACTCAAACAACGTTGACTGTGGCAACCTCATTTGCGAGCCCGCAGATATTGCTGCCGATGGCCAAGTGTAGGTACCCGCCTAATCCAAAGTCTGAGCCCCAAGAGTTCTTGGCGATGTAGTAAGGGATATCCGCTGATAAGTCGTAGCCGACCAGTTGTACTGCATGGTTCAGGTCTGCTGGGTCACCGCTAGAAAGAACAGAAAAGAATATTGTATTACAATAGGGATGTTGCCTGGGTCAAAAAGCAAGAGTTTTAATTAGTCCGTCAGTTAACTTATCAAAAAATACTCTACACGTATTTTTCACTTTTTCAAACTGATGAAAATTTAAAGAGATAAAGCGCGCCAAAGTTCATAAGAAGAGGCCTGTGACGTCAATGCTTGCATAAAAGTGCCGCACGTTGTGACGTCGTGCGGAACTTCAACGCACCATAACTATGTAATTATTTGTTAGATTGACAAATAAAAATACATGACTGTGTCCAATATTTTTTGATAGGTATTAAACATGACGGACTAAAAAAAATTTTTTAGGAAACTAGCCTATTCGGTCGAGTTAACTGCGCACCTGGCAGTAGTCACGTCACATCGACGCCCTGTAGCCTTATTCACGTAACAAAATTTCAACGACAACAAAACACCGAGTTGCGATCCTATCGAGTAATCGTTCTATCAAAAATGACCCTTGTGAACACGGATTTGGAACTGTTTTTCAATGGGACGACTTCCGAACGTCAGCGAGATCTTGACTGTCAAAATATGTGAATTAGGCCACTGGTACAGTCACCGTCAAATAGTTCGTGACACCCAAAGTGGCCAAAAAGTTGATAACACAACCTTATTCCACAGAATAATAATAAGTCGGGCTGCAGCTTGCGCGCGATGGTATACTGCTCAACTACATGCTGCCCGTGCTGATGAGAACTGAACGCGACGCTGCGGATTGTCATTCATTGTAACAGAGACGTGTTGCGAACTTTTTAGCTACTTTGGGTGTCACGAAATATTTGACGCTGACTGTATTGTTTTATTTTCCCTATCTCGTATAAGGGCGCGTTCACACTCTTCACACGCGGACGATTCGTGTTTTTTGACATCGCCTTTTTCCCCGACTGGTTTTTTCGGCGAAAATGCTTTTTAAACATCTGTGCTGTGTGAGCACGAATATCTATAGTTCAAACGACTGAAGTCTGAACTCAATCACGAAACGAATTTGAACATTAATTCGCCTTTTTTGATGAATCATGTGAATGCGACCTAATACGTTTTCTCGTCGCGTTAAGGCAAGTCACGCAGTATTATTTGGGTTGTTTATGGAATTTTTAGAATTCTATGTCCAGATATGAAGATGATTGAACTTGGCTTGACACACTGCCGCGTGTCTAGATACAATACCTGCAGTGGTACTGTATGACGCCGTCCAGGTAGTTTTGCCAGGACAATGCGTTCACAGCTACCGCCACCGGCCCGTGGGTCGCCAGCGCCTCTAAGATCTTCTGCTCGGCTCCCACGAAACTGTGGACAAGACAACGTTCGTTTCAGTCAAATGAGGTCCACTGCTGGACAAGACAAGACATACCATCACTTATTAGAAGTTTCCCATTTAAGATGCTAAACTTAATTTTAAGACTTGAAAAATGGACTGCCTTATGTGAGAATCCACAACTTTCTGGCTTCCAAGCGTATTATACTGTGCCTAAATCACTGAGCACTTAGGTTTCTTTTTGTGACAAAAATAAAACTTGAAAGAGGTGAAAATGTATGCTATGAAAAAAATCACTTCTCATGTTGGCGATATGAGAACTCATGATTGTGCCTTATGCTTTTTTACATTTAAATTGTGTTTTAATAGAGGGACTTACGCGTGACAAACAATTTTTATCACATCACATAACCACTATAATAATACCAAACTTACTCGTCACAAGTGAACGTAGACACCCTCACTCCAGTAGCGTTCTTCTTGGCCTTGCAGACTCCATTCATAAGAGGGCACTCCGAGTCCCTCACGACCGGCGTCTTGGTCAGAGTGTTTCAGCTCGGAATGACAACTTCTCAAAATGACAACCGGGGCGCAAAATGTTCACTTCTCGAAATGACAACTTCTTAAAATGTCAACTTCGCTAAAAGACAACTTCTCATAATGTCTATTTCTCACAATGACAAATTCGCATTTGGTCTAGTTCGCATAATGTCAACTACTTGTTGATATTTTATTTTCATTATTTCTAGAGTTCTAGTTCTTCTAGAGTTGTCATTATGTGAAGTTGACCAAATGCGAATTTGTCATTGTGAGAAATAGACATTACGTGAAGTTGTATTTTAGCGAAGTTGACATTTTAAGAAGTTGTCATTTCGAGAAGTGGACATTTCGCGCCCCGGTTGTCATTTTGAGAAGTTGTCATTCCGAGCTGATACGGGTCAGAGTCAGCCAGTCCAACAGAAATTACCTCTAGTCTAGCGCATAACTGGGCAAGTCAGAGGGTGTCTTTGTGACGGCAAACGTCAGCGAAACTTCAAACGTGCTTTAGACTGCTCTGTCACGTAATAATATCACCCCTCCCGCGCCTAAAGTACGGTCAACGAGAAGCGATACCAAATGTAAACAAACCCAATGTCATGGGTGAACCAGTCTGACTTTGACATCGTTTGGCGGGAGAACGAGACATTACGACAAATACACAAGATGGGAAGAGACAGAATAAATTGTCAACTCAACAGTCGTATCGACCTTTTGTATCGCTGCCGTGCTTTAGCTAGCGCATAACTGAGTCAGAAAGAACTTACTCATCACAAGTGAAGGTAGACACCCGCACTCCAGTAGCATTCTTCTTCGCCTTGCAGACTCCATTCATGAGCATGAGAGGGTACTCCGAGTCCCTCACGACCGGCGTCTTGGTCAGAGTGTTTCAGCTCGGAATGACAACTTCTCAAAATGACAACCGGGGCGCAAAATGTTCACTTCTCGAAATGACAACTTCTTAAAATGTCAACTTCGCTAAAAGACAACTTCTCATAATGTCTATTTCTCACAATGACAAATTCGCATTTGGTCTACTTCGCATAATGTCAACTACTTGTTGATATTTTATTTTCATTATTTCTAGAGTTCTAGTTCTTCTAGAGTTGTCATTATGTGAAGTCACACAAACCGCGCTCGGTGCGTTTCTATGAAGATAACCTACTTATTTGTATTTACTCTGGCGAAACTTCAGATGTGCTTCAGACTTGTATGCTCTGTCACGTGCCGCTCTTATACCTTAGGCACTGACACAGTTTTACGCTAACCTGTAATGTATACTCTTAAAAGAACTTACTCGTCACAAGTGAACGTAGACACCCGCACTCCAGTAGCGTTCTTCTTGGCCTTGCAGACTCCATTCATGAGCATGAGAGGGTACTCTGAGTCCCTCACGACCGGCGTCTTGGTCAGAGTCAGCCAGTCCAACAGGAGGCAGATGTCGCCTCCCGCGCAACCTGCGTTGCCTAGCGAGGCACAGTCGATCACTTCCTGGAAACCCGAGGAAGTTTTATCAGGGTTTTATCTATACCAGAGTAAATACAAATGAGTAGGTAATCTTCATAGAAACGCACCGAGCGCGGTTTGTATGTGAGCACGCCAATATACATATGCGGCGCGCACGCACACATTGATAAAATTCGGCGCAACCACGACTGGCTCCCCGCTAATCCCCGCTAAATTTTGTCAGTGTGTGCGTGTGCGCCGCATACGTATTGGCGCGCTCACATACAAACCGCGCTCGGTGCAGACACGCACAAAGATAAACTACTCATTTGTATTTACTCTGTCTATACTGCCTATACTCTCCTTCCTCATCATAATCTCAGGAACTACTGGTCCGATTTGAAAATTTGTTGGATAGCCCATTTATCGAAGAAGGCTTTAGGCTACATAACATCACCCTGTAGCCAATAGGGGCGGTAAGGAAAAATGTTGCAAAAACGTGAAATATTATTCTATTTTCACGCGTACGAAGACGCGGGCACAGCTAGTTTCTTTAAAGTTTAAAGTATCGGTCTGTCAATGAGCCAATGGAATTTTAGGAAATCAAGCGCAGTTTCAAGGACTAATAATAAAAAAATATTAAATAAAAAAGAAACCTACATAACAGACCAGTGTTTCTAAACTTAGTGTTCGTACACAGACCACTTACTGTTTAAGAATCACAACGCTTTCCGTAGAAGTAGATATGACGAAGCTTTACGCAAAAACATAATTTACAATAAAATGTATCACTGCTATAAATTACGATACTGTACAGAACGTCGTATTGTTACGATACATTGTTAAACCTACTGTTAATTGTTTTTAAATTGATTCTGATTATGAGATCCAATTAAAAATCTGTGGCTTTCAATGATAGACTTTGTTTAAAAAAGGTAACACCTAGCTAAGTTCATTGTCCTTTATGTTAATTACTAGCTGACCCGGCGAACTTTGTTCCGCCTTAATGGTAATAAATAAGCAGACTTTTTTTTAAAATTTCGAACGGGATTTAAAGTATCCTATGTCCTTCTCCTGGCTCTAAACTACCTCCCTGACAATTTTCAGCAAAATCGGTTCAGCCGTTCTTGAGTTATAAGTGGACTAACTAACACGACTTTCTTTTATATACAGTGTGAGTCACGTTAAAGTGTACATATGAAAATAGATGAAACTAGACCTATTTTTATCGACAAAAAAAGGTTAAAAAAATTTTGAGATTTTTTTTAAATTTTTTATAGAATTTTTTTTCTTCGAATTACTTATTGTAAAGAAAACGTAATAACTTTTAAACTAAGCAGTATATCCTGATAAAATAAAAACAGTAATAATGCTAAATAACAGGCAATACTAAAAAAATACATGAAATACACAAAAAAGGCCAACAAATAATAAAAAATGATACTTTTTGAAAAAAATCTGCTTTTAAATTCATGTTTTTTTGGTTATTTGATCAATTTCTCCAAAATATGCCCCTATAACCGGTGGTTTTTATTACGTTGTATTATTTTCTATCGTATTACCTTCGTAAAACCAAAAATCGCATGTCTCTATCCCTATCACAAAGTTTGCAATGATCGTTTGAACTAAGCCTCTCCGGGCGCGCCATTCATTAACAACGAAACTGAAAATGGCTCTAGATTTGTAATTTTGATAAAGACAAGTTAGATTTCAAATAAAAACAAAAAATTTTGAAGTAAAATAAGAATTTTTTTTAAAATTAAAATTGTCTCTACCTGTAGCGGAGAATAATGTTGTGGCAGGCCTTTGTTCAAACGATCATTGCAAACGTTGTGATAGGGATAGAGACATGCGATTTTTGGTTTTATGAAGGTAATACGATAGAAAATAATACAACGTAATAAAAACCACCGGTTATAGGGGCATTTTTTGGAGAAATTTATCAAATAACCAAAAAAACACGAATTTTAAAGCAGATTTTTTTCAAAAAGTATCATTTTTTATTATTTGTTGGCCTTTTTTGTGTATTTTATGTATTTTTTTAGTATTGCCTGTTATTTAGCATTATTACTGTTTTTATTTTATCAGGATATACTGCTTAGTTTAAAAGTTATTACGTATTCTTTACAATAAGTAATTCGAAGAAAAAAAATTCTATAAAAAATTAAAAAAAAATCTCAAAAATTTTTTGACCTCTTTTTTGTCGATAAAAATAGGTCTAGTTTCATCTATTTTCATATGTACACTTTAACGTGACTCACACTGTATATAAATTATACGTAGGTATACCTTTATGCATAACGCAAAGATCCGATTTTAGCAAAGAACTATTAGTAAATTACAGTATAGGGTACATTTTCCAATATCTACCTGGACGCTCAAAGGCTGCAGCTTCCCAGTGGTGATGGCAGCCATGGATTCCATGGTACCTATGGTACTGAAAGCCCAACACGCGCCGCAGAGTCCCTGGTTCCTTATCGGACCGATCACGCCTTTTGTTCGCCTGAAAATATTCAATTGATTTGTCACACTAGCAATTTGTCCAGCGATTTCTCAACGAGACGACATCATAGAAAAGGGAAATCTGGGGGCACGGCAGTGCCCCCACCAAGTCGAGCAAAAAAGCGGCACGGCCGTACCATCCTTTTCTCGAAGCAATTCAGGCCATTTTCGACCGCCTGTAACTTCGTTGTGGATAAAACTAGAAGGCAGAATTTTCATTAGCTATGCAGGCATTGTAAAGACACGGTATATTTAAAATTTCATTCAATTTGAACCAGTAGTTTAAGAATTATAACGGGTCAAAGTTACTTAATTTTGTCACTCACTGACTGACTCACTGACTCACTGACTCACCGATCATCAAAACTCTAAGGCACTTCTAGCAGACCTAGAAGCTTCAAATTTGGAATATAAGTAGTGTTTGGTGTATGAATCAAGGAAAGACTAAAATATTTGGGGGCACGGTAGTGCAACCGCCAAGTCGAGTAAAATTTTTCAATTTCGGTCCAGTTTTCTAGATACATAACTGCTGTCTACAAAATACAAAAAGAAATGATTTTATTTTCAAAATCGATATTTTATTGTCTATGATGGCCGCAGGAACATCACTATACATGGACTCCCAGCAATAAAGTACGGTAATGCCTCGTACAGATTTTATCGGCAAAAATTATGGAACTTGATAGGTTTTAGACCATGCCACGCACCAAAACGTCCGGAAGTTGTAATAGTATTATAGAATAAACGTTAAAAGACTTATTTATTTAATTTTTCAATGCTTAAGTGTCCATTAGAATGAAAGGGTGCTTAATGTATTAAAAAAAATAGAAAATAATTATGATGGGTTAATGTTTTTGGGCGGTTTTTTAGGCGGTTTCTGACAATGTCCTTTCTCTTTCTTTTACAAGACAGTAAAGAACCAGAAGGACATAGGCCGATGGAGCTACTCCACGTGCGTCGGTCTCCGTACGTTATCTAGGAAACCCAGATGAGCAGTGGCGGATTTACAGTTTTGCCGCCCGTAGGCTAGGGTGGGGTTAGATCTTTATTTAACTTTTATCTTCTGAAATCGAGTAAGCGTCATCTGAAATCTGCCGCCCGTAGGCCGCGGCCTATACGGCCTATTGACAGATCCAGGACTTCTGATGAGAAGACAGTACTGTCACCTAGCTAGAAGATGTGGCTATCTATGTAGTGAACATTAAAGTTTCGTCACTCATCATAGCTTAGCGATTACGAAATTGAATCTATCATAAATTTTACATTTTCAAGAGACCCTCAATCATTATTATTTTTATTATGACTTAAATTACTTAAATTTAGCTAAGTATACAGGGTGTTAGGTAAATGGGTATATGAGCCGACACTAGCCCATGTTAACATGGGCATATAAATGGTATGGTGAAGTCAGAAAATTGATATCTTCAGTTTAATTATTTTAATTTTCATACAAATCGGATTTTATAAAATTAACTTTTGTATGAAAATTAAAATGATGATATCAAATTTCTGACTTCACCATACCATTTATATGCCCATGTTAACATGGGCATAATAACATACCCATTTACCTAACACCCTGTATATTGCGTAAGTGAATGTAGGCGAAATAAAGATCGCAAGCTAATTTACATTAGAGATCTATAAACATAGTGTATTAGGTATTCATGAGTTAACTAGATGCAATAAATAGTTTTTTTTAACTATAAATAAAATCATTTAATTTACGACTGGAACCTGTTAGAACATTAGCTGGACATTTTCATTTACATAAATAGGTCACCCTGAGGTATATGACCGTTTATTAACAAACTTAAGAACTTTTAAACCATCCAAGTAATTCCTACTTTCTTTCTATGTATTTTTTATAAACCTTTCCGTTTGCGGCTTCGCCCGCGTGTAATTTTGTCTGTCACAGAAAAACTTTATCGCGCGCGTCCCTGTTTCAAAAACCGGGATAAAACTATCCTATGTCCTTTCCCGGGACTCAAACTATCTATATGTCAAATTTCATCAGAATCGGTTCAGTGGTTTAGGCGTGAAAGCAAGACAGACAGATAGACATAGTAACTTTCGCATTTATAATATTAGTATAGATTAATATGTTAATCAAAGCATATACCTACATATAATAATATGCTGAAATGCAATGTGAGAGTAAAAATGTGACTAAAAGATATTGATAGCATACAAATATGTTAAAAATTACCAACATCATACAAGATGACTCCAAGAAACAACTCTATAAACTTCCCAAAACTTGTTTGAGAACCAGTTATTGGTTTAATCACCTTGATTTGATAATGAATACACACTGACAAAATTTTAAGTGCCTTCTGTCTGTCTATTAATAGATTAAGTTTTTACAAAATTCTTGCTCTTATTTTAATCGACTTATTTGTCTCTGTCATTTTTTCTGTAGGTAAAGAAATTTCATTCTAATTTGACAATTTTAAAGTTAAATCGATTATAGGAGAAATAAAAAACAGTAAATAATAATGCAATTATTTTTAAACTTAAAAAAATTGTGCCCCATTGAAATGAAACCAACAACTTTCAGTTTTTCCTCAATAGAACTTTATAACTTAGGTATAAAGTTCAAAATTAATTGAAGAATCTTTTCTTTAGTGAAACTTGTCTTGCAGACGACTGTATTGTGTCTTTCATTAAAAATTACATGATATTATGCAATGGTTAATAGAACAGTTTAATGGCAGAACTCATCAAATAAATGAATAACAATAAAATTATACTATTAATCAATGAACTGTTATTAATTCAAATACTTTGTTGAGCAAATAATGGATGATATTCTTATTCCTTAATTTCTTTCTGTATTTTTAAAGCCTGGTAAAGGTATGTAATGTTAAATAAGGCAAGAATAGGTAGGTACTTTATGTATCAACTTAATGAAATTTAATATAGTCTGGTTTAAGATTACATTTGAATATCGTATTCAAAGTAATGTAATATGTTATCTTGCAAGCAAATAATAACACAAATATTGGAAAGGAATTTATCTTGTCCCGTCCAAGGGCATGAATCATTTGACTTATTTTTATTACAGTGCATTGAAATGTGTGATTGCACACAGACATTTTTATCGTAAATTCAGATCTTTTACAACATAATAGAGTAAAAAAAACCTATACATTAAAGAGTTTACAGAGGTACACTGTGGTCCATAAAATTTTCGACACTGAATATATTAGGGACACTTTTTAAAGTACATAATTAGCTTATTAAAGGCAAATATAGAAAAATATTTCAACCAACACTACTTTACGTATGCACCTGATGGTCTAATAATAATTTTCAATGACTTATTTACTAACCTAGGATGTAGGTAAATAGTTTACTGCAGACATAAATTAACTGAAGAGAAAAGAATCAATTATGATCTATTCCATTATAGTTGTAAATAACTAAAACTCATGCTCATATTCTTATGTAAAGTTTTTAAGATTTTTTTATATTTCTCACTAGTAGAAGACAAACTTATATGGCAAATACATACTTTTTATCATTAAGAAAATTATAATCACTTACCAATCAACCTGCATGGGAAATATAGCTCTCCTTTTCCTAATAATAACATCTATGTTGTCATAATCATGCCTATTGTCTGTTCTGTACTTGTCCCTTTTATTGCTGGTGCCCCAGCCCTTGCCATACATAGCTGGCGCCTTCGTCAGTTTTTCATCTGACAAATGCAGGTCTTTGTACTCCGCAGCAGACATATCTGATAGTTTAGTTGGTCCATAACGCGCTCGAAGGTGATCCGGCCCTCTCGTCTCAGAGTTCAAACGATCAATCTCACTCATTGAAACCTAACAATAAAAAAACGCTTATTCAATAAAATAAATTAGATAAACTGCCGTAATAAAGTAATAAACACACTTCTGATACTCACCATGAAATGCTCGAATCTCAACGCGTACTCGTCCGGATTGTTTTTATAACTTTTGTTGAACTTCTGAATGTAATCATCGAACATTGGCTTCATTTGCTCTTTAGTCCGCTTCGCGTTGTAATTAAGAGGGATCGCGAGAAATAGCAAAGAAAACAAAGCTATCCCAAGCACTAAGTTCCACCATTTCGACATTCTAACGCAATTGAACCACCAAAATTATTATAAAACACGCGTCCGATAAACTAGTTTTGACTTCTAACACTAAATTAAATTAAACTTAGCGGCTCTTCTAACAAGAAATATTTCGTCATCAAACTCAACAAAAGTAAACCAGCAGCAGCAAAACAACTTTTTTGACGTTGACATATTGACAGTTTCAAGCAGCACAGCTGACTTTGACATCTGTCATACTGACGTTTTGACTTTTAAAGACTTTGCTTGAAGCACCAAGGAAATAATAATTATTGTTAGATTTGAATAAAAACTTATCGACATGAAGTACCTAATCATAAAAAAAAAAGTATGATAACCTTGAATGAAATAACCAAATATAAAGAAAACATGTAGTTATAAAGAAGTAACTTGGTGCCTTTGGTGGTTTTCAGTCCTCAATTTTAATTACTCCTCATAAAGCTGACAGTCTGGCACACGGCTGTGTTATAATTTCTTTCTTAAATTATTTTGTGCTTTTAACATTTCGTGCCAAAGGTGTCTAGGATCGTAGAAAATTAAATTCCTCTATGCTAGGATCACACTATGAAACTGATCTACATTCCCATAGCACATTAATTAACATTTTACAAGCCGGTTTCTTCTTACAGATAAAACACATTAATATTTATTACAAATTTATTATTCCCACATAGTCAACTTACACTAATACCTTAAAAACGCTATCCTAAAATTAATATTCATGCTTGATTTGATTGAACATGACGTACTCCCAGCGGTTTTCGTTAGTGGATCCGTATGATTTGGTCTTGCGCCGGAAGATGTCGTTGTACTTCTGTAAGACCTGCTGAACCGATGCGTGGGTGACGGAAGGAATCATGGACCTGGAATCATAGTTCATGGATTAGGCACTTATCCCATTTAATATGAGGAGGCTAATATACTAGTCGTGGACTATTTTCTCGTTTAAGAAACGCAAAAAAAATGTAATCTCATGTTTATAAAACTGAAACACATTAATAATGTTGATCACTTTTGTGAACAGTCTGTCACTACCGGGGAAGACTCTCTCTCCACTAACTTGTAGCGACAACGAGAGCTATCGAACATGGCGCTCTGAACACTCGCTAGTCATTTTACTCAACAATGCGAGTGTAAAGGGTGATCCCCAAACACACACCCGCTTAAGAATCAGCGATAAAATCGGAATTATACAGGGTGGAATTTTTTAATGCCACCTGGAGGGAAAGTACTCTTAATATTGTAGATAGAAAAAATTTCTCAAAGAAAACATTCCTTTATTTTTGAAAAGAAATAGAATTGCAAACAAAGATTTCCAATAATTTGCTTGCCACACCCGGGAATCGAACCAACTAAAATCTGCTAAAAATTACACCCTGTATTTTTATTACATCGATCGTTAGGGTTAAGTATAAGGATGAAATCTCTCTAACAAACTTGATAAATCAAATGAAAGGAAAACCATGAAATCTTAAATTATTTTAAATATGTACAGTAAATTTATGGTATGGTAGAGAATTTTCGAAAAAATTTCGAAAATCTTTGAATGCAGTTCTCTTTCTTTTCAAAAATAAAGGAATGTTTTCTTTCAGTAAAATTTTCTATCTACAGTATTAAGAGTACTTTCCTTCCAGGTGGCATTACAAAATTCCACCCTGTATAATCTTGCCAGATCGTCTTTACTCTTTACAACCCGATCGAGTTACTGCGCACCTGGCAGCCGTAACGTCACATCGACGCTCTGGTATGAACGGGGCGAACGCTGGGAGGTGCGTCTTCTTCTTGTTGTGTCGACAACAAACCTGTCACACAGCGTCGGCCCAAAACTCCGCTACAAGATTGGCGTTGTCAGTAGCCTTCATTAACGCCCGATTCCTATATTCAATCCTTGTCCAAATCCGGATTACAACTGTCAAATTTAATTCAGTTTTAGATTATATTTCCAAAATGTTCGACGCATTTACACTTTAATATTGTTTAAATAGTCTTATAAACAATATAAAAATGTAAAAACATCAAAAACCGCAGATATTTTGGTAAAATTTGACAGTTGACAATCCAAATCCGTCCAATTTGGATTAAGATTGAATATAGAAATCCAGCATTAATCTTCCTGCGTGCAGTTGTTTGGGCACGCAGGGGAGGTGCGTGAATGCGAGAGTCGCATTCAGCGAGGTGCGCAGTTGCTCAATCGGATTGTATATACTCGCTTCTCGTTCGGTCATGGAAACACTTCTTACCTCACATCACATAAGACACCAAGTAGTCCTGCGTGGCCCCCAAGGGATGCACCAGAAGGAAGGCAGTGAGCATGCTGACGAGCTTCGCGTGCAGATGGGACACGTGGTCGCCTCCCCTCATCATGGCATTAAGACTAACGGAACTACACAAGCTCCTCTCTTACCTCATCCTCTCTTACCTCACATAAGACACCAGGTAGTCCTGCGTGGCCCCCAAGGGATGCACCAGAAGGAAGGCAGTGAGCATGCTGACGAGCTTCGCGTGCAGATGTGACACGTGGTCGCCTCCCCTCATCATGGCCATGTCATCGGGGGTCGGGGGCGGAGGCTCCGGCTTGCCCGTGGACACGTGATCTTGGTGGCTTGGCGTGGACGGCGGTAGTGGTGGGTAGATCATCTGAAAGTGAAAAGACAATGCCGGAAAATGGCGTCTTTTTTTTTTCGCGCGGCCATCGACCAAACCTTGTTTTTTGATTACAAAATAGTGTAATAAACCAAACTTACTATAACATGTACACCTCTAAACTCAGTCTGAACTGAGTTACGAGCGTTAGAAGTTTGATGATTTACATACTAGATTTGCTTTTTGCGAGCAAGTTTTGTAAGAAATTGCAACAAAATAGTGACATTGTATGTGTAAACACACAATACAATCCATTAAAGGCTCCAGACATCAGTGTGGAGCAGAATCAGCGCAATAAAAAATAGCGCAATATTTCGTTGCAATTTCTTACAAAACTTGCGCGCAAAAAGCAAATGTAGTATGTAAATCATCAAACTTCTAATGCTCGTAACTCAGTTCAGACTGAGTTTAGAGGTATCATGTCATGGTAAGTATGGTTTATTACACTATTTTGTAATCAAAAAACAAAGTTCGGTCGATGGCCGCGCGAAAAAAAAAAGACGCCACCTTCCATACAAAATCTGGCATAGCCATTTAAAAACAGTTTAGGACATTTGCTGGTGCAAACAAATGTTTTAGAAAAGTAAATTTTTAGTGACGCCCATTATGGTCAAATAAGAGGCCTTGCAATGAGAGCTATCGTTTTTATACTTAAAAGTTGGCACTGGCGACAGAACCTTACTCTACAGTGGCGCCATTTTAATGAATGCAAATGCGATAGTCCTCCTACCGTCATAGATACTATAGTCTGGTCCGTGAGCACGTAAAATTTTGTCCAATAACCCCAAGCTACCCATCCTTATTGCTCGCGCGTAATTATGTTGCTATCGCGCTCGCACACTCACTGCGGGTGCCAGTCGCACAGTCGCGACAGCAATATAATTACGCGCGAGCGATAAGGATGGGTAGCTAGGGGTCTTTGGACAAAATTCTATGTGCTCACGGACCGGGCTTTAGCAAGTGACTTAAGGTTCGGCCAAATCAACGAAATCAGCCGGCGTGCAGCGATGGCGATCATTTAAGTCTGGTCGCCATAGCTGCACGCCGGCTGATCGCCTGTGATCGCGTTGGTTAGGGCCTTACTCTACAGTGGCGCCTAAATAAATATCTTTAATCTTTGTTACTCGTAATAAAAATGCGATCATCTGGCCTCCCCAACCCGTCGGAAGAGCATAGCGTGTAAGCCTTCTATTTGCCTGCTGTGGCGGAGACTAAATTACCTGACTGACAGACAGATTGACAAAGTGCACAGTATAATCGCAAACCAGTCGAAAAGTGGTCGAAAGGCCTTTTTTGTATGGATTTTTAACGGATTCGATTTTCGATTCGATCAAAAAGTGCAACTTGTCTAGGGGGGCTGATGAAGATGATGCAATAAAATGGTATACTAACCGGCTTGCCGGGGTTCTGCAGGGCTTGCTGGGCGATGAACTGGGCCTTGAACTTCTCGAACTTTCTCTCCGCCTCGTCTTTGGCCAAGTGAGCTTCATTCCTATAGCCTTCCAACTCGAACATCAGATTCTCATTTTCTTTCTGAAATTATAAATACGAAAGCGTTTATAAATAATCATTTTTTTTTTTCAATAAATGTCATTGAAGTGTTTAAGTTATTTCCTCGTCTTTACTGAAACTACAACCTATAGCAACTGCCTACCTTCAACTCCTCAAATTTCTCTTGTAAAACTGTGCTTTTGCCAACTTTTTCATTTTCTTCATCATCGAAGAACGAAGCGAATTCTTCTTTGATGTTTTCCAATTCCTGAAAAAAATATTTAATTAGTAAAAAATACAAAATCAAATATGGTTTTTACATTAACATGGGCAACTCGCAATCTCCACATGTAAAAGTGATAATAAAGTGTATTAAAATCGATAAATTATTGACTTAATTTTATATTCATTACTGATTTTACAAATACTTTTTAAATTAAACTTTGGTAGGGTGGCGGAATACAGCAGAATCATAGGTAGACAAGTATCCCATGGTTAAACATTTAAACAATTTATTTTAAAACATGAGTTTTAACTTTTATTATAATTTCCGTTATAAACTTGTTTGTGAACTAAGGATATACCGTTACGTATGATGCTGACTGTACCTTTATTTTGGCAGTTGGTGTTACCATATTTATCTTGTGTTGTTGACGTCACGCACGATGCAAAACGAAGCAAGGTGTTTAACGATCAGTTTCCTCGAAACAGGTATACTGAATACATTGCTGATTGTAGGAAGGGCTAATTCTTTTCGTTGCTAGGCTAAAACCACGCTACAGGGTTCGAAGTAGTATAAAAGCTATTGCTAGGCGCGGTATTCACTCATTTTGTTCACCAAACCTGAGCGGAGATGAGAGCTGGTGGAAAGCGGATCTGAGTTGTGTGCCGTTTGCAGACTGCTGGGTCTTGCCGCAGGATCAAGTTGCACGTGGTCTGGCGTGGGATAAGTGGCGCTGCTTGCTGAATACCATATCTATCTCTTCTGACAACTGCTGCGAGACACTGCTCCCATCTCCACTTTGA